TGACAAGGCCCCTCAACGCCTTCTGAACGAACGAGGGCGATGCTAGAATCAGAGCCGTGTCTCCCTCAGGGAGGACTTCTTCGATGAACCGCCGAACCACTCACTTAGTTGCCCCCAGCTTGAATGTTCGACTTCCGTCGGCTCAGTCTGGAACTCCACGGACCATCCCATTACTGCCCCTCCGTCCCAGCCGCTCGGCTACCCGTCAGTTCCTGGGAAATGGCTCAAAAGGGGCGGCCTTAGGCCCAGACCTGACCGCCGAACCCCCTATCTCCCTTGCGTCTTTGTCACAGCACACTCACCAGATTAACTTCGTCGGAGAAGAGTTTCTCGTCTGGAAATGCTACAGGAGCTAATGCAATTCAACAGCTGCTCGATAAGGTGTTTGGCGGCAATGAGACTTTCTCAAGACGGTGTGACGCCTCACCTACTTGCCTACCGTGTGCCTAGCTCTATATACACCCACGACCGCCATTCGCTAGGCTATCACTTCTAGTTGTCTTCAAACAACAAATCACAACGAATTACTGTCGCTTTGAGCGGTGTATCTATCGGACGTTTTCCGGCAAGGCCAGGCTGACCTCAAGCTCAGTCGGCACCCCACGTGCACTAATGAAGAAAACACAAAAGAATAGCCGTACGAGAACAGCACAATTATCATGCCTGCCCAGCCCAATTTGGTACGACTTCACCGCCATGATAGTCAGGCTTCAATATTGATCGACAATTTCGGGCTGCGCTTGCAAAGGACGATTCCCCCGTTGTGGTTTCGTCAGCCTAGGGCGTACCTGGAAGGGTCGGTTGCAACGACCGAGGGGGAATAGGTCCCCCAAGGGCCATATCAGCCCGTAACAGCAGTTACTAGGTGTCTCCTGGCAAAACGACCTCAGGGCTTCACTCGGGCCATATGGCAAGCCCCAATAAGTATGTATGTCCAAGTATCGTCCCCGCCTTACGTAGCTGCTGGAAGTGCGGGTTGCCGTTACAGGATGCCGAGCGTATCAACGTTCTGAGTTGCCACGGAGGACCCTGCAGCAACGATTGACTCGTATCGGTGCTCCGGTCGATATGCTCCCCAATCATCAGCTCTTGAGTCGCGAATCCCAAGGGTCCCGTCGCCTCCGCACTAACCGTCCGCCAAGCCGTGACCTCGACCACCCTCGGCATTGCTCTCGACAGCAACTCTCTTGCGAGGTCTCCAACACTGGATCCAAAAAAGAGCAAGTGGAACTCTTGATGAGACGGTGCTAGACAACTTTGAGGAACGGCTACTCCGTGAACCACGAAACGGGGCCATTGTTCTCTTCCTATCACGCTTTGACTTGGACAGACTTTTTTTCTGGATCATGGAGGCGTTCGTCCCCCCCACTCGTCTCGTCCAGTGAAAGGACGAAGGCTTGTATCCAGGACTGAGATCGGGGGGCTCGACACACTTGCCACTGTAACCTGCATCCACCAAGACGTTCTGGACGCCGGTCACCGCTTCAGGCTTACGTTTTATGTCGACAGCAGGTCGCATTGCCAGGCTTCCCATTGAGTCGGTGTTTACCGTTTAGAGGGAATGCAAGGCCTGGCACGGCCTTCTGATTGGCCTGCTCGTCCCTCTCGTCGTTGCAGTTACCTTCAAAGGGGCACGTGTTGTTAGACCAAACCGTTAGAATGTTGCGCTGGAGGGGAAGTTATTTGGAGCAATGTCACACTGTCCAGCCTCCGTTCCCGCAACGGTGGGCCATTGCCAGCGACACAGCGAGAGTCGAGGGCCACATTGAGGTTCAAGCTTCCACTACCCACTCCCTCATCAGAACTACAGAACTGTGGCGGTCGTTGTCTGCTGTCTGTCTTGGCTCAAGGCTAGTTGCGGCTTGGTCGGCCGGCGCTTGTCGGATCTTGTCCGGAACTATTGTGGCTTCATCTACTGCTGCCAACTGCCGGCTAGTGCATAAACTTGCCTCCCCGATCCGTCAGTCTTACGCCTTGGACAACCAGAGGAGTACCAAACTGCGCGCAAATACGCAGCACACGTGGATGCTGAGGTTTTAGGATTGAGAGCGTTGTGCAACGTTGGCGATGCGTTGCGTGTTGCCTGATTTGGCAAATATGGGGTGCCTCTCTCCCTTATGGCTATCAAGTGACGCTGGCTAGCCGAGAAAAGAGCTCGACATCGCCGTCCGAGTCAAGCTCGTGCCGATCGGGAGACTGCCGCTAGCTTCAACCGCCAATGGTGAGAAAACAACCAGGAAAAAGGGTCCATGGCTGCGAGGGTGCTTGCAATTTCCGTCTGGTATTACGGACGCTCATCCGTTACTTCAGTTCTCTGTTCTGAGACGACCTCATCTTCTCCCGAACCTCAGGCTCCGAGCAATGCTTGGGCAACGAAAGCTTTAACCTTCCCTTTGCCTTTACATTACCACCTGGAGGCCCAAGCATATGGGATCATCCCAGAAGCAGAACCCAATCCCACTCCACTCGCAAACCCAACAACCAAGCTGTAGTTGTCATGCAAATCGCGCGCAACCGGAAGCATATTGCAATCTTACCCCGTACAACGTCATAGAACAACGAGCTTAGAGTCGTCATGACACAGGAAGCTTCTACAAGGGCTCGGAGAAGAATATATCTCTAACGTGGCAGGGCTTATTTTATACTTTGGCTCCAAGACCTGACCAGGCGGATCCTACTTCCCCAGGATTGCTCTAGTCTTGATAACCCAGGCAGAACGCTCAGAGAGAGCTGTCCGCAGTGGTTTGAGGGGCTTGCGCCGGCCATCCTGCGCCATCTGCTTGCTTTTTGGCGCCGCTAGACCCCGCGCCCAGCTAAGAGGACGACGATCACAATATCCCCTGATCGGCTTGGTCTGGAGTTAATAGTACGTTGTGCGGCACTTTTGAGTCGGTGACGTATGTTGTTCTCTTCACATACGCGCACGCGACTGTCGTTCGGTTGAGCGATGGAGGGGGGGAGAGGGCTGCAAGGGTGCCTCGCGATGCCCTCACTCGGCAGGAAACTGGGTCTTGGAACTCGCAGGCTCTTTTTGCTTTTGCTCCCCGCTTCGGGCCAGGCCAGGGGTCTGTTGTGCGGTCTGGGTCCCGGCCAGCTTCGCGGCGTTTGGCTTGGGCCATCGATGCGCCTCGACCTAGAGCCGTTCTCGACCGTTTGTCGACTCCGTCAACGGCCGTACTGTGGAGTCATTCACTGCACTTACTCCGGGCCGACCCCCAAGCTTCCTCCGCGCAGGCGGGAATGGGTTTTCGACGGTGGTCATCCCCGCCTGTCACTCTCACGATCCTGCCCTTGTGTCGGTCTCGGCTCGGGAGATGTGTGCGATCCTATTGCAAGGAGAGGGTAACCACGAGTAAGAGCCGCAACGTTGCGTATGCGGACCGCATCACTCCGACGTCTACGATGCTTCGTAGAGTTTGCCTTGTGCTGGGCTTGTCTGCCTTGTAGGGCAGAGTGAAGCCTGATGCATCTTGGACCAAGCGCCGGCTCAACATAGACGCGTTAATCTGGACAGCTGACGAGGCACGAAGGTTACCGCCATTGCGGTCTGGCCACGCAGAGATCCTCACACTGCCTCCTGCATATTTACATCTCCGACGTCTCTGACAACACCCAAGAGAGGTCATCACATCTAACCCAACGAAGGCGTGTCGGTGTGACCCGCGGTATCAAGCCTCCTCAGGCACGGCCGCGACGTTGAGGAGTCCATACCCTGACACGAAGCGGCAGAGGTCGATGAGTCGTCACGTCCAGAAAGGGCACTGGTGAGTGGGATTGAAACATCTCGAGAGAGCTACCCACCGCCCTGCGCAGCAAACGCCGCGAGCTGGCCAGCCTTGGTCGAGTAGACCATACGGTGGGCCGAGCGTGCTCGACTCTACTACCGTCGAGGAGACGAGGGTCGGGGTCCGACTTTCCTCACTGTACCGCTGACAAGGTTTGGAGTTGCATTTTGCAGACAGGCCTCTCGACTGCTCTGACGTGAATGCCCTGTGGATGAGCGAGGTCTGCCTGGACTACGCATCCATCTCTCTCCATCGTGTCTATGAGCGGCGGACATCAAATCCATGACGTTACAGTCGGCACAAACCATGGGCGGGGGATAACCTCCGGCTAGGCCAACTAGGCGTTTCTAGCTTGTGAGACGTGGAATGTTTGTCACCGTCACATGCTGGGGCAACCGCATATATCTCTATTCGAGTGTGTTCGTTTGCTGGATCTGGCGGGGGAAAACGAACTCGGTTCGAGAGGCCGGTTAAGCTGCGTTTGGAAAGTCGTTCGGCGTTTCGGGGGAAGGGGGTGGGGAGAGGCTCGGTACGCGTCCTTCTTCTCCGAACCCATGCCATGTTTAGACATTCTTTTGGCAATAGCGGACAAGCAAGCAAGCCATGGGAACCACCGGTAAGACAACCAAGGTCAAAATACGTGATCATTGTTTCCTCGACTACACCACCACCCAAACCCTCCCCCTTGATCACCCACCAACTGTAATCTCTCTCCGGGTGAGACCAAACCAAACCCCTCTACCCCTCCCTTTGCAGAAAGCATATCAGACAACCAGACCACACACCCCCGCCATCTCTCTCTTTCTCTCTCTTGCTCCAAATGTGATAATTGGCACCAACGACGTAAAGGTACCAACGTAGCGAGGGAGGGTATCTACATGTAGCCCTTGATGCCGTCAAAACCCGCTACCAGATCCGCTCGTTTGTACTGTGTGCTTGTGTAAAGGCCGTTGGTGGTTGTTGTTATGCGCGTATGTCATGCTCGTTTCCCACCCTTCCGTCGTCGTCATCGCCGCTGTGTCTCCTGAATTGGTATCGAAATAATTCCTCCCTCCCCCCCTGAACAGAATACAAGATAGACAAGAAAAGCAATAGAATGATGAAAAGAGAAAGAAATCAAACAGGGGAAAAAAAAGAAAAGCCAAGCCAGCGCCTCGCCATGTCCGCCCTGCATTGCTGTACTGCCACGACTTCTCATACGCCGTCGATCACGTCTCATCGTCTGGGCAGGTTGTTAGCCCGGTATGCTGACGCACCCCCCGTGTTCCATCCCTGGTTGACGCTATTCTTGACAATCAGAGCAGCAGCCGCGGCGGCGGCCTGACGCTCCTTTTGACGGTGTCGCTCGCGGAGGTAATTGGTCGCCTCGGGCCTCATGCGAAGGATGCGGAGGATCATGTCATCGCTGGGATCCGCCTGGGCCTCTTTGCGCTTCTCTTCCTTGGCCTTCCTCATCGTGCCCAAGTTCCGGCTCATCATGATGCTCTTGCCGCGCCGGATGGTGCCCATGCTGGCAAAAGCACCCGGTCCGCCGCTGAAAGTCGGGCCAAATGTCGCAGGAGCCGAGAGACGGTTTTCGTGCTTCTCTTGGAGCAGCATCTGGGTCGCACGCTGGGCATTGGCAGCTGCCATGCGCTCGGATTCTCGAATCAGGTTGTCGGTCTGCTCAAAGTAGAAGAAGTTCAGGGCTGCTAGTTCATGCCACTTGGGGGACTTTAGAACGTCTTGCGGCACACCCAACTGTTCCCCGGAGTCGTCCTTGGCGTTAAAGAACTCGAAGAGCGAGTTGAGCCATTGGTAGACAATGTCGAGCTCTTTCTGGGACAAGGGCCTTTGCGAAGATGGCTTCTCGGACAGAGGCGGCACCAAGAGGCTTTCAATCGCCTGGAGGACCTCCTTCCACAAACGAGTCATAACCGCCAGCATCGTAGCGTCTGTCAGAGTTTGCTTCATAATAGCGAAGTTCTGGTCGAAGTAGTGAAAAAGTGGCTGCAGTGCACCTTCGATGTCGCTCGCGGTCGTGATAGTAGGCATCGTAGAAGCTCTCTTCTTCCACAGGCCGGCCACTTGAGAGCCAATGCCACCACCTTTGACCAAGTTTCGTAGAGTTTCGTGAGAGATCGTGGCGCTGATCTGATCCCGGAGCTGGAATGAGGGTCAGTAACTACTACTTCATATACTAACGCCAAGGAACGCACCTTATCCGTAATCTTGCGAACCATGTCTCTCTCTGTCCTCTTCAAGTGTCGGAACGCCTTTCCGAAGTAAAACTGGATGTCGTCTCGCTCGCCTTCCATGCTCACACGAAGCAAAAGTCTTCCTTGGGTGTCCAAGTCGAGCCAGTATTCGCGGGGCAGGTAATCACTGAAGTGAATAGGATCGACCTTGAGTGAAGTACGGCCGACAAAGTCATGGTCACCAAAGGTGTCGTAGTCCCAGATGGTGGCGATGATGTTAAGGGGGCTCGAGACTGTGATGTCGACGGACTCGTCCCAACGGGGGTTCAAGTTTCTGTACACAATGCGTGTCTTATAAAGACGCTTTTGGTATTCGTCTCCAAGAACCACGTAGGGGTCGCTGAAACCACCAGGATCGCAGGCTTTGAGGTCCTCGGCCTCTACTACCTTGATCGTGAAGACGTACTTGTTAGGACGTCTGGGTTGCTGCTTCCCGAGGCCTTCGGCTTTTCGCAAAACTTCAGCACAAGCGTCGACGTTCATGGCTTTCTCCAACTTGTCCAGTTCTTGCATGGCGTGCTCAATGTTGTTGAGTTTCACAAAAGACTGCCGAACATGTTAGCAAGCCGACATAGATCAGGAGGCAGGTACAAACCTCGGGATAGAAATGGAAGGGCTCAGGGGCGTCTTTGGTGTTCCAGGCGTCTCGAGCATATTGAGCGTACTGCATGAATTTTTCTTGGGTCGTCTTGCTTGCGGCAACCTCCTGCGCCGTGGGCCGGTCCATTTCTTTCGCAAAGCGCTTCTCGAGCTCCTCGCAGTACTGTCCGATGCCAGCTGCGTAGGACCGTGCCAGAGCCGTCATGAACCTAGCATGGTGGACGTCGCTGTCCCACTCTAGCTGGTAGACCTGCTCCATGGTTTGATGGAACATCAAAAATATATCAACGACGGAAGTGCTGTGCCGCTCGGCATCCGTGGGTATTTTATTGGGGTCGTCAGTGCGGACTTGGAATGAATCCTGACTGATGGCACCATCAACCACTTCCACCATGACAGTCTCAGCGTTGCGAACCCATCGCCAAACGAAATCAACAAGTAGTTCCTCAATTTGGAACTCGAAAGGCTTGTCGGGCAATGCGGCATGGTGAGTACGCCGCATTTCGACTAACTCCTTGTAAAGGTCGAAGCCATCCTGCACGTTGATTTCCATTTCCTTCTCTTTGGCAACCGCGATCGTCCGCTCAATGATGTGCTGGGCGTCCCGTTCGTAGCTGGGAAACATGATTTCCACCAAGATCTGCCAGATTTGAACACCCATGACCTCCGGAAGGTTTTTGTATCGCTTCTGGATCTTGTTCGAAAGCTTGGTGACTGCTCGTCCGAGCTCGACAACGTGAGTGAATTCCCATTCCGAGGCATGGTTAGGTAGTTTCTCATGGACAAAGGCGTTATAGGCGTCGGTCGCAGCACGTCGCAGACCTTCAGTGAGATGTGCAGCGAACTCCTGAACCTGCTCGGGCTTCGCAGAAAATGCAGGGTCGGATTGAACGTGTTCCTCCAGAAGAGTCATGACGGACCCAATGTTTGGTGGCTTGGGTCCGTAACAGTTAAGCATTAGGTTGTAGAGATCTCGCAGCAGAGCATCATAGAGACTGTTCAACGTTTGCTGGTACACGGCAAAGTCGTGCATCGTCCAACGGCTTTGATCGATCTCGAGCAGACCGAGGTTGTATTGGTGCAAGTGTGGCGGTTTCTTCCTCTCCATTTCCGAGGTCTTTGCATTGTCCATGACCACGACGAGATCTTCGGCCAGGATCTCTCCATCCAGAAACTTTTTGACAGCCACCTCAATGAAGGCAATGAGCCTCGAGAACTGCGGCAGCCGCCAGTAGACGCTTAGCTCCATAAGTAGATCCTTGGACTGCTGCGAGAGCGGCGTGTATTCCGCCGCCGGATCAGCATGCAGCTGGTCGTAAGTCATGCAGTCCTTCAAAATGGCCTTGTAGAAAGCTCTGGCGTCGTTGGGGATAAAAGTATAGACGACTTCATCGAAGGCCTGACTCGAGTCGTCAAGCGACAAAGAACCGAAATTAATCGAACTGTCAAAGTTCAGAATGGAACCATCAGGGCTGGAGATTGCTTTGCTGATTTCAGAATACGACTGCTCCTCCCCGAAGAAGGTGGATTGAGGCCGGCCAGGGAGCCCCTTATCCGCTCCTGCTGTCGATGTCTTGGCCAGCTCGGGTTTGACAGTCAATATGTCAAGAATGATTTGAGAAAGATGGGGTGCTTCGGCCCGTTTCCATTCTTGAAATGCGTCCTCGAGATCGAAGTCCTGACTTCTTAAAGCGCCAGGGGCATCCGAAGCTAGTCTTTGTTGGTAATTCTTCATGTCTTTGATGGCATTTTCTTCAGTCCAAATTTGGCGGTTGGCCTCGAGATCAGCCTGCACTTCTGAGTTGGATCGACCAAATATGCGAGCCACAGTAAGAACCAGCGGCATGTCCTTCACGTCGTAGCTCAGGGGGGCAACGACCTCGATGTAGCTACCTCCATCTCCGGCGGAATCGAGGGACAGGTTCTGGTCCCTAGTGAGTAGTTTGTTCTCCAATGTGTGCAACCGGCTCATCAGCTCGGGCCTGTCTCTGTCGTGCCCTTGGTCTCGAAGAGTCTGCGCCACTAGCCTGATGAACATAGCCATATGCCTGTCGGCTGTTTCCTTCCACGAATCATCCGTCGCCGATGTCAACTGGGCGTACTTCTGGTTGGCCTTGGTGGCAGACGAGTAGAACATGAGGACATAAGGCTCGAGCTTGCGATCCTTCTCGACCGATTTTTGGAAGTTCTTATCGGTGAATGCGGTGTATGCCTCGGCAAAGCTTCGCTTGAGAGCCGAATCATTGAAGCCTTGCATAGGTTCCTTGCCTGTTAGAACGTTCTTAAGTCTCTTTTCCAAGGGTTTTTGGAAGCCGTGAGGCAGCTTGATGCTGTTGGAGCCCGACGAGACGAATTGGCCAACCAGTTCGGTAACACTGGTGTGCGATCTCTGCGCGGGTTTCGGAGCGGCGACATATTGTTTCCGTTTTTGTCTCGGCTGGAGAAGGTAGTTGAGGTAGGCGATACGCAGGGCGAAGGTGTAGGCATCGTCGTGGCTGACAACGGTGATGTTACCCCTGGATGCTCCTCGCGGTCTCATGCTGATCCGATTGCTGTTCGGGCGACGGCCTGGCATCCACGAGCTTCTAGACGCGGACGACATGGTCGCTGATCGTAACGGGTCCGGAGATGCGTGGGGTCGAAGATCGGACGTGGACGATAACGGGGCTTGGATTTATCGGAGAGCTGTCATTCTCGTACCCAGCGCAGGATAGCCAGCTATATAGTTCGCAGTGTGTCGGCTGTTACCTTTTGCGAAGCGACCGGTTAGTCGGCTGGTGAAGAGGTTTTTCGGCGTGGAGGGGAAGACAGCTGGCTTGTCGGCCGTTAGTCGGTCGGTGGTTCGGGGAGGTGAAGGTTGACGTGAAAGTGGCCGCGGGCGTGGAAGGTGGTGTTGTTCGGTCAAGCAGCCGCTTGGGGACCCTCAGAAGGTTTGGGGGTTGATGTTTGGCCCAGCAGGTGACACACGTCATTGGCAGAAAAGGAGATGCGGTGACTGCCGGGACCCCTTGTACTTTTCAGGAAAAGGTGGCACGGTGGTACCTGCGGCCCTGCGCGGCGCTAAGCGGCCCCAGTTAAAAGTATTTCCATAAGGACTAGATGGGCTCACAAGGCCTGTAGGGACAGAATGGAACGTGTATCGGGTATCGATGATGCCTGACGGGGCCCCGTGGACGGGGGCCGGACCACTAGCTACTGCACTTCTGGCCCGACGATACGACAGCTCAGTCGACCACCTAGGTACTCTGGTGAGCGAACAGATGCTCAAAATTGCAGTATATCCGTGGTTTCCTACTTGGTCAAGAGCAAGGTACATGACAATCACCGTGGGTCGCGGTGCAACAAAGCTAAAAGTAAAGCAGAACAGAGCAAGCATCAACAAGCTCCAAGGGGGCAGAAGAATTGCTTAGGACAGCAGCATCATTTATGATAACCTCGACGCTTTCGATCCCCCGAGTCCATTGAAGAATATGCTGTTTCCAGCCCACGCTAACTTGAGCCAAAAATACTACACTTGTATACGGGATACATGGTCTTGAGTGACGTGCAGTTGCCATGCCTTGAATACGGTGCTCTTGGCCATTTTCAGCAGTCAGTCACCCGAAACTCAGCCTCATCTGCCAATACTCGCGGCCACCGACAACTCCTCGCGCATTCTTGTTCGTCAATAGTACTAACTACAAGCTAGCAACGACGAGGAGGAGAGGTGGCACCACAGGTCAGATGTTTCCGCGCAGTGTTTCTCGGGCATTTATTTCGACTTGATCTTTTTGTTTAATTTTCTTTCATTCTCCACTGCTTCCCCCATAATCGAAATGGCCCAGGACCACCACCGTGGCCGTCCATGCCAGCGAATAATGGTTCGTCCGGACCAGAGATGGAGCGGTATGAACGCGCATGTCCGATCCGTCATGCGCAGCTCCTCATTTCCCGGCCCTTATCATCCATCCTCCGCGTCTGCTAGGTATTCTGCCCGTCTGCTCTAGTGCTTTCTTATGGCCTCTGGGATTGCATACCGCAGTTGTGCCTCGGGTCCCTGTAGCCGCAGGTGCCAGACTGAAATGGTTGAACCAATCAACGACGGCTCCGTACCACTTTGGAAAGTGAACATTGTAGCTGCCATCTATACTAGAGATACTTGCCCAGGCTGGAGCCTGTCCCAAGCCAAGATGATCAGATCGACGTTGCGTCCTGGCGAGCGAGCAATGGAAAGCTCTCAAGCTACTGTAGACTGCAGGCGCCAGCGTTTGCTGTGTCCTCTCGTCCGTCGCAAATTTGTACGAGACATGTTCCTTGTCTGCCGCTGGGAGACTGGGGGTTGCATGGTCCAGTGTTTATCTCACACACGGTCGAGTCCGGAGGCGTGAGCCGTGAAAAGTCAGAGAGGCGAAATTGCCCCACGCAACGCCTAAATGGAAGCAGAAAAAGGCATACGTTGTAGGGAGAGCTCGATATCCGCTAGTCGGCCATGACTCCGCGGCCGCATACACCGGCATAGCCATAGGGAAAGACAAGCCCTAGTGGTCCTTTTCAGTTACAAGCGAGCAAGAACAGAATTGCCAGGAAGTCAGGAATGATTCGCCATAGTTCAAAGTTGGAAGGAATCCGCCAGTTGCCAATACGCCGCTTGAGATGCTCTTAGCTTCGCACTGACCGGACGGCCGGTCGTGCAGACGACGTCTGATGGCGGATGGCGGCCGTTGACCGTTGACGTTTGCGTTGCCCTGCTCTGCTGGAAGAGGAATTCTGAAACGGTTCTTTGGTCTCTTCTTTTGCTCAAGAGTCGGGGTGTCGGTTGGAGATGTACTGACCCAAAGGGAGAACAGAGAGCAAAGCGCCTAGGTTGCCACGAAGGCTAAAACCAAAATGACTGGACTGCACCCACAGACGCAAAGTCTCCTGTCGACTGCATACTTGTTCGATGATGCTCGAGGTCCTGGAGAAGGATCAGCGATTGACTTTCAAACCGGTCTGACTTGACTAGGAAGCCCCTCTCCAAAACCCCCCCATCCCTCGACCGCTACCCCTTGTTTTTATGCAACGCAGAGGTATGTATTATTGGAAGCCTGCAGATTGTGCCGTTGCAAGTTGAGAGGTTTGTTCCCGACTTTCTGGGGTTTTGTTTTTTTTGGAATTTCAGACCAGATCAGGCCAGGCTCATAGGCAGGCGATCGATGGTAAAGCCCTAGGTTCGAGAGACAAGGCTGTGTCTCCACGACGCAAGGTACAGACGGACACCCTCGCGGTGTTGGAACAGAATCTTGCCGTGCTGGCTTCGCTTCCCCAAGTCGGGAGGGGCAACCACCAAGGAGTGGAGAGGATGCGGAGGCAGAAGTGACCAAACAGATTGCGCATCCAGTCAGCTTGCGCGCTTGTCGTGGTGGAAAATGAGGTGCCTTGCTATGCAAATGGGCCGGGCAGTTGGTGGTGTGGTGATCCCATGCGCTTTGGTCAACTGTCGAGGGACATTGAGCTGCTGACCCCACCAAAAGACCGCTAAAGAGGTGAAATCAGAAAGAGGCCGCCGTGCTAAGGGGGTCATGGACGCTGTTCAATTCCCCAAAACGAAGGCACATGAAACTTGAAGTGAGAAAATGGGGTGTGCCTGATGCTGGTGTTGGTTGAAGCGGGTTGGCAGGGTGCTTCGCCAAGCTCACCTCACTCGATCCGCGTACCTACATGCCATGGCCGACATGGTGGTGACTGCGTGCCTTTTTTTTTCGCTACTAAATGATGCAGGACCACCTGCGAAGACGGTTGCTGTGTGGGAGAGAGATGTAGCGAGAGAGAAAGAGAAAGAGAGGTCGGGTGGATTGAGGCCGGCGGCCAGGGGTCGGGATGAATGTGAATCGGCGCCAATCTTGTCTTTGCCCACCTTGAGTATGAAGTGGGCTTGATTCAACGTCACAACAGGGGAGGCAACTTTGGGCGAGGTTCCTCTATTACTATGTACATCCAGTACCGCTGGAGTGTCTCCGTTACAGCGCGTGCCTTTCCGATTCAGACGAGGTGGCATGGTACCTGACCTTACCTTTGCCTTACTCCAGACCAAGGAATGACAGGCCCAGCCCAGCCCAGCCTGGAAGTGTAGCCCACATTTCACTTGTATACGTGACCTTCTACTGGCAGCGAACTGCCGCGGCGAATGAAGTGCCCTGAACCTGATCGCGGGACCAGACGACGACCACGACCACGACCACAGGAGGGGGAGCAGCAACAGCAGCAACAGCAAAAGCGGCAGCAACAGGCCTCTGAGGCAGACGTGCCGCAACCCAGCAGGTCCTCCGCCTCCATCGATATCGCAACATTCAACCTGCGCATTTCCATGACTCTTTTACTCGTTCCCCTTCCATCATTCTACAACTACCACACATTGCTGGCATTTTAGCTCACATTCCATTTCTTCCCACCTCGAGAGCCGTCGTCGCCTTCCCCTCGCCCTTCTCAACCCCACTACCGCCCCCTTCGCTCAGGCCGTCCTCGCCTTCAGCAGCGTCTCAAAGCTGGCTGCGCGCAGTCTACAGTCTCGTATCGCCGACCCTGTGGGTGTGGCTTGGCCTTGTCTTGCGTCGCCAAATGTCCACGATCCTAGCCAACTTGCGACCCCGCGCTGCGAAGCCCGAATACCATCTCAGAGGCGTCCCCTCTGCCTCACCCGCAACATATTCCACCTCCATGCGCCGTTAACTCCCCGATCATTATCTCAACATGGGCATCGTTAGCAGCAAGCCCGAAGACGGGGCCGCCCTCTATCTTAGAGACCAGAATCGACGTGCGATCTTCCACCTACCCCCTCGTCCTGCTTGCCAGTTCATGCATGCAGCCTTGCGCCTTCTCCTCCAGCTAACCATTTGACACGCAGTATCCGTATCCTCCCTCGTCATCTCCAACCCACGAAGGCGTTCGTCCATAAACATCGTTCCCAATTCGTTCCCTGCTACCAGAGTATCGGCTTCGCGCCCACTAGGCGACAGCAGTCCCATAGAATTTGTCCAGGTTCGTTGGCGCAAACAGAGACGTCTTTATGACCCGTCCTTCTCCTCCTCCTCCTCCTCCTCCTCCTCCCTTCTCCTAGAGCAGCGTGTGCTGATTTTTCACCTTTGCAGGACACTGAAGTCGTCACGAGCCCAGGTGGCATCCCGAATTTTATACTAAAGCTCACCCACGACGACGAGCTTGTCTTTACCTTTACCTTCGTCATTCGCCAAGGACAGCAGTTTGTCACCAACGGCACTACCGACACCGTCGCTACGGTCGATACCCAGATCAGCGGGCTGACATATGTCTACGCCTCAACACCGCGCGAGGTAGAGAACCTGGTCACAAGAGAGTTCCATGCGGACCCGAATCTACACAAGAATTCCAATGTCGAGTTGGTGGGCGACTTTGGGACCGGTGGCACCCCCTCGGTATCCTTTGAATGGACCTGGAAATGGAAGCCGCCAAAGAACGTGGAAGACAGAGGCGGTGGATGGAGGAACTCTTGCAGCGTATGTTTGCTACTGAGCCGTTCTCGTCTGACCTGTGCTCACCCTTTTGCAGTTCGTCGAGTATGATCCTCGCAACCACTGTCTGCACACTTTAGTCAGTTTCTCTTACTGGGTTTCGAGTAAGTTTTGGTCCTTGCGTCTCGTTCTCTCACTGCGACTGACGATCTTGCAGACCCAGCTTTGCCGCTCAGCCACCCCAACTCGCCGTCTCCTCCCTTCCTCTTGACGGCGCCTCCCAAGATCCGAGTTGCATCATCTCAGTCCGTCGATTCTCGAATCAGTCATGCCGAATTAGATGAACCCTCGTCGCCCCTGCCAGCCAACTTCTCTTCTACCACCCTACTCCCCGGGCCACAAACGGCACAGGAACCGATCAAAGTGGATGTCGCTTGTCCCAAACCAACAGATGACGTCCTCGTTCCAGACGATGGTCCGGTCTTTAGAGCAACAATAAAGGCGTTGGAGCAAAAGACGGGCAATATGCGAACGCAGATGAAGCGCGTGCTCAAGATGGCCAAGCAAGCGCACGAAGCGCAGGTGGAAGCCAACAAGAATTTCTCCGAGTTCATCGACACCCTTCGCGAAGCTTCGTCTACAAACGCCAATGCCGTGCAACCAGCTATCGAACACTACTTCGACAAGATTGCCCGCGAGATCCTGTCGTACGAGCGAACAAACACGGTCAACCTCAAGCGCATTGTGATCGACCCACTGGACAAGTTCTACACGGTCGACATCAAGCAAGCCGAATCGAAGAAAAGAGACTTTGAAGAGGAGAGCAAGGACTACTATGCTTATGTCTCGAGGTATCTCGGCCAGCGTCACGACTCAGTCAAGGCCAAGAAACTGGCGGAAAGTGACTCCAAATACCAGACGAAGCGCCGCAACTTTGAGCTCAAGCGGTTTGACTACTCAAGCTTCATGCAGGACCTACATGGCGGCAGGAAGGAGCAGGAAGTGTTGTCACACCTTACGAGGTATGCCGATGCTCAGACGAAGAGTTTCCTCGAGGCGGCAAAGAAGATCGATACTCTGCTGCCTCAACTGGAGGCGCTCTCGAGCGAGGTGCAAGAGGCCGACAAGGAATATCAATACCAGCGGCGCGAACGGGAGGAGAAGAGGAGACTGCTCGAAAAGAGCAACCAGCCTTATAACGAGCCGGATCCTGCGCCAGCACCTGGAACTAGTGCTGGTCAAGTCACGGGCTCAAACGGGAATGCATACGTCTCCGATAGCGATTTGGGCCGCGCTGACAGCACGGGATCGCAGCTGAAGATCGGGCTGTCCTCGGGCTCAAATCCTTCAATAGCCATGGCATCTCCTGAGCTATCTAGGTCGCCAGGCAGCCTTGGCAACTCTTCCGTGGGTAGCCCTGCTCAAGCTTCGAAATTCAAGGGCATCCGTGACTTGGAGGAGAAAGACTATGGACAGCTTTCTAGCGCCAGCAGCAGCGCCCAGCGGAAAGAGGGCCTCTTGTGGTCTCTGAGCAAGGCTGGTAGCAATCACGTAGACCCGCGGAACCTGAACAAGCAGGGTTGGCATAAGTAAGTCCACCCAACCCATCTTTGACACGGCAACCGTTCTGACCGCAACAGGTTCTGGATTGTACTCGACCAAGGCAAGCTCTCGGAGTATAGTAACTGGAAACAGAGGTTGGATCTGCACAATGATCCGATCGATTTGAGGATGGCGTCCGTCAGAGAGGCCCGTAATGCAGAGCGCCGGTTCTGCTTTGAAGTCATTACGCCTCAGTTCAAACGCGTATACCAGGCCACATCTGAAGAAGACATGAACAGTTGGATCACAGCCATCAACAATGCATTGCAGAGTGCGGTTGAGGGTCGTATCATGAGGGACAAGTCTACCCCGAGCGACTCCGGCCCCATCAAGAGAGACATTGGCTCTATTCTCACGGGCAAGAGCCCTTCTGTTGGGCACAACAGTCATCATCACATAAACTCGAACAATGCACCCGTCCGTCGAATCACGGTCGGTGCTCGGCCCAGCACGCACAGGTCCTCCAGCTCAACTTACGACGAGAATCCTGACAAGTTACTGCAACTGCTTCGCGATAACGACCAAGGCAATTGCTGGTGCGCTGACTGCGGGTCGGGCACAAAGGTCGAGTGGGTCTCCATCAACCTAGCCATCATTCTTTGCATCGAATGCAGTGGCATTCATCGCTCTCTTGGCACGCATATCAGCAAAGTGCGATCTCTGACCCTGGACATCAACTCTTTTACCTCTGATATTGTCGAGCTCCTGCTTCTTGTTGGAAACAGGGTGTCCAACATGATTTGGGAAGCGAGACTTGAGCCTGGGTTGAAGCCGACACCCCAGGCAACGCGAGAGCAGCGGCTGAGGTTCATTACTGCCAAGTACGCCGATAGGGCCTACATAGAGCCGATCTCGGCAACTCTCTCGCGCTACCCGACTCCTGAAGATACCTTACTGGCGGCCATTAAGAAGAACGAGATCCAGCAAGTAATTTACGCACTGGCTCTACGAGCCAGCCCCAACGTCACAGACAGATCTCGCGGAACGCATGCAGTGTTCTTAGCTCTTGCGGCTGCCGACCCTGCCTCGCCTTCTCCCATTCCAGGGCAGCCTCCTGAGACGGACAGAACGGCGACGTTCCCGGTGGCAGAGATGCTCCTCCAGAACGGGGCAGAAATACCATCCTCGATGCCGGCTTTCCCATTAAGCCGCAGCGCACAGTTGTACATTGAAGAGAAGCGGGGACGGAATTCGGGGTTCTCGAGCGATGGTGTCGGATCATTACCCGGCAACCTCAGTCCGAACGAAAAGCTTCAGCGGGAGAGAGATGCTCGGCTACAGAAGAGAGTGAGCGCAGGAGGACGTCTGGCTAAGAGCCCGATTCCGGAAAGGTAGCGACCTGCCTGTTTCGAGCGGCTGGCGCAGTTGAACATGTGCCTTGCTTTCGCAATGCACGTGAGACGCAGGTCTTCTCTCGACGTCCACTTAACGACAGATGGCTACGATTCTGAGTGTGATGATGGATGAAACCCCATCTTGGCACTGGCTGTAAGGCGGGAGATTAATGCTTGGCGTACTTGTCTATCATCACCAGAAGGTATGTTGCGTCTCGGGGGTCTGGTATTTTCCGGGCGAGAGCCCAGTCCCGTTCCATGGCACGAAGTGGATAACGGGGTCATGCCCTCATATGTAGCATGTGTTTGATGACAGAAGTCTGGCGCGAACAGGCACATTGGAGTAGTCCTCGATTGGAAAATGCGAGGGTAGGAAAGGCGGAGACGGCTGTCGCGTGCTTGTGTTTGTCTGTGTGTATGGATAGTAATAGTAATGAAATGATGAGCACAAAACATTGATGAACACTCTGTACGGACATTACAGGACCAATCCAACTCGTTGTCGTAACATCTATCCAAAGAAGTAGGAGAAGCCAAGCACGTGGGAGGGAGAAAATTGGCTCGGTGAGTCGGTGAGATATACCTACGATAGCTATGCCAGAAAATCGCCTGTGGGTTGGCGGCAGGTGAGCCACCCACGTGGGTTTGGCGGTTATGAATCACGTCTCTACTTTTGGCGTCATGGTCACACACCAAGCGATACAGCCCACCTCAGCGTGAGGATGGCGAATGGGACTGGCACGAACTGGGTACGAGGTCACATGCGACGAGGGGCGGCCGCCTCTTCGCTCTCTATCGAAGTCTTCCCTTGTAGGAGGGGATGCCACTAATCGAGAGCGACGCATGACGAAATGTCTCGGTTGGCGAGCCGAGGCGACGACGAACGAGGGCGTTCGCATAAGCTGTTTTACTGAACGGAACCTGTCAAGGCGGGGCGGAAGGGACGGGCTGAGACTTGCGGTCTGTTTTGGTAGGCTTTTGGGGGTGGCTGACCAGAACGTCGGGATCTCGTTCATGATTGTATGAGCGATGCGCCGTATGATTCATGCCCGCTGGTGAGCGACTATGGGTGATGGTGTAGAGCGTGGTGTTGTTGGAATATGGCACACGAGACCGGGTTCTCCGCCGCTTGGGAAGGTAAGTATTAGAAGGAGTGGGGACCTGGGGCGCAACCGTCTCACGCGCCTCTTGTTATCTGTGTCTGCCTGCTCAGCCGTCATGATCGGGAGGCACACTCGTATGGCGGAAGAAAAAGAGTCATTCTGAGCACCTTGACTGAGTTGAACTGATCAACCGTCCACCCCCCACACCCCACACTGCTTTCTCTCTCTCTCTCTCTCTCTCTCTTCCAACGAAACGCCAACGTTGTCGACTAGGAAATCGAACGCCCTCGTTATCGCTGGAGGGAACTTTCAGCCCGAACTTTCTAAGGAACCGGATACTGGACGCTGGACTGGACTGGGCTGGACTGGACTAGGTCTTGGATCACACTCTTGCGGGGTGTGAATTTGGCCCTGACTTCATCGAGAACTTCATCCCTTCTCACATCTACTGGACCCAAGGATGGAACGATATTGAGTTCAGGAAGGAAACAATCGATGGAGAACGCATTTCTAGGCTCCCGCGAACCAACAGCAGCCAGTCATCCAACAAGCCCCAAAGACCCACTTGTCTTGCACGGTCCCTCCGATCCCGAGAAGAGGAAGACCCTGTTATCCTCCGGCTGTTTGGGGTGGCATTGCCATTCAGCCCAGCTGGTCCCAAGCAGGCCCCCAGCACAGCTCAAGCTTGTAGTGTAGAGACGCACAACAGGAGGCGTGCAAGCACAGGCCGAGAGCAGCCCAGAGCAGGGTGGTTCTTCCACTTCCTGGCCTGACCTTTCCTCCCCACTCCACTTGGGGAACCGACATTCGCAGTAGCTTCCCCATTTCTAGGCTGCACCCACGCTCACTCCCTCGGGACTTGCCTTTTCTGAACAAGCTGCTTTATTAATTCGGAGCCTCGCCGTTCATCGCCTTCACTCCCTTACCTTAGGCAACACTTCCCAAACAACTCCATCATCACCAAATCCGTTACAACATCCGCACGCGTATTCGCTCTTCTTATCCCCCCAGAGTCGCTTGCACAAATCGACTTGTTGCATTCGCTTGTCATAAAAAGATCGCCACATCTATTGGGACCCAATAATCATCGTCGGCTACGTTACTCGCCTACCTATTGCTGCTGTTGCTGCCTTCCCACTCGCGCGAATCAAGCCAACACAGCAATAATCCCATCCGAGGCCATGGCTCCTCAATCCGAAAAGAGCCAATTGAAACGAACAAGAGTGAGTCGCTTGTTAATCTGCCCGGCCTTCTGGTGTGCAATCCTAAACCGTTTTACCCTACCAAAGGGTTCTCTACCAGAATCGGACCTGGATGCGAAGAAGCCCCGCCGTTCAGAGAGGATATCGCCAGGACCCAACGACAAGACCCCAGTCTCCAACAAGCACCAACTTCCGTCCCCGGTTACGAGGGACGGCGATTCGGACGAAGTCTACAAGGAGCCCACCGCCACGCCCCCGGAGGGCCGGCCCAGCCAGGTCAATCACCGCGAAAAGGACGACGCGTCGCAAGCCTTGAACAACATCTCGTCGCCACCGCAGGACACTCAGGCCTTTTCGCAATACCCCCAGGAGACGAAAGATGCCCTTTCGGACGAGGTTGAAGATGAGGTAAAGGAGGGTGTCTGGGGATATCTGTTCCCACTCGATACGAAGTATGGCAAGGTCGTCGTTATGAAGAAGAGGGCTGCTTGCCCTTTGCCAGATACCATCGACGCAGCGAAAGACTTAGCGGCTAAGGACCAGAAGGGCAAGTCGACTCTGCAAAAAGAGGAGGAGGCATATGAACGTACGAAGATTAAGGGGGTTGCTTCGGGCGGGTACTTGATCGGACGTCACCCGGAGTGCGGTAAGTTTGGCCTGCCCCTGGTTGTAGTCATCGACGCTGACGGAATGCAGACATCGTCGTGGATGACCCCATTGTTTCGAATCGACACTGCCTAATCTTTTCCGAGAATAAGGGCGGCGATCATGTGGCCATCGTGGAGGACCTCTCTAGCAACGGAACCTTCGTCAACGAGGCCAACGTGGGCCGGAACAAGCGGAGAGAGCTTCAGGAACAGGACGAAATTGCCGTCATCGACAAAGCCCGCTTCATCTTCAGATACCCGAAGACCCGGCAATCCAGCGCCTTCCTGAACCAATATACGCTACTGGAGAAGCTCGGCAAGGGCCATTTTGCCGAGGTATTTTTGTGTGTTGAGAAATCTACCGGCCAAAGATATGCCGTCAAGATCTTCACCAAGACTGCCGGCATGGACGAAAGGTCGAAACAAGAGGGCCTGCAGCAGGAGATCGCCGTTCTCATGGGTGTCAGTCACCCCAACGTCCTCTGCCTGAAGGACACATTCAACGAGCGGAACGCTGTGTACCTGGTGCTTGAACTGGCGCCCGAAGGCGAGCTGTTCAACTTTATCGTCATGAAGCAGAAGCTGAGCGAAGACGAATCGCGCAAGCTTTTTAAGCAACTTTTCCAAGGCATCAAGTATCTGGTATGTTAGCCAAGCGCCTCATCTTGAGCCCCAAACTAACAAGGACTAGCACGATCGCAATATTGTGCATCGCGATATCAAGCCCGAGAACATTCTGATGGTGGACAAGGATCTCCATGTCAAGTTGGCTGATTTCGGCTTGGCCAAGATCATCGGTGAGGAGTCCTTCACGACCACGTTATGCGGTACGCCCAGTTATGTGGCACCGGAGATTTTGGCCGAGGGTAGACACCGGAAGTATACCAAAGCGGTGGATATCTGGTCTCTCGGTGTGGTGTTGTATATCTGCTTGTGTGGCTTCCCTCCATTCTCGGACGAGCTCTACTCAAAGGATTTTCCTTTCACGTTGTCGCAACAAATCAAAAGCGGACGTTTCGACTATCCCTCACCGTACTGGGATTCTGTCGGGGACCCTGCTCGTAAGTACTCTCCGGGTGGACGGGGTGCTGACATAGATGCCGACTAACTGAATCAGTTGACTTGATCGACTCCATGCTGGTTGTCGATCCCGAACGTCGCTTCACTGTCGACCAGTGTCTCAACCACCCCTGGATGACTCAGAACCAGCCGGGTGTCAATGACAGTACCGATGGCTTGGTCGGTGGTATCCAAGGCTTGGATGTCCATCGGCGAGGCGTCGCCAGAGAACGGACGTTGCTAAGCTCCATGAACTCGGTACAAGTTGCCACTAGGCCGCCGATTGGAGACAGCAAGAAGCCCGTCCACATATACGCTAAGAACACGAAGAAGATGACCCCGAAGGAGGTCGATCCTCATGGACAACGGAACGTGAGTGAATTCGTTGAGATGGGTGGCAAAGGCGACCAGCCACTCTTCGGCGCAGACGGCGAAAGTATATACTCCAAGAAGGACATCAGTGGCGGCAAGACGAAGAATGGTGAGAAGTAGAGGGCTGCAGTCTGTGATTGCATCCGTCAGTCTCTGTCGTATTCACCTGTGAATCATGTTGCGATGCAGAAGACGGACGGCAGCACCAACACGGAGTATGGGTCGCGAAACCTGGCGATGGCTTGAATTTATTGGTTTCCTGATTCCCGGTCTGGGTACCCTGGCATTACTATATACTACGCCAGTGGCACCAGTTTTTATTGACTTTTCTAGCAGTGTCGCAGGCTTTGGAGATGGGATTTTGGTGTCGCGTTGGACGGCCGCTAAAGACATGCGGACATGGATTGGCAAAAGTTAGGAGTTGAACATTGTCCTTGGTCGAAACCGAGGCCCAATACAGTAATAATTAACAAGTTTCATGTTGCCGCGTACACAAACAGCTGCACCGATACCTGCATTCACCCATATGTAATAATGGGAGGTTCCCATATAAGATGCATAGTCTCCCTGCACAGGACTGCATTCAAGGTCGGGTTTGCATGGCCCGTTGGTGACCGGGTTGGGATAAAGAGCGGGAAGAACCGCCGCTATGCCGGCTCCGGGAGAGAAACGGGGCGGCATGCCAGGCGCACTGTGGGGTTCGCGGAAGAGATTCACGGGGCGGGGCCGGGACAACGACATGTCTTCAAATGACTAGAGGGTTGCATCAGTCACTTGCCATAAAAATGGCATACTCCTGCATGGAAGCGACCCGTTTGTTCAGAAAACGGTAGGCACTCGTCTGTGACAAAGAAAACTGCGACCAGCTTGGCCTGGCGAATACCTATAGCAAACATCTAACCCAAGTCCCCGGTACCCCGCCTGGGAACAGGCCAGGCCGAAGCCTGGCTCCTTCACCGCCTTCGCCTAGAGCCCCGCAAACGTATTAGCGGCACCTTCTCGCACAGAAATGTGGTGGCAGAAAAAATTGCCCTGTGGTCCACCACCAAACACCCCTCCATCCAACGACCTGACCGGAACGGCCTTTCGCAAATCGAACGCAGTTCGACTCACCGCACGACAGACCGACCCCCTGTCTCCGTTTTCTCAAACGACACGCCCCCTCTCTCAGTCTCTATCAGGTCCAGTCTCTTCACATTTTCGGCCGCCTGTTTTTTTCCGGGTTTGACCTCCTCTTTTTGGTTTTTCTTTCCCCGATCAACCGCCTACAACCACCACGACTTGTGTCCCCTCCCCGAAACCCACACCACCCCCCGTCCCTTCGTCGACCCAAACCCCCCCAAAATCCAAAAGACCGGAATTATGGCGGCGGGAGCGAAGCAACAGGCGCAGCCGCAGCTGCTGTTCGTGGATGGTTCCTTCGAGGAGCTGGCCCGCGAGATGGCCGACTACCTCCACATCGCCGACGAGGTCAAGCCTCTGGTCGAGAACGAGGCAAAGAAGGAGGAGGTGCTGAGCAAGCTGGTGCGCTCGTCGGCGGCGCTGTCGTCGGTGCCCGAGAAGGAGTTCACGGCCGCCTCGAACCTGATGGTCCACCTTGTCCTTCAGTCCGAGGACCCCAAGAAGCACCTGCCGACCCTGTGCCAGGCCTTCAGCAAGCCCATCGCCTCGAGCCCCGTCAACGGTGTCGGCTTGAGCCTCAACGCCCTCAGCACCATCTTCAACCTCATCGCTCCCGAGAACCCGATCCGATTCAACGTCTTCATGGCCATTCTGCGCTTCCTCAAGTCGCACGCCATGTTCGAGGCCGTCCAGCCCTACCTGAAGCACCTTCCCAGCTGGTTTGAAGAGTGGGCCACCGGCGAGGAATTCCAGAGGCAAATGTACGAGGAGATTGCCGAGGTCGCCAAGGAGGCCGGCAAGGAAGAGTGAGTCTTTTTTAAACGGCCCCGGATCTTGCGTCGCGCAAAATCGATGCCATCAGATACAGAAACGCTGACGTTGTGGGGTTGTCACCCTGGGATTAGGGAGAGCTACGAGTACATTCTCAGGGCCCTGCGCACCTTTGACGCCGACGACAAGGAGGAGATCGGCTCCGAGGACGCCCAGAGACTATCCCTCCGCGCCGTCCGCGACGCCCTGCTGTCCAACACACACTACCTCTTCACCGATATCCGCAGCATACCCTCGGTGCAGAACCTCTCCGAAACCCACCCCGTTTACTCGCAGCTCCTCGACATCTTCGCCGAGCAGGACCTCGAGGACTACAACGACTTCAACGACGAGCACGAGGGCTTCGTCGAGAAGGAGAAGCTCGACCACGAGAAGCTTCACCGCAAGATGCGCCTCCTGACCTTCGCCTCCCTCGCCGCCCAGACGACCTCGCGCCGCATCGAGTACTCGGCCATCGCAAAGGCCCTCCAGGTCCCCTCCGAGGAGGTCGAGATGTGGGCCATCGACGTCATCCGCGCCGGTCTCGTCGAGGGCAAGCTCTCCCAGCAGGACCAGGTCTTCCTCGTCCACAAGGTCACCTACCGCGTCTTCGGCACGCGGCAATGGCAGGAGCTCGCCACCCGTCTCGACTCGTGGAAGGGCACTTTTTCCAACCTGTACGAGGTCATCCGCAAGGAGCAGGCCAACGCCAAGGCCCAGAAGGAGCGCGAGGCGCAGGAGGCCGAGCGCAAGGCCCAGAACGCCGGTACCGAGGGCGGCGCCAGCGGCGGTCGCCAGCAGAGAAACCAGGGACGTCGCGACAACAACCAGCAGCGCGAGCCCAGAGAGCCCCGGGAGCCCAGAGAGCCTAGAGAGCCCCGCGAGCCCAAGGAGCGGACGGACAACGACGACTAAACGAAAGTTGAGGGTGTGAATGATGGTCCAGAGGGTCTGTTGTTGAGCAGTTGACGAGGCTTTCCCTTGCCTGGCTCGGGTTCCTCCGTACCCTCCTTCGATACCTCGCGCGGGTGAAGAATACCTACGATATGGGGGTCTCTATCAAAGCGGGGGGGTGCATGAAGATGGGGAACCGTCGGGCATGTTTTCAGGGCAATGGAAAAAGGGGATCCCATCCGTATCCGTGTTATGTAATTACGGCGAGGAGAAAGAAGGGAAAAACGTTTTTTTATGGCCGAGTTTTATACGGATTAGAGCTGAGCCTTTTGCAAAGAAAAAATGCTGCCGGGACATGTGTTATGACGTGTAGTCGAAAGAGAGAGCAAAAGGGAGAGTAGACTTTTGTAGGGAAGGTCGGTCACGGTTTCTTTCGACGCGACGGCCTGGCTTGCTTGGCTGCATTGCGGGGTGAAGTGTGAGGCGGTCTTTTTCATAGGGAGGTCCCTGAAACGAATCCGGCGTAACGAGAGATTACGATACAGACGTCTTCCTGACATGAGCACGAGTGTGTCGGTGAGTGGGAAGCAAAGAGTTTCACTTTTGTTCCCTGATTGAGTGACAATGCTTGGTTTTCCAGACGACAGGCGTGAATGAGACCGGTGACATGTATTTGCCAGCCAGCAAGTGTGTGCTTTGGTGTTTCTGAGTCTTTTTGTTTTCAGTTTCAATAACTCGAGTGGTAGATCTCTCTCTAGATATACAGCAGGCAACGACAAAGGAGAATGGAAGGAGTCTCAAAAACATCCAATCTACACGCACACGGCGAGGTTCTCGGCAGAGAGTCGTCGCGGCAAATCACGCACCCACACACCCCCTACATCCCCCTCTTAACGCACTCGGTTTGTATCTTTTTCTCTAACCTGTTCCAGTAGATGTCAATTGTGCTTTTCCCCTTGTGTAAATCCCTGAGGAGCTGGCGAGGTTGTTTCCAAGAACCCAGAGCCCTGGCTTTCCAAAGTTCCCCCAGAGAGCAGGCAGAACTGGCGGGAAAACCTGGGTATCCACCAGCCAGTCGCTGCGGACGTCACACCCTCTCTGAGTCGTACTCGGCCATCACCAAGTAGTATCCCGACCCGTCATTTACATACCAAGACGCTTGCTGAGCTCCGCGCGCGTCTTGGCGTAGACATCCTGCGGCGGGGGGGTAGCATCGAGCTTGACGACGCGGCCCTGCTTCTCGTAGTAGTCCACCACGGGCATGCTCGTCTCGACAAAGGTGCGGAAGCGCTTGCGGATGCTCTCGGCGTTGTCGTCGGCGCGGCCGCTCGTCTTGCCTCGCTCGAGCAGGCGGCTCTCCATGACGTTCTCCGGACAGTCGTAGAAGAGCACGAGCTTGGCGGGGCAGACGGTCTCCTCGAACTTGATGGCCTGGTCCATCTTGCGCGGGAAGCCGTCAATCAGGAAGCGCTTGTTACCCTGCTTCTTGATGGTCTCGGTCATGGCGTTCTCCAAGAGCTGGACGGTCACCTCCATGGGAACGATGAGGCCATCCTTGATGTAGTCCTTAATGAGCTGGCCGAACTGGGAGCCGGGACGGTCCTGCTCGGCGCGGAGGAGGTCGCCGGCGGACAGGTGGGTGAAGCCGTAATCGGAGACGAGCTTGGCGCATTGGGTGCCCTTGCCGGCGCCGGGGCCGCCGAGGACGAAGAGAACGGTCACGTCAGAACCGGAGAAGGTCGGGGTGGACTTTTGGGGGCGGGAAGAGCGGCCATTTCTGTGGTCATGCGTGTTAGTCGAGATCCACGAGTACTTCAAAGCTCCTTGGAGCTTTGGGGAGGGTAGGCAGTGTCTAGATGAATAGCATGACTGTTTCCCGTGTAGGGAGGGGAGGTAAAGGCGCGAGGATGATAGCTTACCTGCTCTCTGGTCGACGAGGAACTTGTAAGCTAAGCTGCCAGCACCGACAACGGCAAGGAAAGGCCAGAACTTGATGCCAGAAGACTTCTTGGGAGGCTCTGAGGAGTAAAAGCGACGCGCCGGGAATCGCTGCTGGAGACGGAAGGAAGATTGCGAAGAAGTCAAGATATTAGAACGGATAGAGGAGGAAGAAGTAGAAGCTCGGGAGAGCAGACGGGGTGCGACGGAATGCATGACGGCGGCGGGCAAGCGGCTGGACAAGCGTCAATGCAAAGTGACGACGGTACTGCTAACACCAAGGACTGGGAAGGGAAGAGAAGAAAAAAGAGTGACAAGTTGGTTCTGGGGTGTGCGTGGTGTGGTGTGAGTGGTGGTTTGAAACTTGTCCTGCTCGTTCAACGCGGCTTGGAAAGCTAAGGAAGGGTAGGCGTGGCTGCAAGTACAATTTCGGGTGGACGAGCCAACTCCTGAAAGTGGGGCCTGGGTTTTGGGGGAATTGGGGATTGGCATTGGCATCCGGTACCAAGGGCCCCTGACGTATGTCCACATTTTCCAGATTCCAGATTGCGGTCGGTCGCGTCGCATTATCACGTGGGATATCAGTCGAGATAAGCTCTCGTCCCTTATTTGGATTCGTCTTGGCAGACAGCACGAACGTCTGTTCGACGACGATACTTTGAAATATGCACCTGTTGCGCTGGTGGGGTCAGTACTTTGATATCTGGTTTTCCTTTGACAGACACAATTGGTGTCCAGGATTCTCTCCTCCTCTCTCTCGGTGGGGAGACAAGCCGCAGCGTCGAAAACCCATTTCCTCAACGACGATGGCGTCCTCCATACTGACCTCATGAAGGCCAACGCAACGGCTCAACCTACTTGGCCTTTATCTGGGATTTTCGCCAATGAAACATTGTTTCAACTGTGCTGCAGCGACAATGTTGCTTGAACGTAGTATACCTGCTAATTACAAGGGACTGCCAGCTGCGATTTCCCAGTCGCATGCTGGGTTGGTTGTCGTCCGTCCTGTTTGTACCATCTCATCTATTATTATCTTTATACGAGATTCTCATCCGCATTATCCGACAGCTGTTCATTGTAATATGCCACTTCATAGGGTTAAACAGTAGCAGCGCCGGCTAGATTGTCTGTCATGAGAGCGAGGGATCGTCCAACTAAACATTATAACGAGACCTCATTCAGCATGAAGCTAGGTTTCTAGCTAAGGCTGGCGCTCTCATACTCCTCGGTGTGCCCAACCCAGGTCCCCCGGGATGTCTCATATGGATTCTGACCTTCGTGCCGGCACACGGCCGCCAGGCACCCATGTAGCTGTGGCCGCGGAACCAGGCTGGCGAGAGGAAACCGGGTATGGACAACCAAAGAGGATTAAGCACACAAGAAGAAAATGGATAATACGATTCTTCGCATTGAAAACTCTTCATCGTGTTCTCTCACCACCCCAAAACTCATTATCCTTGGTGGCTTCAGCTTCCAGCTATGCAAAGCACCAGTGAAGATTGGTACGGCTACTATAGACAAGATGTGAGTGTTACCTAGTGCCTGACATACTACAAGTCTCTGGGCAGATACAGGCACTCTAGGTGCTGCCAAAGTTCGTAGCCAAGCCAAGCGAGATCAATAACGGCCGGCCAACACCATAATGCTGAACATGGGAATGGACGCATATGTATGTAAGAAGCCAAAAGGAGACATGCCACACTACCCTACCCTCATACACATAAGCAGCCTTGCTCGCCAAAGGACAAAGTGCACTTAGCCGCCCATGAACTGCTCCTTGGGACCCCTCATCTTGAGACCGTTCCATGCTACAAGGCTACCACCAGCAACTGGCGCCTCCTTATCCGCGTCCAAAACATGTCGAATCCTTACGGTTATACCGTCGGTTGGATCTGCGCCATTTCCACCGAATTCGTTGCTGCACAGGCTCTTCTTGATGAAATTCATGAGGGGCCTCTAGAGGTAGCGCAGAACGACAACAACAACTATGCTCTAGGCAGGATCAGTAGTCATAATGTTGTAATTGCCGTCCTACCTAACAATGGATATGGCACAGTTTCCGCTGCTGCCGTGGCAAGAGACATGCTACACAGCTTCCCGAACGTGCGCATTGGGTTGATGGTCGGTATCGGGGGTGGTGCGCCCAGTCCAGAGCATGATATACGACTCGGCGACATCGTGGTCAGCGGTCGCCATGGTGACAGAGGGGGGTCTTCCAGTACGACTTCGGCAAGACAATGCAGAATAAGTCCTTCCAACATACGGGATTCTTGGACCAACCACCAGTGATCCTGCGAACGGCCGTCAACGCACTCAAGGCCCAATACGAGATGAGGGGCCATCAGTTCACGGAGACCATGGATAATGCCTTCAAGCAGTGGCCCCGGCTACGAAAGAAATATTCTCGACCAGCGGCGCATTCTGACATGCTATACAAATCCAACATTGTACACCCTCCGGGTTCTTCCCATTCCTGCACTCAAGTATGCGGCGACGATCCGGCCCACCTAGTGACTAGAGCTGAACGTGACGAAAACGAGGATAATCCAGCCATTCACTACGGCTTGATTGCTAGTGCCAACCAGGTAATAAAAGACGCTACTATGCGTGACAAACTGGCAGCCGACAAGGGGGTATTGTGTTTCGAAATGGAAGCAGCAGGCCTAATGAACCACTTCCCTTGTCTGGTTATTCGCGGTATATGCGACTACTCTGACTCGCACAAGAGCAAGGAGTGTCAGGGCTATGCGGCTCTGATGGCCTCAGCGTATGCAAAAGATCTTCTCTGCCAGATTCTGCCTAAGAAAATCGAGGCTGAAAAGAGGATGGCAGAGCTCATAGAGTCCAGTTAGTGTTTTGTCCCTGCTTAACCATATTGTCTCTAACTTAATGATTCAGTACAAGGCGGGCTTGATGTCATCTATTCTACGGCAGGCGAAATCAATACTGCCGTCAAGGCAATGAGATTCGATGACCACGTCGTAAAGATCAAAAAATGGCTTTCACCCCCGGACACATCTACCAATGCTAACACTGCGAGAGAAACTCGAGTCGAAGGATCCGGATCATGGTTTCTTCAAAGCGATGCCTTCGGAGAGTGGAAGAGCGGATCGCGTCAGCACTTGTGGCTTCATGGGATATCAGGATGTGGCAAAACCGTCCTCAGCACCACCATCCTGGATCATCTCACACAGACAGACAATCTCGTTACACTTAAGTATTTCTTCGACTTCAGCAACATAGCAAAGCAAAGTCTTGATGGCATGCTTCGATCACTAGTCTTTCAGCTCTACACTTGCCGGGTCGAATCAAGAATGGAAATCAACAATTCGCTAGCGTCCCATAACGAAGGTCAGACACAGCCAACAATAAGGGAGCTCTCTCAATGCCTTTACGCAATGCTGCAAACTCAAGGGAAAGTTCGGATTGTATTGGATGCTCTAGACGAGTGTAATGAGAGGACAGAACTGCTCAAATGGATGGAGAATTTCATTCTCAGCCCCGCTTCAGCCTATGTTCAAGTTATTACTACTAGCCGGCCAGAAGTTGAGTTCAGGCGTAATTTTCGCGATTGGATCGGCAAGGCAAACTGTGTCTCACTTAAAAAAGAGTCAATCAACGCAGATATTCGGACTTACATCAGTGTCAGGATCCAACAGAGCAAAGAGCTCAGGAAGTGGACGTCAATACCATCCACAATAGAAAAGATACAGAACGAAGTCGGAGGTAAAGCGGCCGGGATGTAAGTTGTACCTAACCCTTTTGCAACCACATTCACCTTGTATTAACACCATGTCAGGTTCAGGTGGGCAGCATGCCAGCTAGACCGTCTAGAGACATGTCTAGACCGCGAAGCACTCGAGGCTGCTCTCAACGCATTGCCCCTCAGCCTGGATGCAACATACACCCGCATTCTGGAGAACATCCCCCAAGAGCGCAAGAAGAAAGCAGTCCGCCTGCTTCAGTTTCTTGTACATGCACAGTTGCCATTACCAATCCAAGCGGCGGTAGATGTGATGGCGGTTAGACTAGACGGTAGTTTCGATCCGAATGATAGACTGCCAGAGCCGACGGATATAATGAGGTTTTGCCCAAGTCTAGTTGTTCTTGTGGAACGCTCAGACGATATCGGAGAAGGTTATGTACTTCAGTTGGCACGTTTCACGGTCAAGGAGTACCTTTTGCGTCCTGGTACTGAGCATTTCCACGAAGCTGAAGCGAGTATCAGTATTGTACACACTTCTATCTCCTACCTTGCGTGCGTGGCAAAGGCACACTGCCCCACAGACGAGATTCACCACCGGTTCCCTCTAGCCAGTTGGGCCGCATTGGAATGGATAGATCATGCTCGCCCTGCCGAGGCTTCAATAGAGATTGCCATGGCCATCACCGACTTTCTACGGAACCCGGAAGCATTCCAGCTATGGAGTTTTCTGATATCCTGGCACCAAACATCACGGACATACCAGCTCACAACTCCTTTGGAGTGGGCGTGCATGAAAGGAATCGTATCAGCTGTCGAAAATTTACTTTTAGATGCTCTTTTTTCCAACGACGCTGGCGGTCTTTCGAGTATGATTCTCCCAGTTGCTTCATATGGAGGTCACAAGGAGGTTTTGCGAATGCTCCTCGACCAAGGAGCTGATGTGAATGCTGATCCCCACAAGCTTTTCGGTACTGCCCTCCGTGCCGCCTCATGGAGAGGCCACAGGGAGATTGTTCAGATACTTCTCGGTAGGGGAGCAAACGTCAACGCACAAACCCCCCAATTTGGTACAGCCCTTCAGGCCGCTTCGCGGGGGGGGCACAGGGAGATTGTCCAAAAACTCCTCGACAATGGAGCTAGCACCTCACATCATGACAATGTTGAGTCTTCCCCCTTAGGCATATCATCACGGAATGGACATGTCCTAGTGGTCGAGTTGCTTCTCGAAAGAGGGCCCGACATTGAGGCTACGAATAACCGCGGAGAAACACCATTATACGAGGCCTCAAATAGTGGGAATATAAATATAGTCAAATTGCTTCTCGAAAAGGGAGCTGATATCACAACTACGACCGCCATTGGGATGACGCCTTTACATGCCGCATCGATACAAGGGCACGTCGAGGTCGCCAAGCTGCTCCTTGACAGTAGCAACCTCAGTGAAAAAAACAACATTGGCCGGACACCGTTGTTTCTAGCGGCTTTCGGGGGACATATTATGGTGGTCCACACTTTGTTAGCATACAATCCAATGACCTTGGACTGGAAGGATCGCTACGGCTCAACTCCCCTGTCTGTGGCTGCTAGGAAAGGTCACACCGAAATTGTGAAGCTGTTTTTGGCCGACGAATCCATCGACTTTAATTCGCGGGATTGTTTTGGCCGAACCCCCTTGTGGTGGGCAATCCGAAATGGGTACGAGGAAGTCTCGCAGTTGTTAACCAAAAGGGGGAATGAAAAAGGGCAATCAGTCGACGGTGACCGTGAGGCTATGGAGGTCGAAATGCAACTTGCAACGGATACAGCTGGTGGGTGTTGCGATATTTGTTTGACTAACTTTGAGGGGTTCAACTTTTATGAATGTTCAATCTGCTTGGAAGGGGATTTCACAGTTTGCCCAGATTGCTTCAATCTCGGCGGCCGTTGCTTGGAGGAATCCCACACATTACTAGTCTACGCAGAGGAAGAGTACAGCCAGTCTGAAGAAGGCGCTCTGTACAATCTGACTTACCCTATTAATGAAGCGAACACAGGTTACCGCTTGGCATGAGGTTCGCTGGCGCAAACTGTTGCTGTGTTTCTCATTCAGGGTTTAATACAATGTGAAAGACGAGGTCTATCGGTTATAAACTTAGCCTAACTCAATATGACTTGGATATGGTGTACTGCGGCAAGCCTCCAGCAGCCATCACAAGTCAGGGGCCAGACTCCTTCACAAAGAAACTCAACCTCGACTTCGCATACACCTATAGATAAGTGTCACTCCTTACTTCAGCAGAAAAATATCTTTTGGCGTACGTAAAGGGATGGGGGTTTCTTTAAACTTGTCATCATCAACACACGTCCCGTAGGCAACCTCAACATCCTCCCACACCAGCCCCCTTCGCCTTTCAACGCCACTTATAAGATCCGTCATTTCCTGCATTGAACCAGATGAGAACCTAGCACATCTTACTTTAACAAATCCTATAATACTAAGAAGCAAAGCTTCAAGCCGTGACACTCACCGGCCCATATATTCACCCCTCCCGAAGCGCCGCTCACTCCAACGCCATTACCAACACCACAACACCAAGCCTCCATAAACCACCTTAACACCCCGGTGATCACATGCGGCCATACCCACTGGAGAACTCGGGATCCCGTCCGCTCTCCCATCGATAAACCAGTGAGGGCCGGAGTAGTAGTCGGGTCGGTGACGACCGGCGAATGCCTGGTGTTGCATGTATTTTGATGATGTATTTTTTGGTTGGCGTCGTAAGCCTGTCCATCCAGGAACAAGTTCAATGGCTACAATAGTAATACCTTAGACGGGGAGTCAGATTATGAAAAGGAGGGATGTAAGGTAGAGGCAAAGCATCATGGTCCTCTCCAGAAACCTATCTGCCCACCAATGTCGGGCGGTGGAGCAACCTCAAAAGGGTCAGACAAGAGCCGAGTATCACAGATCGAGTAGTTTTTGTTAGGAAAAAAATGAACATCCGAGTTTCTCAGTCCCAAGCTAGCCCCGGATTTTCTGTTATGTTACAAAGTACAACCCAATATGCCCAAAGAGTGTGCAACGCCTCTGTTGCAAGAATAAAAGGCCATAAGACTGCAGCGCGACACTCTGCGCCCCTACTTCAGCCGCTCGTCCTCTAACGCTGTTAGGTAACCCATACAGCAACTAATTTTCTAATGTCTCCCTGAGCTCCAATTTTAGGCGTTCCAAACGAGGTGAGTAGTGCTTGCCCTAGTAATTCAGCTCACCACCGCCGCCACCAGCAACGTGATCGAGGTCCTCGTAACTCTTGAGACTGCGTCCCTGAGTGGCCTCACGGGGACCTACGGCCGCTCCACCTGCAGCACCGTCTCCCCACTTTCCGGCGCCGCCGCGACCTCTTCCGCCCATGCCACCGTCCCAGCGGGGGTTCGGGCGTCGGTCGTAGGGGCCGCTACGGTATGCGCCACGGCTACCGCCCATGCCTCCACGGCGAATGGGGCCGGGACCGCCGCGGTCATCACCGCCAGCGCTCCATCCGGGCTGAACACCCGGGTGACCACCGCCAACGAATGGCGGGAAACCACCCGGCGGCATGGGGAAGCCCGGAATAGGCATCATGCCGTTCATGGTGAAGTTCTGCAAGTTGAAACCACGGGGTGTTCCAGTCGCAGACTGGCCATTCGCAGGAGGGAAATGACCATTGGAGTTGGCATCCGTTCGCGACGGAGCAATGTGGGATGGGTCCATGACATAGGCATTGATTAGGTGGAACTGTGTAATGGGTTAGCTGGGCTCTGCACCAGTGTTAACAAGACGACTGACCTCTTGCTCAATACTCTCAAGCCAATCATTATGGCGCTTCTCAACGTGCTTGCGCCAGAAGTGTTCCTCCTTGAACAGCTTGGTACACTCGGGAACCTTGCACCTCCACTTGTGCTCGTCTTCTTGCTTGACGTACTTGAGGAGCTCATCACTGACAGCGTCTTCAACTGGCCGGCCTCCAAGCTTGCGCAGATCCGCCGTCTCAGGCTCGAGGATCTGCATGATCTTGTCCTCAAAGGTCTTGACCCAGTTGTAGGCGCGCAGAAGCTGCTGCTCTGCCTTGCCAGTAGTGCTGCGGAACTTCTTATCGTTCTCGGTTGCCTCGCCCTCGTCCTCAATCTCGCTGCGCTTCTTTCCGGGGAACGGTTCACCGTTGGCGCTGGCGCGCGCGACAGCCTTGGCGGAGGTGCTGAGAGTGCTTCTCGGGCGACGCAGGTGACCACCCGGGCATTTGCGAGTAAGCTCGTGGACCGAGTCACTCTCGAAGACGCAGAAGAAGCAGAAGTGGTAGACGCGTCTGAGATACTCGATCATCAAATCCAGCTGCTTCTTCTTCACGAGCAACTCTTCATCGTCGATGTCGTCCTCCTCCACAGCGCCCTCATCCTCGTCCTCGTCAATGGCACCATCTTCTCCGTCTTCCATGCCGTCGTCGACGTCAAGGTCACGTTCCTTCTTGGGCTTCTTCTTCGTTGCGCCGGCGGCAGGTTGGAGACGACCAGCATTCTTAAGGTCGTCGACTCTCTCCTCAATCTTCAGAACAGCATTGAAGTCAGAGCCAAAGTCTTCCTCAAACTTGTTGACAAGGCGCTGAACGAGGTTCAAGTCCTTCTCGACACGCTCAGGTGCCGAGAAGAGATCCCACAAGGCCTTCTTCCGAGGGTGACTGGGAGGGTTGTGGACACCGACGTGACAGACAAAGTCGCCTCTGACTTCGTCCTTCACAGTCTTGCCATTGACAGCGTCGAGAGCCTTTTCAGCAGTGGAAACAATGGTTGGAGACTTCAATGGCAAATCGCCCTCCTCATCCTTGGGATCTACGCGGTCAACAACAGCAGGGGCGACCTCTGATGAAGGATGGAGCATGACCCAACCGATGCGGTGGTATCGCTTGCTGGGGTTGGGGTCGGAAAGAGAGAGCCACTTAAAACCGCCCTCCTCCTCGCCGAGATGTTCTTTGCAGAATGTCTCCAGGTTTTGCCTGCTGACGTGGGGCGCAATGGTCTTGATGAGAAGGGTTGGCTGGTACAGGTTCTCATCCCTGATATCAGCACCATTGGCTGGCACAAGATCGCCCACCCCGAGGATCTCGTTGGCGGCGGTTGCTTCGCCCTCCTCCTTCTCTACAAGGCCGCCAAGGCCGTTCGTCTCGCTCTTAGGGATGCCTTCGAGGGAGAACTCGTCGAACGTTCCGGACTCAAGATCTTGCTCCCACTGGCTGTAGGCACCTCTGCGGAACTCATTCAGTTGGGCTCTGAAAGCATCGCGGATCTCAGGCACATAGCGTTCGCGGAACCATTGCTCCTTCTTATGCTCGGCAACAAAGGTGCGGGCCATTTTTGCTTGAAGTTCTTCCTTGTAGGCGTCATATGCGACCTGAATCTTGGCCTTCTCCTTCTCACGCTCTTCCTGCACTTCGCGAGGGCCGCGGACACGCTCGGGCTCGCGTCGGCGACCGGTGCGTTGGCGCTCCTTCTCCTCCTTGATCTTCTCATTCATTCTCCACCATTCGCCAAAGTATGAGAATCCGACTTGGTAGGGGAGCTTAACCGGATCCGCAAGTGGGTTGACAGTCAATGGCGTAGGAGCGCTGCTGTCCTGCCCGGGGACGTAGCGATCGATGTTGGCCGGCGGCGATGTGATTCTCCGGTCCCGGCGATCATCGCGATCCCGACCACCGGCGTAGTCATCGCGACCGCGTCCTCTCGGTTCATAACGATCAATGGGGGCCGGAGATCGAGAGCGACGTCTGTCACGGTGTTGGCGCTCATGGCCTGCAACAGCTTGTAAGTAAACAACCATCAAATTGCAAGGACGAGCTCCGGCGTTCAATAGGCCTTTCAACAAGCCAATTGAAGCAAAGGCGTGGTTGAAGATTGTACGCACCAGGAGATCTACCCCGGTAGAAGGTATCAGCCCGCTCCTCCTTGATTCGTGTGTCGTCGCGACTGCTCCACGTCCTGTCGCCCGGCGAGCGCGCGGAGGAGTCTCGATGGGTAGAGTACGAATCCATCTTGCGTCTGTCGCGACAAAGCGAGTATTGGGTGTGTCTGTCGTCTTTGTTCGGTTGAAACAGCTGTGCAGCCTGATTAAGTATCGCGTCTGCGTCGGGTAGCCGCGTGCTTGTTGCTCATGTGAGCTCGTGTGCTTGCTCGATCGAAGGAAAGGAAGAAGGAGAAAGCCTATTGTTTGGCAACATGATTGCGGTTAGAGAAATCGTTCTGCAGGTGGGATACTGGACTGCTTCTTGAGGGAAACAAGAGAAGAGAGAGAAAGAATTGAGAATTCGGGAGGGTGGCAGCAGCAGCAAAAGTGGTGCAATTGCCAGAGGGCAAAGATGAATGAAAATCGGCTCGTCTCTGCAACGATGACGGCGCAAATGAGAGAAGAAATGATATAGCGCCAAATGAGGCCGGCTGACAATGATTGACAAACGGGGAGAAGGAGTTGAACAGGGAGTCAGGCAGGAGAATAAGAATGGATTATCTGGGGGAGGGAAGACAGGAATAATGGGGGAGGATTGAATTGAATCGAGGTGATGGAGGGAACAATAGGCTGCGGCGAGTAAAGATGATGCAGGAAGAGAGGGAAGAACGAACTATTTCGGTTGCGAGAGCGAATGCCTCGACGATGAGACGCGAGATATTGTCGTGATCCAAAGCTGAAGAGGACTTTGAGATGCACGAAGCGAAGATGGTGGACGGATAGGAAGGCTGACTTGCCAAAAGGGCGACGAGACAGAGACGCTGGGACGTGGAACAAAGAGTCGGCTGGGAAAGGGTCCACCAAAGACAAATCGGGCTTAGTGCTATACCGGAGGATCTTCGGCGGCAGCGTCGGAACTCTTAAGCGCATATGTGTTTCGCATAAGTAATTGGGTCGCTGAAGCCTTTGTTGCTGTGGTGGTGCTTGCTGCCGGTTGGGGTTGTTTGGATCAATTGGCAACCAAATAGGCCTTTATTGTAGGCTTGGTTGCTGTGAAAAACCATAGACGGCGCGGTGATTGTAAAGCTCTCGTAGCTGCGGAAGATGGCGAGGACGGTACCTTCCCCAGCAATTCCAGCAAACCCCAGGTCGCAATCCAGAGCGCGCAGCTGGTCGCAGCCGGCGGGTCAACTCAGCTGAATGGAATGCTGGAGCTGCAGGAAACAGCGGTCGATCCCCAGCGATCTCCAGAGCTTCACCCCTGTAGCGACAGGAACACGTCCATCTGAGGAAATGGGGACCCCGTCCGCCCAGCTTAAATACCGACAACGTGGCATTCCTGTAGCTTTCCCCTTGGACCCAATCGCTCTCGGAGCATCGGAAACCAATTCAAGAGCGTAAGTTTTGACCTCCTGATGCGCATTCCGTTGTCCCAGTCTCGATTCCCACTTTCAAGCCAAACCCGTCGCAAGGAAAGTCGGTTGTTCGTGAGGGAACTCGATGCATTGCGTCATAGCTCTGTAAAAGGATAGCTCTCCTCGCAGGTCGGACTGGGACCCGCCCCGAGGCGCATCTCATCGCATGTTGCAGATGGACTGACACTTTACCTTAAAACCTCCTTCGCGAATTTTGCAAATCTCCTTCAGACATCCAGCTTACAGTTGATATACAGTATCACACCCAAAATTGCCAACGACCGACTTCGGCACCATGACAACCTTCATCCCGGCCCTGACCTTGCCCCACCAGGTCTTCGAGAATGCTGCGGCCTCGATCCTGCTCCCCATAGCTTTGGGAACCGCCGTCGGCTATTCCACGCGACGTACGTGCTTCATGAAGCCTTGGAACCCTTCTCATTTATAGTCGCAGCAACTGACACCACCAACAGCTAAAGCCACCCAAAAGACCTATGGCGCAATCAAGAACCCCCCTACCGCCCTCCTCCTTGGGTCTTCGGTCCGGCCTGGACCCTCCTCTACGGGTAAGCCAGCCCGAACGCCTCTCTCTTCTCTTTCCTCTCGACGAGTGCGCGATAACTGACACATTAAACCACAGTCTGATGGGCTACGCCGCTCACCGTGCCGTAAACACCGGCCTCTCCCCGTTCTCCTCTATAGAGCACATCAACATGACGAAGCAGGGCGCGACCCTCTACACCATCCAGCTGGGCCTCAATCTTATCTGGATGCCTCTTTTCTTCGGTTTCAAGCGCCCCATTGAGGCCACCGTCGATATTGTCGCCCTTCTCGGCGTCAACACCTACCTGACCTACCTCTGGGGCTCCGTCGACGCCGTCGCCGGCGCTTGCCTCGTCCCCTACCTCGGCTGGCTCTCCTTCGCCACCTACCTTTGCGCGGGCGCAGGATACTTGAACGACTGGGATCTCAAGGGCGCCGAGGAGCGCGCTGCCGCCGCAGCGGACAAGAAGCAGTAGTGCTACAAATGTCATGACCTTCTGGGTCTGAAAGCAACCAAGAAACAGGAGGAAAGTGCGGTATAAGTGTTGAAACGGCGTTTATGGCTGGCGGAAGCATCTTTCTCAGTTCATCATCTTTCTCAGTGTATCATCATTGAATGACATTGACCACACACTTAAGTTCCCAGATGAGGACGATCGTACCCCGCTACAAGTGCTGGGCTGTCCCTGATGACATTCGTTAAAGCTTGCGAAAGGTTGATGTCCGTCAACAAGTAAGTCCAGTGTTGACTGGAGAGCTTGGAACAAACCGATGGCTTTGCGCAAGGCATGCCCTGCTGGGGTTTACAGGGAAAAACATGGTCTAGCAACGCCGAGTTGATAGCGGCTGCCTTGCCTATACGTTTTAAAATAATCCCTAGTTTCTCTTTCATCCTACCGCGCTTGGCCATCACTCCATCGACGACAGCATAGAAGACTACATTCGTGACGCACTTCGCTGGAGGCCTGAACAGTCCAAAACGAGAAGGTCGTCACCTACAGCCAGGAGCTGGCGTCGGTGCCGAGAACCCTTACGGTCCCGTCTCGCGCAAGAACTCGGCCCACTTGAATATGAAAGCCGACCACATGGCTCTGTCCCTTGGCAAACACAGTCTAAAGGTGACGCCAACCCATAAATTAGGGCCTTCGCGTAAGCCATACTCTTCTACTGTGGCCTCGGTCATTGCGTGGGTCTACCATAATATAAAACGTCCACTCCAGTATACTGCTCCTGTCCAAGTGGCCTGACTTGTTCGACAGGAAAGCCAAGTCCTTTGTGTGTGTTTGACGATGGGTCTGCCCAATGAGATATGAAGACAACATCTTCAGCCAAGCTCGAGCTCCCAGAAGCCACCCGTCTAGCATCCTGACTAAACTCAAGTACACTCGCTCTTGCTCTGAGCTACCATCCCTTACAAACCAGCTAACTCAGTCGACGACATCACGGATAGCAGGACTAATGAGGTCATGGATCTTCATTCGACATCTTTTGGTCTGAGCTGCTAAAGCCCAGAAAATGCCACCAAACCCATGTAGCAGATGCACTGGAGTAATGCAAAGCAATGTCAAGAATAACAAGAAAAACCCACGCTTGCATCTCCCACCTACTTTTTTTCAACCGCCACCCGTCTATCCAGGCTGTGCTACTCATGTATGTGCAAGTATATACGATCCAAAGCTGTCCCGTTGCGCCTCTAAATGCCGTGTCATCCAAAATGAAGAGTTCCTTCCTTTTACCACTGCAACTGCCACAACCACCAACCACCCAAGTCTAGGATATCAAAAACGTGAAAGCAAAGAAAGTCTATTGAAAGGGAAAATGTCGCTTGAGGCCGTCAAAAACCATGAAAATGAAGGCTGAGCTGGGCGCCGAACGTAGACAGGTGATGCCGCAACCCCGATACAGCCCCCTGAGCCCGTGCTGCCGCCACAGCACCGCGCCCTCCTGCCAGAACGTCCTGCCGCGCGCCGCGTCGCCGACGCCCGCTGTCTGCATGCGCGACTTGATCGTGTCGGCGGGGAAGAAGAGGAAGTTGTACGACACGCCCCCCGAGGCGCCGGCCAGCGCCTGCTGCCATAGTGGCAGCGGGTTTGAGGCCAATACCTCCCTCTCGGCCTGCGTCTTGGCCGCCCGCCCGTTCATGATGTGGAACATCTTGGTCACCGTCTCCTTGCTGCCGAACCACGCCGCGCAGCCGCCCGACTCGCGGATCAGGGTACCCATCTGCCCGTGCCAGAAACCACGGATGCCATAGTGACGGTAGATTTCGCGGATGACGGGCAGCGGGCGCAATTGCGGCGCCGCCACGCCGTCGGCTCGCGCGGGTGCTTGGATCTTGCACTTGACGAGCTCGACGGGTGTGAGGACGTAGGACGTGAAGAAACCGGAGAAGGCACCGGTGAACCAGAGCGCCGAGAGGGACAATTCTTGACCCTGGGGCGCCCAGCCAGAGGAGTATATGGCGGCGCGGCCAATACGTTCGAAAAAGAACAGGCTGCTATTCTCGAGGGCGGCGCCGACGAGCGGCGCACTGATGCCGCGGTAGAGACCGAGGACGCCCTCAGCCTTGATGGACTGGCGGAAGCAGTCAAGCGGGCCCTTGTAGCGGAGGGGCTGGTTGTCGGGTTGGGACTGCAGGCGGACCTTGACCGTGTCGAAAGGGTATTCGATGTATTTTCCGACAACACCGGCGACCTGGTGGGTAAGAAAATGTCTGGTTAGCGAGGGGCTCTAGCTTGCCCTGACAGATTGCGCGCAACATACAGATCCATAGACAATGTCCTCCATGGCCTCCAGTGCCGCAGTACGGCTCTTCGTCAGCGACACCGGTGCGTCATGGTGGGGGATCTCCATTGCTGTCGCTGCTGAGTCCATCATGGTAACGATTGAGACTGGGAGACAAGTGAGAGATAGCTGCCTGAGCTAGTTGAGTCGTCGTTGGTAGAAGTACGAGGTCCGACCCCCCGAGTTATGCCTCAAAGATTGGTGAAGCGGAGGAGGAGAGGATGAGGAAGAGGTGAATTGTTCGCTTGATTGTCGTCTCTCGCTCGTGAAGCACCGTCCGCACCAAGGCAGGATATCGCGCAGCTTTCGAAGCGTGCCCGCAGTCTCGAACCAGACAAAGGGTGACAAGAGAAACGAGTTGCCAGAAAGGAGCAAGTGCAGGACGTCGGTTGAACAGGAAGTCTATTCAGCACTGTCCTTCACTGCTCCCCCTTCGTTGCTGAGTTGAATCAGGGAGGTGGGATGACCATACGGGAACAGAACGGGGCTTTGGGGGGGAAAGACAGGCACACCGCGGGGCAAAAGCGAAAAAGCAGCGCGGTGTCACGGTGTGTCACCCAGCAAGCGCAGCCGGTAGCCTAGACTTTTTTTTCTCGGTTCCCCGAAAAAGAGACCCACCGATACCGGGAAGGGTTTAGGAATTTTGGGTCGGAGGCACTACACCGAGCTAGCAACAGAATTGTCGCGACTGTCGATCCTCCAAATGTGTGGTTTTTCCCGCAAAGTCGAGAAAACCCGCACGCTAGAGAGAGGGAGCCCGAGGAGGATTTGATGGAGTCGAGATATAAAGAGAATAAGGAGGTGTGTTGTCAGACAGTCCAACCCAGCCAATTCATGACTTTACAACTGGCGCATGGCCGGGGTTTATACTTCAACCTCCCATGTGAAAGAAACGGTGAAGAAGGTGCGGGCGCAGAGCGGAATACCTAGGCGATACTCTCTGTAAGGTACTCTGTAGTATGTACTTCGTACCGATGCAGTGGGGATTGGGCGCAGCAAGACCAGCATTGGGTTGCAGAAAATTCTCATTCCGCAGCAAACATGGGAATTTTTCTCAATTTTCTCACTCTTTCCGTCTTGCAGCAGGCACTAAACGCCACTACCAGGCCCAGAACATCCCGGGGCCCTGACATCAGACCGAGATGGAAACGGGCAGCCGTCCTCTTCTGTGGTGGGGCTACCTAGGCTTGGTTCGGCGGGAGCTATGGGACTCGCTCCTGGGCGTGGAAGACTGCGAACGCTGTGGTGCTTGAACCCCTTCCCCGCCGCGCTGTTTGTGTCAGGCACAGCAACCCCGCCATCCGATACAGTAGTGCAGCTATGCCAGAGTAGAAACCGTGTATATGCTTGATGAAGAAACGACTAGTCCCTTGGGGGGAACAACTGCATTGATACCTTTTCATGGAGCCCTATCGTGAATCGAATAGTTTGACCGTCCTGCAATAAGAATAGACGGTGTGCGAGTTAAGAAGGGAACACGGCAAAAGTAGGGACGCCAAGGCCCGAGGCGCCGACGAGAATCGCTCGGACATAAATTTTTTATCAGATCAGATTATCAAGATAATCTCCAAGCCCACAGATCTAGAGACTATCCCACTTTTTGTATCTACCTGCTGGCCGCCAGTGAGCCCTTCCATCCACCCGCCATGCTACCGTCACCCATTGCGCTATATTAGGCGCCCCACTGGCCCCCCTTGCCTGACGCCTCCTCTGCACCCCCTGCCCTCTTGTTGTGCCCTCCGCCTCCTCCTCGCTGCGGCTTCTGCTGCGCGGCTTCGTGCCGCCGAAGCTCCTCGGGCACTCGAGAGATGGAACTCTTGGAGAGCATCTGCTTGAGGTCGTAGAACAGGTCCGAGTCGCTCTGTTCCAGGAACGTGATGGCGACACCGCTCTTGCCCGCACGACCCGTACGACCGATACGATGCGTGTAGCTCTCGATGCTGGTCGCCATGTTGAAGTTGATGACGAGACTGACGTCCGGCACGTCGATACCTCTTCCTGCCAAGTCCGTCGCCACCAGTACCTGCGTCTGCCCGTTGCGCACCGAGGCCAACGCCGCCTCTCTCTGCTCCTGCGTCTTGCTTCCGTGGAGCGTGACCGCCGAATAACCCATTCTCTGGACGTCGCGCGCGACGGCATCGCAATTGCGCTTGATGTTGACGAATACGATGATGGGCGGGGCAAAGTCTCCCGCGCCAAGGATCTCCTGCAGGCGCTTCTTCTTCTTGTCCTCGCCCGAAACGAACTCGACCCTTTGCTCAACTGTCTCGACGGCCTCGCCAGCGTTACCGATTGTGACGATGGCAGGACGCCGGAGGTACTTTCTCGCAATCTTTTCGACAGTCGGCGGCATCGTGGCTGTGTACATCATCGTCTGCCTGTATCTGTCCCTGGCGCCGAGGTATTTCTGCATCATCTGGGCGTTTTCTGCATCATCCGTGTCTGGCTTCTCGTTCGATACGGGCAGAGCGTCGAGAATCTTATTCACAGACTCCTCGAAACCGAGATCGATCATTCGATCGGCTTCATCCATGATGACGTAGCAGCACTGTGACAAGACGAGGAGGCGTCTTTCAATGCAGTCCACCAGACGACCCGGGGTTGCTACGATGATCTCGGCGCCGTGTGACAGCGCCTGTACCTGCTCCTCCATAGAGTGACCACCCACGATGCTAACAACGTTGAAGCCCAGAGGATCAGCGAATTTGTGTGCTTCCGTCTCGATTTGCTGGACCAATTCACGCGTGGGCGCCAAAATGAGTGCGTAGGCTCCGTCGTTCTTGTTGATCTCCGTCAGGGGCGGCAGATCCTGGATGTAGGTCAGCAGCGGCAGCAGGAACGCTGCCGTTTTACCGGAACCTGTAACGGCCACACCAATAAGGTCTCTAGCCTGCAGCGCAATCGGAATAGCTGCTCTTTGAATAGGCGAGGGATCTTTGTAGCCAACTCTGTCCACGATGTTCAAGAGCTGTCGCGGCAAGCCCGATTCTTCCCAGCTGCGCATCGGGTTGGGGATTTGACCGCCCTTGGTGGCAATGCCGAAGTCTTCCTTGAAGATTCTCCAGTCACGTTCCCGCATCTCTGAAAGGGCCTTCTTCGTCCAGTGCTTGCCTAGACCCGACCTGTCTGCGCGCTCCTTCGCCTTCTCTCGTGCTCTGTAGAAATCTTCCATAAACTCCTTTGCGCGCTGCTTTCCGAACTCGCGGTCCCTTTCTTCGATCATCCTTGCCCGTCGGCGAGCGATCTCTTCGGCCTCCTCATTGTATTCGCCGGACAAGCTGCCGAATGTGTATGATTTCAGGGTCGTGCTGTTTGATTCGTAGATGGGGTCGTCAAGCGTGGTGTCTTCCTCGGCATCCCACTCGAATTTGAACTCTGTCGCCCTCTTCCGCTTCTTCTTCACCGAGAAATTTGATTGCTTATTGACCTCGGGGCCCAAGTACCGGTTGCGCAAGAGATCTGCCTCGATCGCCTCGGCAGACTTCTTCTCCTTGCCGTCCTTTGTCGACGCCTTTCGCTGCTCTTGCTTATCACGTCCTCGACCTCCAGGACCCCGGCCGTTCTCCGTGCTGTGCATGGCCTTCGGGCCCGTGGGTATCCTGCCACCGGCTCCATTCTGTGTTCCGTTATGGGCGGCACCGTTCGCCTCAGCAGCCCATTTCCTCTCGAGTTCGGCCTTCTTTTTCGCGTCCTCTTCGGCCTTGCGCTTGCGCTCTTCTTCCTCCTGCTTAGCCTTCTCTGCTGCCTGGCGTTCCCTCTCCTTCTTCGGTATGAATCGTAGCTTCGATGCGGCGGCGTCGGCGGCCTTCTTCTTCTTGAGGATCTCTTCGAGGTCGAGAGGGGTCTTTCTCGCCTGGTTGGTATTCATCTTGGCTATCTCGTGATGCGACACCAACACAACAGGTGGGTATTGTCGAGGAAGATCTTGGGTGGGCGATGACCAGCGTTAAGTACGGTGATAGGTACGTACTAGGTAGTGCCGAATTGATGTCGAACCTTGGATGCTGCGCGCAGCCTTTGCTTCCTAGAATGAAACAGTTTGATGAGCAGAAAGACTTTCCTGGCCTCGCACTGCCTGAAATGTATACAGCTTGGATTCGCAATGCTTAGTATTCTGGACTCCGAAAGGTCTAGATTTATTTTCTTGATATCGCAGAACAACAGAGGAGGCTGCGATCTGCGCCACAGTCGAGGCCGCCACACGACTGCGATCCAATCAAAGCCGATGAGACTCGGCAATTCCTGCCCCCAGCTCTGAGCTAAGTTCCCTGTTGGCCATGCACGTACAGGGGTGGGTTCAGGCTGGACGCTCCCAAATTTATCCTGCAGCAATTGATCGAGCATCCCGAAAGACGAAGGTGAGAGCTCACCCTCAGTCGAACGACCCTCCGACGAAATCTGCAATGCCCCAGCGCTCGCATCGGATGACATAGTAAAGAGCAGCTCAACCACACATACCCTTGGAAAATGGCCGCCGCAGAACAATACCTCCAGCTGGCCAAGGCTTTGCCCCAGCAGCTTCAACGCTTCTTCGCCCGCTGGCCACCCGCTGCGATTTTGCCCGCTGGCGCGACGCCCTCGAAGACGGGCTTCCAGGAGATCACACCGAACCCCTTCTCGCCGCAGAAGCACGCCGTCACGGGCAAGTGGCACGACCCTGTCTACTCGCTGCGCCGCCAGGCAGAGATCGTCAAGCTCGCGCGCCAGCACGGCGTCGAAGAGTTGCTGCCGCCGACAGTGAAGGGTACCGAGTACAGGATTGCCCACCGCGTTGAGCACGGTCTCCGGGTCAAGGGTACCGGTGTGGGACAGAAGGTCAAGGGAAAGATCCACGAGAGGATGGTGCAGCCCAGGTACGTGTGCTCCATGTCTGGCCGAGGACCCGTTGGGTCGCGCGCCTCGAGTCGAGGGATGGATACTAACTGTGAGGTGCAGAATGGAGAAGAGGAGAGAGGCTATGCTTGCGATGCCGAAGTTGATCAAGGAGTGGAAGAAGGTGAGTTCAATGGCTACCGGTCACCTCTTGACGACCATTCACTAACCCCACGAACCAGGTTGGAAAGCGAAACTGGACAAGGTTCCCCAAATAAGCGATCTATTTGGCTCTTTTTTCTCCTGCGATACGTCAAATACCATAGACGGTGTACATATACCATGTATTATCATGTACAAGAAACGAATTCAACAACTTCCGATACAACGCGGTCTCTCCTTTGACGTTGGAGACTGTCCCCCTCCCCTCGGCGGCCAAGTGGCATACTACCCCTCTGTGACCGATCCAGTTCATGAATACATATGAGCGAGTATCTTCAGTACCATTGCACCTGTGAACGCAATCACACGGGCTTCTGCCTTGATTTCCCCTCGGCGAAAGTCAACTTTTTGATATTCTCGAACTACTCACGTGATCCCCATAGAACCGAGCTTCTCAACCTCCAATTCGCCAGAAATTTTCACTTACAAACCCACGACAGCGCCCAACTCAACTCAAAGGGGTGCCCCGTCCGATACGCCCGCCTTTTCGCTCATCATGAGCCCTTCACCCGCGGAACCTGGTGAAGGTCACACACACTACACGATCCTAGGCATCACTCGAAAGCTCCTCCAGGAACAGCCGGTGGAGCCGCAGCAGATTATCAAGCGGGCCTACCACCGCGCCCTCCTCCAAAACCACCCTGACAAATACAAAGGCCAGGCCCCAAGCACATCATCAACATCTCACAACTCTCAAAACAGCAACACCGTCTTCACAATCGACCAAATCTCGACGGCCTACAAGATCCTCTCGGACTCAAAGTCGAAAACAGAGTACGACAGGTCCCTTGACCTCGCGCCTAACAACCAAGGACTCAAGCGTGGCGAGCAGGTCTTCCAGACTGGCATAGAGAACGTCGACCTCGACGACCTTAAGTTTGACGAGAGCGACGGCCCGGACGCCGAGTGCTGGTACCGTAGCTGCCGGTGTGGAAACCCGCGCGGGTTCCTCTTCACCGAGGCAGACCTAGAGGAGGCGGGCGAGAACGGGGAGCTGCTTGTGGGCTGTCAGGACTGCAGTCTCTGGATGAAGGTCCACTTCGCTATAGTCTCGGAAGATTGATGAAGGGAGCTTAGCACCTTTATGAAAATGAAAAGACAAAACTCTTGCTCGTGTTATCCATTTAAACTTATGGTCCCCACCGAATGTATGCTTCAGATGTTAATGGCGCAGGAGGATTTGATAACAGTAAATGTATGTTGATTCGCAGTCTACAATGTTGAGCGAGAAATCGCCCATTCTGGTGGTACAAGCGGACTATGGCTAGACCATCGAAATCATGCACATATTCCCCATCGTCACTATAATCTGCTGACCCCGCCTTCGATCGTCTCTCTTTTAATTTCACTTCCATTGCGTCGTCTCAAACCCGCACACGAGGATACCTCTGTCTTACAGCAGTACCTACTTCTAGCCGGTTGCTGTGCCCTCGATGCAGAATAACAGTATGGTGACATGTCAACATCACACGAACCTGCTTGATACTGTTTGCCGGATGTGCTTCTTTGAAAGCAATTTTAGTCTTTTTTTGTTGTTGTCCAGACGGTCTTGCATTAGAGTCTAAAAAAGCAAACGTGGGTGCAATCGACCTCCAAAATGCTCTTTCTTTAGCCCTCAGCCAGTCCCGTGCTAGGAAAAATCAACCCCTTCACAACTCTTGTGTGTATTGCCTAAACGATGCCGATTCGCAAAAACGAAATCTCCAGTCCACACTCCGTAGACACCAGTCCACCCAAATCCGGCGAGGAACAGCAGAATGCTACGATACCATCAAACCCTTACTCAGCCTTGGGCTCCTCAGAGGTGCTGGCGGCCGGCGCCTCGGCGGTGGTACCCTCCTCCTTGGAAGCGGCGGAGGCCTCGGCAGTGCCTGACGCCGCGGGCTCAGCCTCAGAAGAGGTCCAGAGGGTCTACACATATGGTTAGCGATAGAATATTGATATTGACCGCAAGCAAGTCTTACCAGGTTGTCACGGAGAAGCTGCATGATGAGGGTAGAATCCTTGTAAGACTCCTCGCTAAGGGTGTCAAGCTCTGGGAAGACCGTTGTCAGTGAAATGTACAAGATTCAAGCGGCGGTGGATAGTACGAACCGGCAATAGCATCATCGAAAGCCTGCTTGGCAAGGTGGCAGGCCTGGTCGGGGGCGTTGAGGATCTCGTAGTAGAAGACGGAGAAGTTAAGGGCGAGACCGAGGCGGATGGGGTGAGTAGGGGGGAGCTCGGTCTGGGCAACCTCGGTGGCAGCCTTGTAGGCCTCGAGCGACTTGTCGGCGGAGTCCTTGCGGCGGTCGCCAACAGCGAACTCGGCGAGGTAGCGGTGGTAGTCACCCTTCCTGTTCAGGGAGTCAATGATGCTGCGGTTGTCCAATTTCAACGTTGATCCTTACATCTTGTGGTAGAAGACCTTGGACTCGCCAGACTTGGCAGAGGGGATGAGGTGGGCGTCGAGGACATCAAGGATGTCGTCGCAGATCTTGGCGAGCTCGGCCTCAATCTTCTGGCGGTACTCCTTAATGAGACCGACCTGGGAAGAGTTGCCCTTGGACTCCTCCTTCTGCTCGATGGAGGTAACGATTCTCCACGAGGCACGGCGGGCACCGATGACGTTCTTGTAGGCAACAGAGAGGAGGTTACGCTCCTCGACGGTCAAGTCACGGTCCTCAGAGGCGACGATCTTCATGTTCTCGACCATCTCTGAAAGTCCAATCATCAGTATGTTTCCATCGGTTCCCGGGCGGCGATTACCACGTACCCTCGTAGCGCTCAGCCTGCTCGGCAAGCTTGGCCAAGTACACAGCATCTTCGTGACCCATTGTGACGGTTGGTTATCTGGAACGCGCGGTGATTGATTAGCACGTGTAGCAAGGGGAGGTTGCCAGAATTGCGCTCTAGGCGACTGGTGAATGTGGATTTTGAAGGAGACGACGAAGAAAGGCGCGAATTGATGTCGCAAAAGCGGGCGAGTGAGTTCCAAGGTAAAAGGACGAGTCGCGGCGTATGCGCCTCGCTGACTTCATCACTCGGTTGAGGCTCCCCGCTCCTGGTGGGGTTTTGCGCCTGACCGGTCAAGATAGGGCGCGTAGGGTCGGTGAGGCGATCAATCGGGTACAAGATGAGGCATGGACGGCATCGTTGTCAAGGGGTCGGCGTAGATGGGACATAGTCGGCTGTTGGGGATCGGTGGAAGGAGATTGCGGCGAGGGATGCGATGACGACAGAGGGGGCACGGGGGGTGATGGGGGAGGGGACCACGTACCTTGGTGCGATGTTTTGAGGTCGGCGGGGATGTTCTGGTGGAACGATGGATGAGTGACAATGGAAGAGTTCCCGTGTCAAGAGTCGAGTTGGTTCGGAGCAGGGGGAGAGAGCGTGAAGAAGGATAAATCGAGGCGGGATTTGGACGTTTTGCAAAAGGTAGTGCGAGGGTTTGGAAGTTGAGAAGTTATGAGACGAAAAGGTGATGGATGGAAATTGAGGAAGGGGCTCTGGACTGCACAATACATGAGGTGGCCCGGGCCAAAGACAAGGCAAGGCGACGGGGGGGGAAGGGTAGGGTGGCACCGCACCAACTGGACTGGATGGACTGGACGGGACCCGACTTGACTGGCTGGACTTGGATGGGCAGGGACAGTGATGAGCCACTGCCTGGCCAGTCACCCAGCAAGAGGCGTCTCAACCAATCCCCTTGCTGCATCCACACTGTAGCAGGTGCCCCTTCTGTTTTGTTCCCAACTCGGTGCTAGCCCTGGAATGGCTGACTCACGTGAATCGATCCCGGGGTAGCCTCAAGTATCGCGGCTGTGCTCTGCGGCTGAGAGAAGTTGGGAGATACCCCTCAAGCGACCCCTCAAGGGCCCCGAAAGCCTCTCAAAATGTGCCCTTACTGCCAGCGCCTGGTACTTGCTGCCAGCCTGACTCTGCGACAGGTAGTGGGGGGGGGGGGGTACGTGACTGTACTTCCCACAGTCTTGCCGTGTCCTTTTCTGGGCTCTGTTTCTAAGTGCGTTCCTTCCCCGGGGCATCAACAGCAGTCGCAGTCGGCCTTGAATCCAGGTACACCTTAATGAATCTTAATGAATGCATTCCACCACCTGGCACCAATCCAAGGCACCCGACGGGATGGGGAGCCATACTTGACTCTTCTGACCTCACCTCCTCCAGCTTCGACCATGTTACTGCCACTGCGCCTCCATCACGTCACCGCGTTTGTATCGTTGCTTCACTTTCTCCGGCCCAAACTTAGCTGTCGGGCTCATGCTCTTGCTGCCTCACAGAACACTTGCTGTCACTGTACATCGTACCCAACATAGGTCATTGGCTTGTTGCCAACAAACTCCAAGCCAAAAGCCTGACAGAGACCCCTTTCTGACCCCTCATCTCACTTCGTCTCTTCTTTGCATGCAATCGTCAGCGCGGCCAACCGTGCCCCATTCGTCCTTTAAGTTCAGGCACTTATCTAGTTGTTCGGCCTCGCGCTGTCCTGCCTAGGTTGCTCCCACTGCTGGTCGTGGCGTGGGCCGTTGGAACCATGTTGCCATGTTTAGGTGGTTGCACGGTACCCGCTTCCTCTCCAGGGTGAACCATATTCATGTTGAACATAGTATCCTTTCCCTTCCTTTAATAGAGGCCAGACGCTAGGTACTATGTATCTTGGGGCCAGGCAAGGGAAAAGGCAGCACGTACACGCGTGGCCCGAGACACTGTAAGGCTTCTGCACTCCACCCCAAGGTACCAACTCACCTCGTCACCTGGCGTGATAAAAACAAAGACCGTCGCACCACATCACCGGGCACCCCTCTCGGCCGACCAACCTGAAGCGACAGATCTCCCGAATCTCTCCCAACCCGATGGACCGGGGAACATCCCCGTCATGGCCGAGATTCAGCCTTGCCGGAGATAGAGATGGAACGGATAGCAAGGCTGCTGCTCACCTAGTAGTCGGGTGACACAGTTCACTACGAGAATCCTTGGGGATGAAAAACATCAAATCTCCTTGTTGTGCACACGATGCTCTTCCGCTGTAAGCCTGCGAAGCATCACAAGGATGGTGACTCTTCAATGGATGGGACAAGACATTTGAATCCCAACGTGGCGCAACAACGTTCGGCGTCCACTGGGGCGCTGTGAGTCTTCGCGGGAATATACGGATGGCCCACGTCTGGCATCTTCCAACACCGGCCGGCCAGCCTTGAAGACACAGACACAGAAGCGAGCAAGGCGCCATTTTGGTCGAAAGCAGGTGACCTTTGAGTGGCCTGAGGAAAGAAAGACAAGGCAATTAGCTCTGCTCAGTCCGTATAACCTCCACCGAGCCGAGAAATGCCGGCAGTGGATGTTAGCAGAATACCTCGCTTCAGCCGCTTATGACGTATCCCAATCCCGTACCTCCGTACTCGCCTGCGAAAGAAGGTGGCCGAAGTAGAGCAAAAGCTCCCTCCAAGCTCTCCCCGTCAGCTCGTTCCAAGGAATCAGATCATCCCCTCCCCCGTCCAATAGGCATTTAACCAGCGTTTCCCTTTCCCGAGCTACTCCAGGCTCTCTCTCTCTCCACAATCCGGCCTATCACAAAACCCGTCAACTAGCACCCATCGTCATCGGTCAACCTGAGCCAAACAACACCTCTTTCTACAGCAACACAAAACCTCTCCAATTGACATACCACCCTTCTTCAAATAACAAACCACCCACACAAATCATTCCAAGATGATGCGCATCGCTGCCACCAAGGCTGCCGCTCGCCCTTTGACTCTCGTCTCTAGAGCTGCCTTCAGCACCACCACCCGCGCCATGGGCGAGGGCGACACTGGAGCTCCCTCCAAGTATGGAGGCGGGTAAGTTTGCTCTATCCTACACTCCTTCCACGCCCCACGATCTCTCCCGCGACAGATGATCATTTTGATGATTGCACATACTCACCTTTCTACTCACAGTGACGCTTTCCAGAAGCGTGAGAAGGCAAACGAGGATTACGCCATCCGCCAGCGCGAGAAGGAGAAGCTTCTCGAGCTCAAGAAGAAGCTCTCCGAGCAGCAGGCCCACCTCCAGCAGCTGTCCGACCACATGTTCGTCTACCCCCACTCCCCTCGGCGGACATGACGTCGCCCTCCCTTTTCCTCTCAATTTTGAGCTTGTCTTGCTAATCGACCCAACAGCGACGAGATCACCAAGAACCAGGGCGGCGAGCACAACTAAATCCACAAACAAAATGCATTCGCAATAATACCAATGGCGAGCGAGGATGTCGTGTACGCTGAAACGGACGTAGGGGAAGATTGATATCCGCAGTAGCCGGCGCATATAGCAGATCGTGTACAACGCGAGCACAATTTCAAAGAAAATTCAAAGCTGTCTTGTCAACCAACACCTGGTATTCACCCCACAATCTAGCCTATTGTACATGTGCGTATGATGATGAAACGCACGCTGTGGCACTTAAACCATCCCGCTCAATGCGAAACGACCTTTTAGTCTTGCTTGAGCGATTAATGACTCCAGTTTTCCCGAGTCTTTCATGTCAATTCCCCAGTCTCAACTCTCTTTTCTCTCGTGATTGCTACCGAAATAAAACCCAGCATACCCAAAGCCAGTCTCCAAAACCCCTTCATCGCCGGCCCATGTAAGATCGGTAAAAGCTCTCCGCTGCATCCGTCTCCGGCGCTCCGTACTGGCTGCCAAGGTTGTTGTTCGCCTTCTGTGCAGCAGACACCTTGGCCTGCAGGGACGCAGCGTTGGTGTCGATCCACTGGAGTTGCGATAGGTGGCCGTTGAGAACGCGGACGATCTGGCTCAACTGCGACTGCGTTAGAAAGATGACTATGTGCAAGCTGTGGAGACAACGGTGACTTACGGGATCCTCGGGCTTGGTACCCTTGCTCAGTGTGCCGGAGATGTCGTTAATCTCCTTGACCATCTTGGACAGGTCTCTGCTCTTCTCGTCAAGGTTCTGTGTCAACTTCTCAGCGAGTTTGTACGTGCGCTCGCGCTCCTGGTCGGGCCCGGCTAGAGTCTCGCCCTGTCCCATCTGGCGGGAGAACATCTCCTTAACGTCAGACTCGTAACGGTTGAGCCAGTCCTCAAGCTCGTCCTGCTGGCTCTCTACCGCCTGGAGCTGACGCTCAATCTCGTGGCTGGCCTTCTCGGCCTCAAAGGTGTTGAGGTAGAGCTTCTGGATCTTCTCGCCATTGTCCACCAGGCCCAAATCCCAGTCAGCGACTTGGTTGGCGTAGTGTTTAAAGTCCTTCTGATACTTAGACAAGTCTGAGGCCCACCGGGTGATGATGTCGTCCATCGACTTGTTCTTCAACCGAGGGAGCTGTGAAGTAGGGCCGGTTGTAGAGGCAGCCAGGGTATTTGAGTTGCCAGTCGCGGCGGATGTGGTAGTGGGTGCAGTACCATTCTGAGTTGATGTTCCGGCAGCGGGCGTCGACGGCTTGGCGCCGAAGAGACCACCAGCAGATGCAGTAGTACTGGGTGCGGTTGTTGATGTAGTGGTAGTAGAAGTAGTCGCCGGCGCAGTCGACGTAGTGGTAGATGCCGGCTGAGAGGTGCTCGCCGCCGGAGCTCCTCCGAAAAGTCCACCGCTCGCAGGCTTGCTGGCAGGAGTCGCGGAAGCCTGGCCACCAAACAGCGAAGAAGGGGCCGCGGTAGCAGCGGGGGTGGCAGATGTAGTAGCAGCAGGCTTTCCAAAGAGGCCCCCTGCACTAGAGCCAGCTTGTGTTGTCGCCGCAGCTGGGGTGGAGGATGTGTTGCCGCCGAATAAGCCACCGGCAGACGACGCAGCCGGTGTCGAAGTAGTAGGTGTACCAGGCTTGGCAGCACCGAAAAGCGATGAGGCACCAGCTGCGGGAGCTGCGGCGGTCGTTGAAGCGGGCTGAGCTGAAGTAGTAGTGGCAGCAGCTTGGCCACCAAAGAGGCCACCAGCGCTGGGAGCTGCGGTTGTAGCCGGCTTCTGGCCTCCAAAGAGACCGCCGCTGGCGGCAGGTTGCTGCTGCTCCTGACCGAAGAGAGAACCCCCACTGGCCGGTTGAGCTGTGGAGGCAGCCTTAGACTGGCCAGCACCACCGAAGAGACCGCCTGCGCTACTGCTCTCCGCCGGCTTGGCTGCCGCAGCACCGAAGGGAGACGGGGCTGCGGAACCGGATGCTGCGGCACCACCGAAAAGCCCGCCTGCGGCAGGCTTGCTTGCGCCAGCCGGGGGAGCTCCAGCCGGTGTTGTCGATCCTCCGAGCGAGAACATAGGCTTTGCGGGTGTAGCCTGAGTTGCGGGAGTAGTAGTAGCAGGTGTGCTTGATACAGGCTTGTTCAAACCACCGAACATACCCCCACTAGAAGCTGGAGCAGGAGTTGATGAGGCGCTCGACGCAGTATTCTGGCCGAAAAGGCCTCCAGACGGGGTAGAACTTCCAGTGTTTCCGCCGCCGAAAAGATTCGATGCCGGCTTCGCCGCAGCGTTTCCTCCTCCAAATAGCCCTCCGGAGGATGCAGCAGGAGTACCGCTCGAAGCGCCGCCGCCACCGAAGAGACCTCCTGAGGCGGGTGCAGATGTGCTGGGCGTAGACGAGCCGGCGTTTTGGCCGAAAAGACCACCAGAAGCAGCCGGAGTCGATGATGCGCCAGCGGCAGGCTTGGCCCCGAAGAGACCACCTCCAGTCGAAGCAGGTGTTCCCGTAGAAGCGGCTGGGGAGGCGCCGCCAAAGAGTCCGCCTGCTGGCTTCTGACCAGCGTTCTGTCCAAACAAACCTCCGCCCGAGGCTGGCGTGCCACTGCTTGATCCAGCAGCGGGAGTGTTGCTACCTCCTAGGTTGCCGAAAGAAAAGCTGGGAGTGCCGCTGGAGGCAGCGCCACCAAAGAGACCTCCAGATGCCGGCGCAGAAGTCGCAGGGGTCGAGCCACTGTTCGACGTCGGCGTAGCGTTCGTGTTTCCGAAGCTGAAGGACATTGTGTCGAAGTCTTGCGAATCGATCGGGATGTGTCGAGCGGGTGCTTGACAGTGTCTTGGAAGCTACCTATGAGCAACAGGAAGCTTGTGTCTGAGAGATCGTGGGCTGTGCAATTCAGCTTCGTCGCATTGAGGTGCGAATCGACCCCTAAAGTGTTGCTCGTCGTCAATTCCAATCGATTAGGTGCTATCGATATGCGCGGGCTTATTGCGTCGAAGGGGCTCTTTGCTGGTTATCGTGGGAGGGGATTGTAGCTGTTGTTGATGGCTGGCAAGGCAGCTTTTTTTTGTGATGCTCCATCCAGCCTTCCAGGCCTGCCTCCACGCGACTGGCGCGCTGTGCCTGCCCAGGACCAGGGACTGATTGCCTGTCGAGTGTTAGCGCGGAGTTAGCCGGGGCCTGCCCCACGTGATGCTTGGCAGGCAGGTCTAGAAGCTGCAGAGGTTCCTGATGCCATCTTCGAGCCTGCTCGTAGTGCCCTCCTTGCCCAAGAGCCTGAAAGTGCCTTTTTCTGGGTTTCTTGTGTGCTGCCAGCCTTGCTCAAACTTCCTTCTTGCATGAGTTGTAGTGTCCCAAATATCGAATCTGGGGATTTTGTTCTTGCTATTCGGCCCACACAATTACGTATCCGCTAATCGACAGGTTCCCCCCTCCACCACCCACTCCTATTCCTTCCCACCATCGATAACCTTGGAACTCACAAGCTGCTTCGCCTGCTCGTAACACCAAGAAACGTTATCCTACAGCTCTCAATTGAATCTGCACCGGAATCATGACTGATGATGAGGCCCTCTCACCGCCCAAACGGTCTGGAACTAGCGATCCTGGCGCCCACGACCTAGGTAATGATAACCCCCCCCTGTCGTCTTCCTAGATGATACATTTAGCCATTTGTCTGACAATTTGTAGCCAGCGCTTCCGACTCTGAAGATCACTTTTCCGATGCGCAATCTGCTCTCCTCAGCCCCGGAACGTCGCCAATTCCCAAGACTCGTGTAGAGAAAGTCGACGACGAACCGTCATATGGCGAGGTCCCTGGAACGGAGGCCTACCGCCTGAGGGAGGGGGATGCTGAACCGGATGAGATTGCTATCCAGGAGAAGAAGAGCGGTGCGTCGTCGTCTGAGGACGGTGTACCCAGGTCGCCCGTCATCCCCAAGACCGTCGTTGAAGAGGCTCCTGGCTCGTCAGGGCCGCACTCAGAGGAGTTCCTAGAGAAACGCAAGGCAGATGCCCCAGCCGACTTGGTTGTGAAGCCGGAAGGCAAGACTGAGGACGGTGGCAGTTCCGGTACGATGTAGAGATCCCTGAAATTCAAAGAACATTCGTCGTTGACCTGGCGTCATTCGTAGATCTTCCTCCTGTATCACCTGCGCTCTCAGCCCCGGGTTCGCCTCGCATGAAACGGAGACCATCCAAGACTGCCTTGTCGTCTAACCCATCCAGTGCAAGCCTCGCACCACCACCTGACGCGCAAGACGACGAGGGCGACGACGACGATTTTGGTGACGATTTTGACGACTTTGAAGAGGGTGCCGAGGCCGATGGTGACTTTGACGACTTTGAAGACGGCTTTCAAGAACCAGAATTTGAAGCTCCCGCACCAGCGCCGGCGCCGAGCTTGCCACAAGTACCATCGTTACCATTCGTGAGTATCTCTGCCTGCAGCACACTACTCAAAGAGACTGACACGTTTACTACCAGGATATACCCGATTTCGATGGCTTAGATGGTGAAGACGTTCTGCAAGCTGTTGATCCATACCTCAACACCCTATTCCCACCAGAAGACTTAGACGTGTCCTCTCCTCCACCAATAACCAAAGAAAATCCTATCTTCCTCACACCGCGCAGCGCGTCTCTGTGGTCACAACTTGTAGCACCTCCACCGCTAGCACCGCCAGATTGGATCCGCTCCCGTATCCGTCGCCTGTTCCTGGTCTCTCTGGGCGTGCCGGTCGATCTAGACGAGATCCTCCCGGCCTCAAAGCAGAAAAAACTTGTGCTACCGTCACTACAAGTCACAATGTCCGGCTCTCCACGGACATCCTCAGATTCCCGCTCCGTATCACGGGTGCGACAGTCCGAGGCCAACGCCTCATCGACGTCAGTCGACTCGAAAGGGAAACCGTCAGCATCCAAGAAGAAGGGCCAGCCGCCAGTACCGGACCTGGACCTCGTGTCGGCTAAGCAGCTCTGCACGACCACCGACGAGGCCCTGAACGGTATGACGGACGACGAGCTCAGGGCACATGTCGAGAAGCTCAAGGCAATGGAGGGCACGGCTAGGGAGGTGCTGGAGTACTGGACCAAGAAGACGGACGAAAAGATAGGCGACAGAGAAGCCTTCGAGGGCGTAATAGAAAACCTGGTCAAGCACGCGCGCAAGGTCAGGAAATAATGAATAGAAAGAAGGGCTCATTCATCGTCCAGGCCTATCTACCAGCATACACCCGTCTAGCTTTCCTTGTATGTTTTTCCTGTGAAACCCGTGACACACTCCCGCCCAAACGGACCTCGAAATCTCGCGAATTCCCAGTCTTCTTCTGGCCATTTGATTCTACGCGGTGGTGGTCGTGTCATTTGCATTCATTACCCGCCTGGTACTCAAAGAATGCCAGCCCTCCTGCTCCCCACTCGCCTCTACCAGGCTGATTCTTTTTAGACTCCTGTGATGCTGAAGAATGGGCTTTTTGGGACTTGTTTTTGGTTTGGTTGACGAATGTCGGTTTAGGAAGAGCTGGGCTCAAGGGTGACACCACTGCAATGGGTTAGCTATTGGAGGCGGTTATGTGGTCAAGGAAAGGGAAACTTACGCAGCGATGGTGGCCCAACCAATCAGACGCCAATGCTTCTCGATACGACGGGACAGAGCAACCTTCTCGCCAATGTTTGTGCAAGCGGGGGAGGTGAGGACAAGCTTGGCGGCATCGTTCTTGATGGCGGCAACCTTGGCGCCAGTAGACGTAGAACCAATGTTGACCATGATGACCTCGTTCTTGGTGAGCTTGGCAACCTTGGCCTGCTTGCCGTCGGCGGTTCTGACACCAAGAAGACGACGCAGGAGGTAGAAGTTGACCTCGATCTCACTGTAGATCTCGGGCAGGCGGCCCTTGAGACCCAGGACGAAACCGACGAGACGGTCGGCTCTGCAGAGGGTAGGGTCGATACGAGTACCGACACCAATGAGACCACCAGGGACGGCGTACTTGAGGTCGTTGAACTCGGAGTTGAGGGAGACGATTCTGCTGAAGATGGGCGTGCACTTAAGGGCGCCCTTGTCGTCTCTCGTGACGATACCGGGACGGATCTCGATCTCGTCGCCGAGCTTCAGGACACCGTGCAGAATGGAACCACCAGCAACACCACCCTTGAGGTCATCAATCTCAGCACCAGGCTTGTTGACATCAAAGGATCGAATGACGATCATGTGGGGGTCCTGGGTGAAGTCACGAGGAGGGACGGGAATGGTGTTGACGATAGCCTCGTTGACGGCATCGATGTTGAACTTCAGCTGGGCGGAAATGGGGATGACGGGAGACTTTCCGGCAACGGTACCTCTGATGAACTTCAGGATGGACTGGTAGTGTTGCTGGGCAGCCTCCTCGCGCATGAGATCTACCTTGTTCTGCAGGATAATGATCTTGTCCAGCTTCATAATCTCAATGGCAGCCAAGTGCTCAGAGGTCTGGGGCTGGGGGCAGGTTTCGTTGCCGGCAATGAGCAGCAGGGCGGCGTCCATGACGGCGGCACCTGACAACATGGTACTCATGAGAATGTCGTGACCGGGGCAGTCGACGAAGCTAAGTGTGGAGATATTAGCCACCTTGCATCCATGATTCCGGGGTAAGCTCTCAAAACTACTCACGAGACATGGCGCAATAATCTGTAGGTACCACTGCAGCCCTCGCGCTCGCAGGGGGGGTCAACCTCCTTCTCACTCTTGTAACTCCTGAAGCATCCCGGCCGAGGGCACTCGGAATTGTCGCACTGGTAGATCTTGGCGTTGGCGTAACCAAGCTTGATGGTGATGTTACGGATCAGCTCGTTCTTGAAGCGAACGGTCTGGACGCCAGAAATGGCCTTGACGACGGTAGACTTTCCGTGAGCGACATGGCCGATGGTACCGATGTTGATTGTTGCTTGGCGAGCGATAATCTCCGGGGTGAGGGGGGTGAGGGTCTTGACGTCGAGGTCTTTGGGGTCGGTTTGCGGGGGCAGAGTAGGACGCTGGACTGTGTTGTCGGCGGTGACGGGGTTCGACGACTTCTTCAGGGCCGGCTTGAGGGTCTTCTCCTCGTTGAGCTCGGTCTGCTCCTCCACGGACTCGCCAGAGTCAGACTCGGAGTCGATGTCGTCGTACTTGTTGTCGCCGTTGGCAGACATTGTCGCGAACAGTTGGCGGGGTAGTTCGTCTACGGGGGGGATTCCGACCGGTCTGAGGCGTCAAATTTTGCAAATTTGTATCGCCTGGTGGTTCAAGGATGCCTGGTTGTGTTCGACGGTACCGGAGAGGAGGATGGGGCCTCAGTTCGTGGACTTCGTGACGTCGAGCTTGATCGGTCGAAATATTTTGCCTCGCTGGAGCCTCAAGTCGAATTCTGGAATTCTGTGCAGTCAAGTGTGAGTCGACGAGTTGACGCTAACCCTTTCGGGTCTGATAAGCTGATAAGTGCCCCGCCGGGCCTTTGTCGGCTAAACCTAAGCCCAGCGGTGAATGCTCAGAAGAGGCGTCGTGAATGGTAGCTTCTTTCACGCATTCCTGTGGCTATTTGGGTTAGAAACATATAACCGTTGGCTGTCTCAACGGCTATGGCGACAACATCGTCCGAGTCGTCATCCTTAAACTTGTTGGCGTGGTTATTCAAAGCTTCGTAGAAATTCTCTCGAGCTATTCCACATCATGTGTCCATCCGTATATACGTAATAATAAAAGGCACTTCGAGTAAAACTGCAAGCGCTAACTGACACCTTGGAAATATTCAAGATTTACTGGCTCTTCTCGGTTCGCATTTAATTAACAGGCTTGTAGTCTACCGGTTCTTCGAGTACCAAAACATCCACTGGTAAGAGGCCACCGGCCCAAACGGCCGTTAAAAAGAGATGTCTTGGAGAATTGGTTTCCGGTCGAGATAGTCAACACAGAAAATGGGATTGCGACTCATAAATGTTGAACCTTTCAATCAAAGAGACGAATCGTGCAAAAGCAGAGCATCATCCACCCTGACCAAATCACATCTTCGACGTAAATAATAGCACTAGTGCCCGAACATCGGCTCCGACTTTGCGGCACCAACCTTGCACCATAAACCTGCGCGGACTTGGAGAAATCCTTCTCGATGCATTCCATATTGTGCATCTGGAGTGGCATCATCAACTCCGCTATAGGATTGCGGAAAGGCACCAAATGGCTGACTGTTCGTCTTGTCTTACACCGACACCGAACTTGGGTAAAAATAGGCCAGTGCAACCCACCTTTACCGGATCACCTGTATGATTGGTACATTTTGATAAAAATAGGCTGGCAAATGCGGGCTAAACTTGCTGGGAGAAGAAGGGCTAAATAAGAAGCACAGATGACAGATTTGGTCACTTCAACCAGCTTGACAAGAGGGGAAACGGCGGGACACGGGCCAGGCCTTCCTTTGGAGTACCCTCCAAGCTCAAGCTCACACCATCCAGCTGCGCTACAGGGTCGATCGCTGATGGCTAACGGCTGACAGTGTGGTCGATCTCTCGAAATGCAATCTCGCGAGGGGATTTGAATCGATATTTCTCTACTTTGGCGGCGCATGCCATATTATCCGTGCTCGATCTTGTCGCACAACAAGGCTTGGTGTGCCCTCGTCCTCTTCGCGTCGCCGTCATCACCTCGGTCAGGTCTACGGATCCACGGATTGCATCTGCAATTCCCGGTCACCCAACTTTGCCATGGCCAACGTGAGATTTTGGGGCCGGCGACAGCCGGGGGGGGCGCAAATGCTGCTGCTACACATATACCACGAAAGGCACATCTTTGCCGACTGGCCTGCGCACACCATCATTCAACAGATGACTATTCACCTGGTGTCATGGGGAGCAACCAACCAGGAACGTCCAGGGACCCGCAAGGAACTAACATACCTAGCTCCCGTTGTCCTTGACTATGCCTGACCATCACAGCTCGAGGTACAATTCAGGCTAGGGAAATAGGAACAGAAAGACTCGGGCGACTCGAGGAGGAGTCCAGAAGCACACCATACAAAAAAAAAGGCCGCGCCATGCCATCCGGCTGCAACCATTATGTTGCCGTTCCCCCATTCATCCAACTTCTGCTTACCGCCCCGTCTGCATGTGGCTGGCCGTCCATCACGCACTTTTGCTCTCTAATTGGTTGCAGCTCTCTGCGCCAAAGTGCAAGTATGTGGCATTCGGACGCGCCTGCAGCCCTTGGGCCTATCACATCTGCAGCAGCCTGACAGGGGAGGCGGGCGGCAACAAGGATTCGACATGTCGGTTTGGACGAGTTGGCGCCGGACGGTGGTTTAATCAGGAGCAAGGGTTCCGCAAGCCTCTCCTCTTTCCGTCTTCCGTCCAACCACCATCCATTGTCATCCCGTTGCTATTCGATCTGCCTCCTCCCAATTTGATTAACCATGTCCAATCACTGGCCTTACGTGCATCGTCGAACCATGCAGATGCAACGACAATTGCCGCCAAGCTCCAGTAAGCTTTGTCGAGGCGAGGAGAGGTCGGTTCAGAGAGTCTTCCACACCTAAGTTAGACAGACCGGTTACCGTGCGAGCTTGGAAGGTGTGCAAGTGTGCATGCTTCCTCCTCCGCCTCTCTCTTTCCCCTCTCTAGGATGCCTATTTGGGGTTGCTTTCAATATTCTATATTAGTCGCTTGTTGAGAAATGCGCGCAACTCTTGGCCTCACAAATCGGTTGTTCACAGTATCATTGCCTCCTCTCTCGGCTTCCGCTTCTGCTCTCGAAAACTGCATGTTGCTCCTTGTTTCTGTGTCTCGGATGATCTCCTGATAGATCCGGTAACCGCCGTATAATTCAAGAAATTACTGCAACAGAGACTCCGCTCGGATCACTGTCCGCCAGCCAGGACGAGGCGGCACTCGAGGACGTCTCTTGAACCATCGAGCCAACCAAAGCCCGGCGCCACCCCGTCCACTCTCGTGGGCGTCTATTTTCATCACGACCGAATCGCCGGCCTGGAACTCGGCCTCTCACCTATCACAGCCCTGCTCAACTCGCGCCATCCTACCCTCCCACGCTACATGTAGGAATCCCCCGTGCCGCTTCGTCCCACTTACACCTTGCTGATCTACCCCATGCAGTGGAAGGGCCTTTGCCTTGGGTCCTGATCAGGAGCGGCGCCAATTCAAAACTACCAGCTCCCCCGAGTGACCGATCTGTTGGACCTCTATTCTCCCTTCCGACAGCTGGTCTCTCCGAATCTGATTCCGTTCGTGCTTCATTCTTGCATTGATCACCAAATCTGTTGCATGTTCCGAATCGGTCTTCCTTTCAACGACCCGAAGTCTGAGGCCGCTTTCCCTATATACCAGACACACATCTCTTCTTCTCTTTCGTCTTTCGGGACACAGTCACATAGCGCAGCCATGTCTCCGCAAGGTGGGACTTTGCCCAAATACCATGTTCGTCTGCACTGTGAACTAACACCATTGCTAGAAGACAAGAGGCGGCCTGCCGCCCTCAACCTCGCCCCTGCTCGATCAGCATCCACAGATTCGTCGTCCTCCGAGTCATCACTGAAGCCCCCTCGCACTCCTCGCTTTGCGGAAGCCACATCAGTTCACTCACCTGTGGAGGGTACTCGATCACCCTTCGCCGACCCCATCAGATCCGAAGTGCCTCAGTCTCAGCCTGGGGATATCGGGTTTGGATACATCAACAACAGCAGCAGCAACCGCGAGTCCGTCGCTGTGCCTATGACTCCGAGATCACCACTCAAGAGCGCCATGAGGGTGCCCGGGACCCCGGCGAGGAAGATCGAGAACCCGCTCAGCCCAACCTTCCGAGAGGAGGATATTTTGGAGAAGCGCGAGGAGGCAACTGACAAGGAACAAGCACGCGACCTGGTATGTGACACACTGCTTGTTGAGAAATGTATCGCTAACACCTATACAGAAAATCAAGACCCGCGTCCGCATGGCCAAGTTCGCCCTTCGTGGCGTCAGCTTCAGCTGTAGTTTGATCATCATTACCATGCTCGCAGCTTCTTTCCAGATTTTCAACGCTACCAAGCGCCTGCCTGCTCAAAGCGGTCTCCCGGCATGGGCAGAAGGCACTGCCATCTGGCCCCAGGTTCTGGTTATTACTAGTAAGTACCTACACCACTTTCAGAATCCGCGTCCAATCTCTCACAACGCATAGTGTCTTCCATCTCTCTTCTCGTTTGTATCGCTGTCATTCTCTCCTACTGCCGCGGCGGTCATCATCGTGCTGAGAAAGTTGCCACCTACTACACCCTCTTCGCTATCGGCTGCTTTATTCTTTCCATGGTGATGTGGGCTGTCGCCGCCGGTATCTTCCAGTCAAGCCGAAGCAATGGCGGCGGCAAGGACATGTGGGGTTGGTCTTGTAAGGAAAATAAGCGCGCCGAGGTCTTTGGCGACAAGGTCGACTACGCCCTCATCTGCCGACTTCAGAACTGGGCTCTTATCTGCATGGTTATTGAAATCGTCATCGATGTCATTTGCGTCCTGCTCTACAGCATCATTTTCTACCGATACTACACCAAGCGCCGCCTTCACAAGTCCATGGACATGCGCGACCGTGCCCGTTCCGATCTCTACCTGGCTCAGCTCCGGACCCAATCGGCTCCGAACACTCCCGGCCTTAAGTCGCCCGGCCTGTACTCTCAGTATGCCCTGTCCCCTCGCCACCCCGACAAGACCTTCGACAACCTATCCCGTATCGAGGAGGCCTCCCCCTTCACCCCCGGAACCCGTTTCGTCGAGCCCGAGTCCAGCTTCAACAAGCCCAAGCCCACCTTCCAGCTACAAGCTCCTCCGGCCAAGGCACGCTCGGCGACTAAGCCCGGCCAGGGCTCCTTCACGCCCACTTCGCCAGAGGGTCCCGCTCCGTCATTCCCTTTCCAGCAACAACCTCAGGCACAGCCGCAAGAGCAGTCCCAGCACCATGCGCCAATGGCTGCCGACGAGCCGGTCTACGACGCTGTGCCGATTCCCGGGGCCTACGCTGATGCGCCGGTAAAGAGTCCGCCGCCACATCAGTACTCCTTTGGCCAAGCGAGATGAAGAAGAAAAAATGAGACGATTGATATGATGACTATGGAAGTGGTTGGTGGCTGCAGTTTGGAAACGTACGCGATGTGTTCTTGAAAAGAAACCCATTTTACCATTTTTCTTTGTATTCAGCTGAGCTGGCTTTTTTTACCCCCTTTCTTGATCTCTTGATCGAATCGATGAAATCGATATATATACCATTCTGGCGTTGGGAAAGGAACCAAAGACAGGAAAGACCTCGGCCTCATTCTTTTATGCTGGTCAACGGGATGTGGCTTGGACATATTGGGTAGTTCATAGCAGTAATTTACCAAGCCGTGTATAACTTGAACTTGATTTCTTCACTAGCGAAGTGCCGCGGGTGATTGTCCAGAAGACTGGATCCGGATTATGCCAAGTCCGTTATGAGATCGGTCAAGTCCACAATCCCGGGATGAGGACGGAGAGCCCGGCCCCATTTTGCGGGTTTCCATGCCCTTTGATCTTTTTTTGCACGACAACCCACCCATTGTCTCTCCACCATATTGTAGCTCATCTTGAAATTTAATCATTAACCTCAATAGCCTGCCCGGCTAGCTCAATCGGTAGAGCGTGAGACTCTTAATCTCAAGGTTGTGGGTTCGACCCGTAAGCGCACTCCAGACTCGTGATGCATCACGAACATTTCAACTAACAATAACCAGCCACGTCGGGCTCAATTCCCGTCCGCGTTTGACATTCCATACTTTTTTTGTGACCCCCCCGCATTTTCCCTCTCTTTTCGTTCTTCCCCTAGGTTCGATTGTTTCAACATTTCAGAGTTTGGAATGTTGTGTGGCCGTTGTAAGCTTTTGTCTGTACAAGTAGTGTCTGTAGTTGGAACTTCTTTTCCCCGCCACTTCTAGCAGTCTTTTCAGAGTCATTAAACATTCGCACTGGATACGGTTCTGTTCCAGAACTCTATACCACTATACCCGGGGACTTGGGTAATATACTCGTGGATAATCGTGTATGCTATATATAGCCAAGTAATGTGTTAACATTAATCGATCGTCGTATGTGGGAGGGAAACTAGAGTCTACCAAGTCTTCAGCCCTATGGGTGTCAAGTTCCCGTAAGAGGATTCCGTGACTTGTGTTTCGGTGAAGCCGAGCCTATACCTGTCGTGAAGACTCGACACTTGAACCAGTTGAATGCCTGAAAGTCTGACTTCTCATATAATAGATCCTAGGTGCCAACGTCATGCGAGCACTTTGCTCCACAAGTGACAGTGGTTCCGTTCCCTGCCAGCGAAAAGGCGCCGAGCGTTCTTCATGATTCGAATAAGCTCAAGGGGTGAACCGAAAACGTGGTTCCGGACCGAATAGGAGTTATGACTTAAGGTCAGTCTCCGTCCATAAGCCAATGAGCGAGCTCAGATTGTCAGCTTTTCCTCTAGTTTCAATGTCGAAGAGGATAACCTTTCCCAAAGTGATGATAATATACATGAAACAACTCGGGACCGAGGCCGTACACGGTGCTACTACGACATGGGAAGTTGACTGCGGTAATGCAACAGCACCTTTTCCCCCATGGTTCCTTAGTTAACTCATCTTTCCCTGGCGATGAGCACTTGAGGTGAATCGTCCTGCTCTATGGCGGTTGAATAGGGGAGAAACAAGAGGCAACACTATCGAATGGCATTGGTGATTGTGTGGTCTGCAGTTGAGTTGTGGTGGACGAGGCATCATTGGCCCAAGCCGTCGAATGCAACGGGATCGCAGCATTGCCTGTCACCTATATCTTGAACACAAATTGTCACAGACGACCGGGAACCATTTGGGACCAAGGCTGAGGTGTCATCAAGGTATCTTGTTGTGATCAATTGCTCTCTCAGCTTCTAATAGTTTTGACGCCTCACTTCCAGGCAGGCCCACGTCTACACCGCAATCAAGCCACGGTAGCCGTAATGTACATGATCATCAAGCCTGGATTTCCCCTTTTACTTTTGTTTTTCATTTCGTGACTCATGTCCTCCCCTTATCTTGTGAGAGCGATGTCGTCTATTCTGAGGATCATCTTCACTGTCTCAGCGGCCAACTCGATGGCGCTAGTGCTCACCAACAGAGGCTGGAGGACGTTCTCCTTGGAAATGTTGGTGTTGACGCCGCCAGACTTGATACTGACACCCGCGTTCTTCTCGCCAAGCTCGTGTCTGTGACGAAGCTCAGTCACAACCTTGATACTGTTGAGACCGGCGTTCTCAGCCAGAGTGGTAGGAATGACCTCCATAGCATCCGCGAAAGCCTTCCAGCAGATGGCCTCAGTACCAGTGAGCTCACGAGCCCGCTTGGAGAGCTGGGACGCGATCTCGATCTCGGCAGCACCACCACCAGCAATCAAAGCCTTCTTCTTAACCAAGCAGCGAACGACGCAGTGGGCGTCGTGCAAACTGCGCTCAGCCTCATCGAGAATGAGGGAGTTGGCGCCACGAACGACGACAGAGACGGTCTTGCCAGTCGCCTTGGCGCCCGTAACCTTCACCATGCGAGCTCCGTTGGACTGGATCTCCTCGACGAGGTCGGCCGAGCCGAGCTTGTCCTCCGTAAAGGAATCGATGTCTGCAATCGGCTTGCAGCCGGTGGACTTGCAGATGAACTCGATCTCGTCGCGCTCGATATCCTTAACGGCGAGAATACCAAGCTTGGCAAGGAAGTGCAGCGAAAGGTCGTTGACAGCATCGCGGAGGATGGACTTCTGGATGAGAAGGACGTTGCACTTGGCCTTCTTGATCTTCTTGACCATGTTAAGAAGGTAAAGACGCTCTTCCTTCACGATCTTATCCATCTGCCTGTAGTCGTTGACCTGAATAGTGTTTTCCATCTTGATTGGTCAGCAGCTGTGTAAAGGGGCATCTGAGGCGGGAACGTACATCGGGCTTAGGAGGGCTGAGCTGGAACTGAATCAAACCGATCCTTGCCTTCTCGATTCTCGCGGGACCGCCCGCACCCTTGAGAACGGGCTGCGTCAGGATCAAACCATCTGACAGCTCACTGTCCTCGATAGTTCCGCCAACCTTCTTGACGATTCTGATGTTCTTCAGGTCAACGTTGTCTGCCGTCTTGAGGTCAATGGTCTTGACAACAGAGTTGACAGCCATGGGGCCGAGGATGTTGGAGTATTGCGACACGATCTTCGATGAGAGGGATGTGTTGGCTGCCTGTAGCAGGGATGCTGTGTCGGTGAGAGAGATGGGTTGTGACATGCCGTGGAGAACCTCGACGGCTGCGGCAGCAGCTCTCTGGAAAGCCTCTGAGATGACGGAAGGGTGGATTCCTTTTGACAAGAGTCTGTCTGCAGCACCCAACAAGCTACCACAGATGACGACCACGGATGTTGTACCATCTCCTGCCTCCACATCCTGTGCCGCCGAGAGGTTAACCAACATCTTTGCTGTCGGGTGCATGACGGACATGCTCTTGAGCATCGTATTGCCGTCGTTGGTAATGATAGTCTCGCCCTTTCCGCTGCGAATCATCTTGTCCATGCCGCGGGGGCCCAAGGAGGTTCGAATGGCATCGGCGACGGCTAGGAGGAGGTTAGCTTCTGGTTCGAGAAGCTCGAGAGTGGTTCGAATTGCTCACCTCTGGCAGCAACAATGTTGGAAGAGCGAACGGCGACAGGCTTCTCCTTATCCTATACGGCTATTAGCAATAGCTCCTGAAGCTTCGCCATGGGCGGTGCAGTGCAAGCGCATGTCGTACCTTGAAGGTAGCATTTCCAGAGCCTCCCGCGGCCGGGGGTGGTGCAGTTGTGGCCATGTTGATAGTTCTGACTTGTGTTGTGCTTGGTTTTGAGGATGTCGAAGTCGGAAGAGCAGGCTGAACACAAGGTGGGAATGTATCGGTATCTTCGTAGTCCTGTCCCGCTGTCGCCTTCTTTTGCGATCGCCCACTTTCTCTCAGGTAGCAACCCCCCCAGCGGTGGGATATTTTTTAGCGGGCGCCAGGTTGTTCCTGCCCCGGTACTCTGTTTGCATTTTCCCCCAACCAGCCTAGCTCCACAGCAGCCTCGCAGTTGTGGTCCGTGCTTTAGAGCTCAAGGCAACCTGGATTACGGAACCGTCTTCCATCACCACCTCGAACCCACCTCCAGCAGCATACCTCTGTACTCATTGACGACCGACGCGACCACTTCCCCAAGATCCCACGATTCCACGTCGACACAACCCCTAACCCGAAAACACAAAAAAGAATCCGCCCTACATAAAGAACTGGCAGTAGGACTTTGAGTCCTCATCCTACATCATGGTATGGACCCTGCACGCATGGCCACCAACGGCGGGTGCTAACCCCAGCATTAGCCTTCCGCTACTGGCCAGAACTGGGAGAAATACCAAAAGACCTACGCCGACGACGAGGTTGAAGAGAAGAAGATCACACCATTGACCGATGAGTTCGTTGTCCTATCGGCCTCGGGTTGCGCGGGATTCTCGACTAACACTGCTCAGAGATATCCAAGTGCTGAAGACCTACGGCGCCGCTCCGTACGGCGCTGCCATCAAGAAGCTCGAGCAACAGATCAAGGAGAAGCAAACAAGTGTAGATGAGAAGATCGGTGTAAAGGTAGCTGTGCAGTTCCGGGTGGATGAAACTCGATCTGACTTGACTAGGAATCCGACACGGGTCTTGCCCCTCCTCACCTCTGGGACGTAGCAGCAGACCGGCAACGCATGTCGGAAGAACAGCCTCTCCAGGTTGCGCGGTGTACGAAGATTATCCCGGACGAGAAGGACGACTCCAAGAGCAAATATGTTATCAACGTCAAGCAGATCGCCAAGTTCGTCGTTCAGCTCGGAGAGAGAGTGAGCCCCACGGATATCGAGGAAGGTATGCGAGTTGGTGTCGACCGGAACAAGTACCAGATCCTCCTGCCGCTCCCGCCCAAGATCGATGCCAGCGTTACGATGATGACGGTCGAGGAGAAGCCCGATGTTACATACGGAGATGTTGGTGGATCAAAGGAGCAGGTTGAGAAGCTGCGAGAGGTCGTTGAGATGCCCCTCCTTTCGCCAGAGCGGTTCGTCAACCTCGGTATCGATCCCCCAAAGGGTGCCCTTCTGTACGGACCCCCCGGTACTGGCAAGACCCTCTGCGCTCGAGCTGTCGCCAATCGAACGGACGCCACCTTCATCAGAGTCATCGGCAGTGAACTAGTCCAGAAGTACGTCGGTGAGGGTGCCAGAATGGTGCGTGAGCTTTTCGAGATGGCGCGGACGAAGAAGGCCTGCATCATCTTCTTCGACGAAATCGACGCCATCGGCGGTGCTCGTTTCGACGACGGTGCCGGCGGAGACAATGAGGTCCAGAGAACCATGCTGGAGCTCATTACGCAGCTCGACGGTTTCGACGCCCGTGGCAACATCAAGGTCATGTTCGCCACCAACAGACCCTCTACTCTTGACCCCGCCTTGATGAGACCGGGTCGTATCGATCGTAAGATCGAGTTCTCTCTGCCCGACCTCGAGGGCCGTGCCAACATTCTGCGTATTCACGCTAAGAGCATGTCGGTCGAGCGCGACATCCGCTGGGAGCTCATCTCGCGTCTATGCCCCAACGCCACCGGTGCCGAGCTTCGCAGCGTCTGCACAGAGGCCGGCATGTTCGCCATCCGCGCCCGGAGAAAGGTGGCGACGGAGAAGGATTTCCTCAGCGCTGTTGACAAGGTCATCAAGGCCAACCTCAAGTTCAACTCGACAGCCAGCTACATGCAATACAACTAAGGGAGGAAACCCAGAGAGCGACGGAGATGGCAGGGCAACGGAGTTCGTCATGTCTTTTTAGGCTGTAAGAATAGGCAGGTTTCGGATCGGGGAAGATCTGGAAAGGCGTGATACCTTACTCCAGAGAAAGAGAAATAGACCATGCTTTCATGTGCCCATAAGAGTGGTTTGCTGCGACCTAAGTGAACAGATGTCGTGTTGATGAGCCGAAATGCATCGGTTTACTGAGAGGGCACGCAGTTGGTTTGATCTGATTTGACTGATTTGATATTGGTGGCCGTAGAATTACATTTATCTGACGAGACCTTTGAGGTCTCCCCAGCCTACTCCCCAGCCTACCTAGTGTAAGGAGCCGTGTTTCGGCATCCTTTGATCCTATGCTTGCTGATGATATCCTCCTCCCATGTGGAACAAAACCCCTTATGCTGCCTCAGCATTGCCCAAAGTTTCCCGTTACCAAATGATATGCATGCCTTCATTAGCAGCGTCGTGCGCCTCTTCAGTCTTCACGAAGGCGGATCGACTGTTTGAAAACCCCTCCTTGAACGCTGTGCTGTGAAACAAATAACTCTCCTCTCCTCCTTTATCTCATGTCTTCTCAGACAGATTCCATGCGTGACAGACAGCCCAGGCAGACGACGTCACCCTCTGCACCCTTCTCGATGCAGCAGCGGCTACAGACCATCTGTCTGTGTCCGCCGCCCGCCCAGCCGTCCTTTCGCTTCGGCTGTCCCTTCCTCTTTGACTCTTCATCTTCCCTCGATTGTCGTTGTCGGTCGTCGTCAACGTCGTCCATCTGGCATGACCGTGAGAGATTAATGCCTCCTTGCTCCGGCGCTTGCTCTACATTACCCAGGTCGCCGCCGCCACTGCTGGGGCGTCCATCCTTCTGCCAGCCCTGGCACTCTCTGATGCACACGAAGCATGAACGCAGCCCGCAGCCCTGACAGTCAGCGAAGGAGTCGAGATCTGACTTCTTGGTGGGCCGGCGGTGGCAGATATGACAGGGGCTCAGGGATGAGGGAGTCTTTGGTCTGTTGCCCACCGCGTCGGTTTGGACTGGAAGTACTGGGGAGTTGTGTTGGGACGCCGGTGGTGATTTGCTATGCCGCCGCTGTCTTTGGCTGTTGGGTTGTGTTGAAAGGCCTCCGTCCAAGCTGTCCAAATCCGCATCCTCCTCGTCGAACATGCGCTGTCGCTTAGACACGGGGAGGGGAGCTATCTTTCGGGACTCTGACTCGTGGTTCTGGCGGGAATCTTCCGTGGTGGTATTGGTAACGGCCGGGAAGCCGTATTGAAAGATCATGCGGTCATTGTTGCTGCCGGGGAAGCGAGGGAAGAAGTTTTGCTGCTGCTGCTGCTGGATCTGCTGCTGAACGGGCCTGCTTCCAAAAACGCCGTCAGCGTTCCAGTTGTTCGTCGCAGCGGCTGCCGCCGAGTGGTACTGGGCAAGCTTCTCGTACAAAGGACCTTGTATCTGCAGGTCGTTGTTGGAGTCGTTAACATCCCGTCTGCGTTTTTTGCCGGGCGCCATCAGCCGGGGATGCTCCTCGGCGACGGATGGCATCGGATACTTTGGGTATTGGTAAGGGCGAGCGGAGATCGAGAGAGGCGTGGGAGTCGTAGAGTGAGGTGGTTTGTGGTCGGAAGGAGGCAAAAGGTAAAGGCAGTGGACTGGATTCGTTATCGGCAATGTTTCGTTGATCAGAATCCTTACGTTCCTTCGTCGATAAGAGAACCTTGAGAATTGCAGAAGGAAACCGTTGAGGGTTTTCTCTTAAGCAAAAGGAAAGGAGCTCGTCGGATGACTAGTAGGGTGTAATAACAGGCGAAAGGCCTCTCCTTCGCTCACTCTCCTTGACTCCGCAGCTCTGCTTGGGGTGGTGGTGATGGTGGTGGTGTTGCTGCTTGCTAGTTGCAGGCAGGCAGTCAGCCAGTCCCGTTCAGGTGGGTAGGCTTCGCCGTGGGCTTAAGATACGGCCAAGCACGGCGCGGAGCTTTCGTGCTTAGAGGTGATTTGCCCGCCACGGGAAGTGGTGGGTACCGACCGGTAGGCTCCTTCTCCTTCTGTCAGCACACTCACATCAGCGGATTCAGCGCTTGATCCAACTGACCAGGAAGCGCGCCGGCCGCTGGAAAACCGGCCGCCTTCCTTCCTTTCCCACTCCGTCTTTCCAGGTTCAGGTTACTGCGGTACCTTACGTCGACCCACAGAATGTCGTCCTCCCACCAATTGCCACCCCTAATACTGGACCGTCGGCCAGCCTCCCCTCCTTGTACAACGGCCCAGAAATCACCAGTTGGTCATTAAGTCACGACAAATGAATAGTCAAGATATTTGCAATTGCGTATATGTTTACAGTATTTAGGATACGGTAAAGTCTGAAAGGCAAGTCAGACCCAATTTGATTCTAACGGTCCAATGAAACATGTGACGAAGATGAAAGCTTCTGCCCTTGCCTTCCTGTCTCTGCTAGTCGGTCCTGGATTCACCGAAGTACCCTTGTTGCCGGACACTTGTGCTTGCCGCTCTATTTGAGTGCATCAAGGTCATGCTCTCATTGACCCTTACCCAAACAAGGCGCCATCAGTCAGTCTCACAGTGATTCTGACTCGTCTTACAAGAGCTTTTGAGGCCCGTTGGTTAGGTTGCAAAGAGTTTGCTAGTAGTGTGCTGTCACTTTGCTCATCAAAAGGCTCGCTAAACGCGTGGAATAACAAAGAAGACTTGTCATTATCAAGGAGTCAGGTATTGAAAAAGGACCATCTGATTTACACTCTATCGCTCCCCAGTTTGCTCCCAACGATGAATCTCGTCTCTGCCGCCTCCACCAACAAAGGAGCTGTTTTAGAGAGCCTAGTATAACATACACAGAGACAACCGAATTGTTGCCATGATGACTTAGTGGCGAACCTTGGTGTCCTTGGGAGGGTCGTAGGCGATCTTTCTCGACTTGAGCCAGGCCCACTTGTACTTCTTGACCCAGACGCTGAGGGCCCAGAGGGAGGCCGAGACGACGAGAACCTTCATACCCATGCGCTTGCGGTCGTCCATCTCGGGCTCAGCGGCCCAGTTGAGGAACTCGACAACGTCCTTGGCCATTTGAGAGGTCGAGGCGGGGGTGCCGTCCTCGTACTCGACGAGGTCATCGTAGAGGACACGGGCCATGGCGATACCGGTACCAGGGAAGTAGGGGTTGAAGTTCATGCCGGGGGCGACGACGGCGCCAGCGGGAGGCTCCTCGGGGTAACCAGTCAACAAGCTGAAGATGTAGTTGCAGCCGCCGTGGCGGGCCTTGATGATCAAGCTCAGATCGGGAGGGAGGGCACCGTTGTTGGCGAAGCGGGCAGCCTCCTCGTTCTTGTAGGGGTCGGGGATGTAGTCGGAAAGCTTGCCGGGGCGCATCTCGATATCGCCCTGCTCGTTGGGCTCACCGGGGTACTCGTTCTCCTCGGCCATGGCCTTGGCCTCGTCGACGGTCAAGATGGTACCGACGAGAGTTCGGTAGGGGACACGGCTGAGGGAGTGGCAAGAAGCGCAGACCTCACGGTAGACCTGGAAACCACGGCGGAGACTGCAGTTTGAATGTAAGCGTCATATCGACCAGGTGGCCAAAAAATAAAGTGTTTCCTTACGCCTGGTGATCGAAAGTCTTGAACCACTGCTCGTGAACCCAAGGGTAGCTGGTAGGGTGCAGACTGGAGATGATAGTTTAGCTGAATGTTCTTTCGTTGTTGGTTGCACGGCGTCGTTCGCGGATTATGCCTCAATCCAAGGGATTCCGGCATTCGAATAACTAATCCGTAGCAACCGTGTTCGGACAATCATAACTCACCCCTCTTCAGCAGGGGCCGCGGCGTTCGCGGAAGGTCCGTAGAGGTGGTAGTACCAGGCCATGGAGCCCAGGGCGAGGGACGTCGACGTGATGGCGGCGAGGTTCAATCGGGACGGGGAAGCTTCGGCACCAGCGCCGCTGGAAGTAGAGGCCGCACGCTGCATCAATCATCGTTAGTCTTCTGCTCCGATCTCATTGATGTCCGTCGATGGCCATTGAGGCGACTCCGGCGTGTCCAATGGCGGTAGGTCGGATTGCCTCGGGAGGTTGGAACCGTGATCAGCTCATCTGCGTACCTTGGAAATCGTGACGGCGCCATTTGTGAATGTGCGCGCCGAGCGCAAGCAGGACCTTGCCAACATGATGGGCGAACCGTATCCGCAGCTACAGAGACAGCCGCGAACAAAATGATGGGGCAATTGGTGGTTGGTCCTCTCGTGGCGGAGGTCGTTTCTAAGGTACAGTGGTCGAGGCAGGAGAAAATCGCTTGAGGCAGTTTTCGAGTGCCTTAGGTATGGCACGCCTCTCATTGGCTAATGGAGACGGTCAATGACATCTTCCGTTCCGGCCGCTTTTCGCTTCCTTCCTCTTACCCGTAGTTGCCCGGTCGCGGTTAGTCCAGCAGAAGTATTTCCGATCGCCCGTCTCACCCAACAACTGTCTCTTTCGTCATGGCCGGACTGAGAAATATGCTCCGCTTGATTGGCCTGGCTCGGATGCACCTGCGATGATCTACTACATGCATCACAACCCGACATTAGACGAACGTTCATTCCTCTCACGGTTTTTATCCATTTGGCTCAAAAGCGTGAATAATTTCAAGAACAGATTATTTTCAAAAGGAAGCAGTGCAACCTAAGCTGTTTTTTGCCATTCCCATCCTTACACATCGATATCTCACCAGAAAGGAATGGATCAGTTCGGAAGTTGGGTATCAATCGGATTTTTATTTTGACAAACTACAAGACTTTTTACCATCACCGAGCCTCACCGAGGACTTATGTAACCGCCTGCAATCAGCGGCAGGCATTGGTATATGCACACAAACTCTCCCCTTGTCCCTTGGACAGTCATATTGCGCCTATGCAACTTGAACTGTTCCCGCAAAAAGCAACTTCAGAAGCGTCTTATGCATGGCCATTTCTACTGAGATTCTCACGACGCTGCTTGACTGCGTCGGCCAGCTGGTCGAGAACAGTGACAGTGTCGTCCCAGTGGATGCATGCATCTGTGATGCTGACACCATACTTCAGACCCTCCTTGCCCTCCTTGGGCACCTTCTGGTTGCCTGCCAATGGTTAGCTTATGCTACTGAACAAAGCGATCCGGAAAGCACTCACCCTCGTTGATGTTGCTCTCAATCATAACACCCATGATGCCAGTCTCACCGCCGGCAATCTGTCCGGCGAGATCGGCAGCAACCTTGGGCTGGTTCTTGTGGTTCTTGAGGGAGTTGCCGTGGCTGCAGTCAACCATGAGTCTCTGGGGGAGACCGGCCTTCTCCAATGCAGCCTTTGCCTCTGCAATGCTCTTGGCATCATAGTTGGTGCCCCGGGTACCGCCTCTCAGAATGGTGAAGCAGTCCTCGTTGCCCACGGTACCGACAATGGCGACGACACCGGGCTTGGTAACGGAAAGGAAGTGGTGAGGGTGTCTGACAGCGCCGATGGCATCAATAGAGACTCCGAGAGAGCCATCAGTGCCGTTTTTGAAACCAACAGGGAAACTGAGACCGCTGGCCAGCTCTCGGTGCAGCTGACTCTCGGTGGTTCTTGCGCCGACTGCACCGACGGACAGCAAATCAGCAAGGAACTGCGGCGAGATGGTATCAAGCATCTCGCTGGCAATGGGCATGCCCTTGTCCGTCAGGTCGACGAAGAGCTGTCTCGACAGGCGCAGACCCTTGTTGATCTTGAAGCTGTTGTCGATGTCCGGGTCGTTGATCAGTCCCTTCCATCCCACTGTTGTGCGCGGCTTCTCCAGGTAGGAGCGCATAACAATGAGCAGCTCATCCTTGTGCTTCTCCTTGGCTTGCAGCAGCAGGTCGCAGTACTCGAGAGCGGCCTTAGGGTCGTGGATTGAGCAAGGGCCAATAATGACCAAGAGTCTTTGCTTCTGGTCGGTGCCGTTGACAATGGCGACAGCCTCCTCGCGACCCTCGATCACGGTCTGCTTCGACTTGGCAGTTTGGGCGATCTCGTGCTGGAGCAGATCGGGAGGAGTCAGAGGGTTGTAGCCGCGAACTAGAGAACGATCCAATTAGCCCACGAACAACATGCTGGAATGTCCAATGCGTTTCTTACTTCTCCAATCTTCACTCTCGGCCTTGTTGCCGACGTTCTTGTTCTCGATGAAGAAGCTCTGAGGTGACAGGTGAGTCAGACGTATGCGCGCGCGGGCTAGGAGGGGAGGCGAGAGATGACTTACAGACATGGTGGCTGTGACAAAAGGTAACGGAAGAACGCAATTCGATTGAGGGTTCTTGGGCGAGGCTGGGTCTGGAAAGAAACGCTTCAATGGTCGACAAGAGAGAGTGCACTTGTCTTGATTAAACTTTTTTTATTTCGTTCTTTGTAGGATGTTGCGTCGAAGGGGGCAGCTTCGAGGACCGAGAGTATGACTGTGTGAGCAATCCAATGGGCAAATACTCATTCGTCCCTGCCCAGTGCCACCCCGGCCAGCACACTGCAATACATGCCCCGCCGAACACGGCCCCAAAAAAAAGTCGAACCAGTGCAGCTCGCCACCAGTGAGGGGCATCCTTGCTGCACCCTTCTCACTGACTCTAGCTGTGACGTCCCCCTGTGGACCTTTTCAGCCGCCCGGAGTGGTGTCACAAACTGGGTCTCACCGCCTGTGGAAGCCCCGAAAGCCCCGAAGACCGGGCGCTTGCAGGTGCGGTTGGCGGCCGGAGCATAGGTAATGCAGTCAGTCAATGCTGGATCGACTTGGGATGTCTACGCCTCTTAAATTCAGCCTATCAGGGATGGTGAACCGAAGCACATGGTACATTTCTTCTCGAGGCGTCTTCGAGTCTAACTAGAAAATTCCAGCCACATTCAATCGACCGTACCTTTCCAGCATTTAACACCACCGATGTCGCTGAGAATCCAATTACATTCATACAATAGCCGCGCCATATCCGCATCCAACACCAAACCTACAGCGTCTTCTTCAGGGGCTTGTAAGCCTCCTTCTCCATCTGCTCGTAGCCATTGAATCGTCCATACACCCATTTCAGAAGGCTCGTGCTAGCCGTCATCAATGCCGCAGAGAAGGTAAACAATCCAACTCGCTGCACAGTGTTGAGGACATCAAAGATAGGGTAGGGGTACCTGCGACTCATCAGCGGGCTGAGAATGTCTGTCAGATGCGGAGCCACTTACCATCCGTTCTTGCTGAAGCAAAACTCGACCCAGCCCCAGTACAAAAAGGCAAAAATCATGCTGATCGACATTGCCGAGTACGCACGAATCGTCCATGGCGGGCTAAACAGGATGAGGTCGAGAGATAGGACGACAGCTGGGACCAAATGAAACCCAACGTCTGGCAACCAATGGAGCTCGAAGCCCTCCGGTATCAACAGCCGCTTGTCGATGGACCGAATTCCCCAGTACAGGATGCTGATGAGGACCTCCAGCGGTGCCGCCACGGTCGACAAACCGTTCTTAACGGCAAACAACGAGGGACTCAACGTTACGTCGGCCAGCAGTCCCGTAACGAAGGTAACGAAGGACAGAATCAACCCTATGTTGGTGAGGTGCTGATAATTGCCCCCGAAGCCCATAGAGATGTGATGGGTGAGGGTATTGAGAAAGTTGAATGAAGCAAGGAACGAAAAGATGCCGGCAACGTGCAGCACCATAGAGAACGACCGAGACGGCGACTCCAACCGTTGCAAACGATGTTTGGCCATCTTGGTGCGATCACAATTGTCAATAAGCGCGGGGGATCCGAAGTTGTGGTGTTTTGAGTGTAAGTTGTTTTGAGGAGGGACGAGATGACAGTTTTCGCGATGAGACGTGGGCTCAAAAAGAAATGAGCTGTTGAGGGATGGCGCAGGGAGACAATGTCTGAGCCGTAGACTGACCTTTGGGTTGCATTGAGACGAACTTTGACAAAAGAGGAATGAAGCCCTGGAGCATTTTATTTGTAGGTTAGCCCGAGGAGGCTCTCGGCAGCCAATCAAGGCAGCGTTGATGCATCGTCAGGCTGACGGGGCCGCGGCAACGTGCAATTGTCCGTTGGTATCGGAAGCTTCGTCATGAGGTCACTGATGGATCCCCCGTCGGCGCGGTCCACGTCCCTGGGCGTGACTTCACAAGATCCACGCAAGTGGTGGCCCCCCCAACCAAACCAGGAAGACCCGCCGCAGTGGGAGCGGCATGTGCTCCCGGACGCTAAGATAAGACGATAGGGTCAACAGGTGGGTCTAATGACAAGGCTGGCTAGTGGCTATTCAATGCTTGATTTGATTGGTTTGGATGAAAGCTTCCTCGCGAGCTTCCAGCTGGGGAAATTTCAGCCTTACAGTGGTAAAGTCGCAGAAGTGCGCCAGTCTAGACCAACTTCCTTACAATATTGTGTCCTTTCCGTTTTTCCTCACACCGACAACATGGCCGACGAGGACGCCAAGGGCAATAAGAGGTCCCATGAGGACTTTGCTGCTCAAGACGATGGTACGTCCCTTGACTAGAAGAGTGCTCGGAAAGCCGCCTGCGCTTTGCTTCGCTTTCCTTTCGTGCCGTTTCTCGCGTCGAATCACCCATGAAGCCGTAGGGTGGCAATGGGGGAGCACCACTTAAACAGAGCGGAAATCGACGGCGACAGCGACATCAACGGGGAGCGCGATAAGGATTGTAGATGCTAACAACGTCAATAGACAGCTCTTCCGACGACGACATGGGCCCTCAGCTTCCCTCAGAAGCCCCGAAGAAGAAGCGCCGAGTCCTTCCCTACGAAAAATTATACGTTTCTGCCCTTCCCAAATCGACCCGGTATTCGAAGTCCTTGATGCACAAGGAGCAACTAGCCTTCGTGACCGTCACGCCACTCACGGACTTCATCATCACATCTTCCATCGACGGCGTCGTCAAGTTTTGGAAGAAGGTGGCTCAGGGAATCGAATTTGTGAAGGAATTTAAGGCGCACACCGACGAGATCAAGTCAGTCTCCGTTAGTCAAGATGGAAGGAGCTTCGCGACCGCTGGTGCAGACGAGACTGTCAAGATCTTCGACGTCATCACCTTCGACCTCCTGGCCATGCTCAAGCTGAACTTCGTGCCCCGGTGCGTATGTTGGGTTCACAACAGGGGAGCATCTCTTCCTTTGCTTTCGGTTTCTGAGGACACCAACTCCAACATACACGTTTACGACGGGCGAGGCGAGAGGCAAGACCCTATACACACCATCAAGTCGTTGCATAGGAGCCCAGTGTCCATCATGGTCTTCAACGGCGTATATGACTGCGTGTTGTCTGCGGATGACAAGGGTATGCTGGAGTACTGGCGGCCCAGTGGTGACTATGAGAAGCCGGATAACGTCTTCGAGTTTAAGGCTTCCACAAACCTGTTCGAGTTCAAAAAAGCAAAGTCGGTTCCGACGTCAATTACTATTTCACCCACCGGCAAGCAGTTTGCAACCTTCTCCCAGCCAGACAGGAAGATCCGAATTTTCGACTTTGCATCAGGCAAGCTATACCGAACGTACGACGAGTCGCTTCAGGTCATCGAGGAGATGCAACAAGCGGGATCGGCCCTCCAGAAATTGGAAACCGTCGAATTCGGCCGTCGATTTGCCGTCGAAAGAGAGATTGACTCAGCAGCATACAAGAGCAAGGCGAACGTCATCTTCGACGAATCTGGCAACTTCATCATCTACGGCTCAATAGCCGGCATCAAAGTGCTCAACGCCTATACCAACCAAATCGTCAAGGTATACGGCAAGGAGGAGAACTTTAGAGCGGTCAACCTGGCGATATATCAAGGTCAACCGCAAAAGAAAGGCATTACCACAGTGGAGATGGGTGCCTCTGCCAACCCTCTGCTCCAGGAGTCCGAGTCCAGGGATCCTATTCTGATTGCGACAGCAGTGAACAAGCAGCGTTTTTACATGTTCACTAATGATGAGGATATCTCTAAATCGGTCAGAGATGTCCAAAACGAGAAGCCTACCATTCTTGGACAGAAGAAGGCTGCAGAGGCCAAAAAGGCCGAGACTGGAACCGGAGCAGTCATCCACACGACTTACGGTGACATCCACATCCGCTTGTTCCCGGATGCGGCTCCCAAGGCCGTTGAGAACTTCGTCACTCACTCGAAGAGAGGCTACTATAACAACACAATCTTCCATCGTGTAATTCGCAAGTTCATGATCCAGGGTGGAGATCCCCTTGGAGACGGCACCGGCGGCGAAAGTATATGGGGCAAGGAATTCGCGGATGAATTCAGCAGTCTGAAGCACGACAAGCCGTACACCGTCAGCATGGCTAATGCAGGTCCGAACACCAATGGCAGCCAGTTCTTTATCACTACGGAAAAGACGGTGAGTGCAAACATCCCCTACGCGTGTAACGAAAAAGCCTCGGCAACTAGAACGGAATATGATCATTCTGTATCTCAGCCGCCTCTCATTCCTATTCTTTCCCGCCCTGCCTTTGCGTTGCCCCTCCTACTCCTTTTCTTGTCGTATTCTGAGTGTCTTTCTTCAATGAGTACATCGACGAACGAAAGAAGACATACAGTGGTTAGGCTTGCGATTTGTGTTTCGTTTACTATTTCCCCTCAAATTGGGATGCAGCTGACCATTATGGATGCAGCCGTGGCTGGACGGAAAGCACACTATTTTCGGGCGTGCTACTCAGGGGCTAGACATCATTCATAAAATCGAGAATGTACGGACATATAAGGAGAAGCCAGAAGAAGACATCAAAATCCTCAATATCGACATAGTGTAGCCGGCAAAGCAGCGGACTCGCCAGCAGGGCGATTAATGAAATGAAATGAGATCAAACTGTTTCGGGACGCCTCTACGCAAGGGTTGCAGTGAGAAAAAGCAATGCGGCCATGCGCCATCCCCGCAAGCCTGATGGGATGGCACACGCTCAAATGGCTTTCGCGATGCAGCCGCAGAGCGACTTGAATCCATCCAACTGAGTGAGGCTGTCGTTTGCTCACGTGGACGCAAGAGACCGCCTTTAGGCTGCTGACCATCCGCAATCGGCCTGCATCACCGCGACCCAATTCGGGCCTGATTCCATCGGCCAATGGCCCTCGTACTTAAGACGTCGGTCGGGACGCAACTCGGTCTCCTTGATGCGTTTTACAAACTGACACGACTTCTGTTGCTCTGTTTGATCGCCGTCCGTCTCTTACGTACGGGTAACGTAGACAGTGAAGACAGCCTCTCAACTCGTCTTTCCGGATAGAGGTTGCGTAAAAGCAGGCGCTCCTCATTTCGTGCGTCCGCTGCATGTCCGCGTAACATGAAATAGCCAATCATCCATCCACCTTCGACCCCGCGCCCCTCGGTTCGGCTCGTCCCCTTCTCATCGCGGGGACTGGCATATTTGGTCTCAGGATGCCACGCCCGAAGAAGCCAGGGGCACCAGAGCCAAAACGTCGAAGTCGAAATGGATGCTGGTGAGTGTCATTGTGTGCGGGGCGCCGTGGTATTTCTAAGAGCACTTATTAACCTACCAGTAGGCCTTGTAAAGCTCGAAAGGTGAAGTGTGGCGAGGAGCGTCCGACTTGTGTCAAGTAAGTCAGTATTTTGTCCGCTCTTCGAAACTGCAAGTTTCGAGGCTTAAATTGCATAGTCCAGATCGGGCTTTTCACATTTATCCCTCGCTGTCCGATACTCCCATTATATACTGGCTGTATACATCACCTGGTCTTTCAACCGGGGCAATGATAGTCTGTAGATAATATTATCCGACATTTTGGCCCTCATCATTAATTCATCTCCGAACCCCTTCCATCTAAACGCTTCTTCGGTGGATCATTTTGTCGGATACTGCAAACTACAGACTAATGCCCATTAGTTGTCAAAAGACAGGGGAGACATGCGATTACAGTGTGCGTCTAAATTGGGAGGGTCGTCGAACGAAAAGATCCCTCTCGTTTGGACAGGCAACAGAAAACGCCCAATCACCAAAAGCTTCGCTACAGGTCCAACAATCATCAGTGAATCATCCGTTTTCCATGAATGATTCTGCTCCGCCCATTCGCCCTAAGCCCACGGTAAGGCGCGTTCAAACTAATCCACAAAGTACTGAGCCCGACAAGAGAAAGCTAGAGCCCCTCAGGACTCTCGATAATTACCCTAACAAGCCAGACACTGGCTCTTTTCACCAGGGATCTCAGAGGCAGACACCTATGCTTGCACCGTCTCCCATCACTCCCAAGCATGCTGTCGATAGTTTTGCCTCGACATCGAGCTTCCATCGATTCATCCCAGAAGTTACCAGCAAACGTATCAGACCACACAAAAGAACAAAGTCGCTGGCCGAATCAAGTGATTCTGAAGGGCTTCGCCAGTACAGCTTCATCTCTTCGCCGGCGTCCTTGGCGGGGACGAGTCCTCCAGTATTACGTCTCCGCCCCAGGACTGGCTCCACATCCGTCAGCTCCCCATTAACGCCAGTATCGTTGGGGCTTAGGTCTGAGGATGACACGAGATCACCTATTCTGGGTTTGCCTTCACCGGCGTCTCCAGAAAGCGGTCGACTATCGGTAAACTACTTGCTCTCAGGTTCACCAAAGATCTCCCAAGGTCACAATAAAAGCGTGTCGTTGTCTTCGGGTTCACCTCTTGGCCAAGAGATGAATGCTGAAGTACCAGACGAGGCAGTATTCTACGGGTATGATCACGGAATCAGAGATGCTGATATTAACCAGAACGATGACTTAGGGGCCATCTCTCAGATGACCACATACGTTTCGCATAATACATTCATTCCCAGTGGCAGTCATAACGAAGCCTTATGGCGTTTTGGACAGGCACATAGCGCTTCTATGGGAGACGGATACTATAAACAGCCGGTCCCGATATGGGTACCACGCAATGTTCATCCCCTGCCGTCTAAGTGAGTCCCTTCGCTGTTGTGATTCAATCCAAAACTGACAGCCGGAAGGCTTCGCGAGAATCCCATGAACCTTCTGGTAAGTTGAAGTCTCCCAGTCATGTTGACGCAAGGTGCTGACCAAAGTCGTGAAGTACTTTGTAAGCCAAGTGATAATCGTCTAGCAGCCATGGAATAACGTTGAGAAACAGCACCATTTCCTGAATCACACGGCGAAAGGTGTGTATAATCTTATGATCTAGACACAGAACGAGACAGCTGATTTAGGGTAGTTCTCGTCCCTTACGACGACCCCAAATCTAACCCTTTCCGCACCGTCCTTCCACAGATGGCAGCCAGAAATGACCACTTACTCAGCTTGCTGCTGGCATATTCAGGCAAGTCGGTCTACATCGCTTTCGTCTATCTTCTCTGACGAGTTGTCTCAGCTGCTCATCGAGCAAAGCTTCTGGGCCAGACAGAGCCGCAGATGAGAATCGCTCTCTGGGTTCAAGACATCTTCCCAGCCCTGCGGCAGGCTCTCAGCGACAGGGAGAAAATCATCTCCAACACCAGCCTGGCGACCGCCATCATGCTCGCCTCGCTTGAGATCATCTCCCCCACTGCGTTTGGCTACGACATACCTTGGCAGCGGCACCTCAGCCTGGCCCGGGACCTCATGTGGAGGCGGTTGACCGACCTGCGCAGGACGGCGCATGGATTGGAAGAGGACCGCGTTTGTGTCTTTCTATGGAGCTGGTTCGCATACCTGGACGTTCTGGGGTGTCTAAGCGGTGGAACGCCTGACGAGGATTCGTCGAGGTTCTGGCTGCTCGAGTACACAATGCACGACGCCGGTGATGACCGGTATGAGATTGACTGCATCATGGGTTTCACAACCCGCTGCGTCCAGATCCTGGCGCAAGTTGCCGATCTGGCCCGGCGCTGCGATGAGGAACGTCTTACCTCAAGCTATTCTTCGCTGTCTGCCTGGACACCCAGTCCAGCTTTTGTTCAAAGGGCAAAACAGCTTGAGCAAGAGCTGTTGTACAGCATGGCCCAGCCGTCACTTCCATGCAAACATATCCACAGTGTCGAGGCAAAGGACAAGCAGGAGATGGTCCTCATGAACGAGGCCTTCCATTGGGCCGGGCTTATTCACCTGCATAGACGCATCCTAGGCAAGCCGTCTGGGCATGCGGACGTTCAGGGGCAGGTACAAAGAATCATCGCGTGCCTAGAATCCATCAGACCCGGAGGGTCTGCAGAGACGGGATTCTTGTTCCCGATGTTCACTGCGGGCTGTAACGCCCTAGACGAAGCCCAGCGGAGCAAGATATTGGAGAGGTTTAGGAGAGTAGAGAGTAATGGCATGACCCAGGTACGTGTACTTTCCGCGGTTGTCGAGGTTATGAAGCTGACTTTTTGATCTAGGTGCATAAGGCGAAGAAGATGATGGAGAATGTGTGGGCTTCAGGTCAGGCGTGGGAGCCGCTGCTGTGTACGGAGTTCATCGGCTGAACACAGATATTTCTTGCAGGGACGTACAGGCCACTGTCAACTGGTTAAGAGCACTACGGATCTTTGTTGGATGAGATGGCGTTCAGGTGGTATTTGGGGGGTTTGTCTTGGATAGGCATCATCGGGACACATTATGATACAGGGGCAATTTTTGACGACGATCATGAGTTATGATGGAGTTCGGTTTCAGCACACACAGACTGATAATTGGGAATTGTTTTGATGAAGAATTCACGCGCATGTTTCTTGCTTCGTAACTGTCTGTACTGTACCTGGACACGGCGCAAGCTTCTTTGTTGTCGAGACGAGCTGGCCTGCAGCAGGAGAAGCTGCAGACTGCCGGTATGGCTACACCACATTAGAGTACCCATGGCAGCAATCACGTTTTCTATAACAATGTTCCACTCCATGATTAAACTCTTTCAAAATATCCACGTGTCGACATACCTTCAAGATTTAACCGCGAGGTGCTAATCCCCATCAATGAGCACAAATATGGCCTATTGATTGAAGGCAACACATAATAATAGGTAGGAATTGGGGGCTGCACTAAACATAAGAACCATCGGCGGCCGGGGCTATACTATCAATAAATACAAGGAAGACTAAAGAGACAAAAGATGTTGTAAAGATATTCTTAAAATTGCCCCTGGCCTGCTTCCTGCGACTCTGCATCAGTCAGATGGATGTGTCTACTAGTTGTCATCCCCGATCTCGAGGATACCAACACCGGCAACAATGTTCTCGTCAGAGACCTTGGCGTCATTGCCGTTGGCGGTGCTGAGAACGACGTAGACCTGGCCCTCAACGCCGTCAGGGAGATCTGCGACGTACTATAGAAATGGGTGAGCATTTTACAATGAATATCTCCAACATGTTTGCATTGGGAGTGTGGGAGGCGAGTACTTACGTCCGCACCGTTGACGGCAACCTCCTTGTAGTAGGTGTCCGAGCCGGAGAAGAAGACGGCGTAGACGACAGCACCATCGGTGACAGTCTTGGCCTCGACGGCAGCCTTGTACGCGCCCTCGAAGACGGCGGGGCCATTGGTCGACACGACGGTCAGCTTGGGGAAGGCCTTGAACGGCAGCTCGGGCGTGCCGGGGGCGAAGCCCGTGATAAACTGCGCCGCCAGGGAGAAAACCTGGTTGAAGTCGAGCGGAGTGTCGAAGGGGGTAGGGAAGGGCTTCTGCCGGAGGGCGGCGCGGATGTAAGACGTGTGGCGAGCCTCGACGGTCAAGATGGAGCCGGCGGCCGTGAGGTAGGACTTGTCGGCGATGACGGCAGCGGCTCCGAGGTACGCGGACACACCAACGCCCTCGAGGATCCCGGCGAGGCCGATGAAGGACTCGGCGTCGGTGACGGGGAAGCTGAAAGACGGTTCAGGGATAGCAGAGGTTCCGAGAGCCTTCAGGAGGAAGTCGACGTGCGTCTGCGCTTGTGTGTTAGAGAATGAGTTTCCCGAAGACGCGCGAGCGACAGTTGGAGAATCTATAAATGCAACGCCGATGTGTGAAGAGCGGATTCAAACTGACCTTCTCGTCCTCGTAAATAATCTTCAAGTTCTGGTAGAACTTCTCGCCGACTACGCCCGCAAACTCGCAGAAGTCCGACTCGGTGAAGTTCTTGAGTCCCTGGCCGTAGAAAGCCCTCTCAAGGTACTCCAGAGTGAGGGCGTAGTTCAGGATCGTGGCATCGCCTCCGGGAAGGGGGTCATAGTTGGCCTTCTTCACCAAAGGAGAGCCAAGTACAGATGCGGCAGAGGCCACCGCCAGCACGACTGACGAGGTGCGCATTTTGATGACTGATATTGAAAGCGGAGTGAAATAATTATGTAATTGTATAAATGATTCACGAGAAGAGTCGAAGACGGTCTGGTAATGAAGGACTGGTGGTGAGAGAGAGGATGCTGTATCTACAACTTTTTTGTTCTCGACTCTCTTCGCACGACGTTGTTATATATCTGACATCGCAAGCATCGTCCACAAAAATGACGCCTTCTCAGAGATTTTGCAATAAGATTATCCAAAGACAACTCGAGCTTGTCGGTCTCCTTCTTACCGCCGCCTCTCACAACCCCGCTTCCTCGGGTAAGGTCTGCTCCATGGAGCTATGGAAGGGTAATCCGGATGAGTGCGCACTAGGCCACATGTGAGAAGGATTCACATTCCTAAACCTAGAAAGACACGATGATCTCGTCATTGATCACAGTGTGGCAACATCGTGAATGGACTGGTGAGGGCTGTTTCGTGGCTGCACGAGGGGCCCGTAAAGCTCAACGCTTCAGCTAGCTGGCTTACTAGGCGATTGGGTGACTGGCTGGTTCGCTTGCTTCCTGCAAGAGACATCTTAGTGATGGTCGAAGTCTGGAATTGCAAATACCCCTAGCGCGTGAAGGGGGCTACTTGCCAAGGGAGGTAAACCCACGAGTCTAGGTTGATCGAAAAGACGAGCAGGAGAATTCCTTGGCCCGTTCAAGGATGGGCAGCAGAATGCAATGGCATGTTTTCGACATGGAGGAAATTGGCATTACGGCCCGCGTGTCTCGGTTCGACATGCACTATAGGATCCGAACACTAACTTGGTGTTTTTTCTCGTTCCCGAGCTTAAGCTTGTCGGAAGATGAACATTCCGAGCTCGTGCCAAAAGCGCACGCTTAACGCAATTAAACCCCGACAAGCGTTTGGGGTCGATTGAGCCTCGGGATGTGGCTGCGATCGAAGCAATCCAGGAAATAAGCTTGTATTCTTGAGTGGAGTCTGACAACACAAAAGCCCGGAACAACGGCTTGCCGACCTGCTAGGCCCCCGAGGCAGCAGCAATCCAGCCATTACAGATTGGCCTTGACATCTCCGCCGTACCGAACTTGGCGCAGAATAGATGGCTTCAGTTCGGAGATATTCTTGAAGCCAGATAATCCCATGGTCAAATCAAGATCGGCAAGCAACCCAGCAATCACAGCTTTAGCCCCCTCCTTGCCCGCGATACCCAGCCCGTAGATGGCGGGGCGTCCAACAAAAACAGCCTTGGCCCCCAGAGCAAGCGCCTTGACGATGTCAGCACCCGTCCGGATCCCGGAGTCAAACATGACCGTAAGCTTGTCTCCCACGGCTTCGACGATCTCCGGGAGCATCTCTAGCGAGGCCACGCTGCCATCAAGCTGCCGGCCGCCGTGGTTGCTGACGATGATGCCGGACATGCCGTGCTCAACAGCGAGCTTAGCGTCCTCGACGCTCAACACGCCCTTGAGGACGATGGGGCCGTCCCAATGCTTCTTCAGCAGGGCCAGGTCCTCCCATCTGTGGTGATCGCCGGGGAAGGCCTCACTGATCCAGTACCGGGAGGCGCTGATGATATTGTCCTCGATGGCATCGCCGTCGTTCTGCTCGGCGAACTTCTTGCGGAAGACGGGGTCACTGAAGGCGACCGCGTTACCCGTGCCCGTGACCATGGGCAGGTACGCCTGGTCAAGGTCGGCGGGCCGCCAGGCCAGGGTGACAGTGTCGAGGGTCACGACGAGAACCTTGTAGCCGTTTGCCTTGGCACGGCGGAGGATCGAACCCGTGATCTCGTCGTCCATCGGCCAGTACAGCTGGAACCAGCGGTGCTGATCGCCGCAGACCTCAGCAACCTCTTCAATCGTCGAGGTCGCCGCCGTGCTGAGCGTGTACGGAACTCTGAGCTCCGCGCAAGCCGCCGCCAGACCTGTTTCCTTGTCCGCGTGGAAGATGCCTTGGACGCCGATGGGGCCATCAGGACAGGAGACTCTGAGGTAAATGTCTTAGAAACGGTGTCTCAAGCAAATTTGCGGGCATTCAAGCTTACCATAAGTCACGCCGAACAGCTCAGTCCTCAAATCCCGAGGATTGTTAGGTCTCAGAAAGCGAGGCACGATCTTCCACTGGCGGAATGCCAGGCGGTTGGCGTCCATCGTAGATAGCTCTCCGGCCCCTCCGAAGACATAGCCAAATGATTCGGGGCCCAGGGCCTTCTTGGCCTGGGCCTCCAGGCCGTTGGGATCCGTCGTCACGACGGGCAACTGGCCAGACATGATGCCATTTTGGTAGATGCTGATAGCGTAAGCAGAGTAAGGAGTGCGTTCATCGCCATCGCCAGAGTCAGCCATTATTAGGAAAGCAGCGTATGTGCAAGAATCCCGATAAGACGAGCAAGGCTTAATTTAATAAAAAACAAAACAAGACCCTCGCTGGATGTCGAGTTAGACTAGAGTGCTTCTCGACTGGAGTGCTATTTGCAGGATTGATGAGTTGAGAGCTCAGGGATCAAAGAACCGGGGAGGCAGTTGGTGTCTTGATATACTTGGAGAAGGTTCATCCAGATTCCCCCTTCGGTTAGATGCCTCGGCAGGGAGCTCGGGAACGAGTCGCTAGGGTAGCATCGAGTAGAGCACCCATATGCTCGCGTCCCGCTCGGAAACATTGCATCCTGACGCAAATATTGATCCTCCGCGAAGGTTTTAATGCGTCCAGCTTGGGTATGATTATGTTTGATCAGCTCGCATAGATCAAACGGCGTGATGAGGTCAAAGGGAGAAGCTCCTTAACGAACCGAGGCCCGAGTGGTAAGAAATAGATAGTGAGCAAGCTGCTTCCAGCTCACGCCTTATTGTTGGAGCTTCCACTGAGGGACCATACCTACCCCTGCAGACTTGATGGCCCCACCCGGACGCCGAGGAACCCCGCGACCGAATTCAATTAACCACCCCGCGATTCTCCCATCCGCAAACACCATCCCGCGATCCGGCACCCAAAAAAAAAAGGAACCCACCTGCCGACCTCCGAGCTCAACACAACAACGTCTCGTTGCCGGCCTTTACTAGCGCACCATGTTATAGCACCCCCCCGCCTTTTCAGATCGCAGTACGCATATCGAGTCGACACTATGGACATTGACGACATCCTCCGCGAGGTCGACCCCGTGTCGCACTCCATCCCCTTCGAGACACGCGACTTACAGGCCTTGACGCGTGCATGGGTGGCGGAGCGCTCCGCGCCGGAGCTTCTAGAGTGTGTGCACTTGCCCCTCCTTCCGCTCGGGAGCAACCCCTGAGTGTGCCCAGAGAGGGATTGACTGACCTGGGACGCGTCAGATGGCCCGCCGACGGCCTCTTTGAGCGCGTCAACGACCGCATCAAGCGCCAGATCGAAAAGGTCGAGGACATGACGGGCGACATGGACCCCAAGACCAACTTCGCCCTCATTGTCATCCAGACCGAGCTCGAGCGCTTCAAGTTCCTCGTCAGGAGCTACCTCCGTGCCCGCATAGCAAAGGTGCCCATCCCCTCCCCCCATCCCGGCGCCATGTGCTCGTCCCGTTCCTAGGCCTACGGGTAGCTAACATCGCTGCTTCCACAGATTGACAAACACGCTCTCCACTACCTCTCCTCGCCCGCCCTCCGCGCCCGCCTCTCCGAAACCGAGCTCGCCTACGCAACCCGCCACCAGGCCCTGCTGCACAACCACTACCTCTCCTCCTTCCTCTCCTCCTTCCCCGCGCAGCTCCAGAACCTCAACGACACAGCCGGCAACATCAGCATGATCGACGGCCCGGACCTCGACACCGCCGTCTTCATCCGCCTGCTGCGCGACGTCGACGTCGAGGGCAAGGGAACGGACTCGGACGGCTCCGTGCAGGGACGGGCAGGGGATATCCTGATTCTGCGGTGGTCCAGCGCCAAACCGGTCGTTGACGCGGGCCACGCCGAGCTAGTTTGATGGAAAAAGCGTCGGCTGTCGTCGCGCGCAAACGAACGAGGACGTCCAAATGACGTCCAGGAAGATCACGGGGTCGTGGAGCCGCGATACCAGAATCAGGGCAATGCTCCGCACTCCATCCGAGATCCCCCAGATCTACTTATATAAAAGTGGTGGAACGGCGCGGCGCATCTGTCTAGGAGGAGCCGCACGCCTGCACCCCGGTTTCTTACTGTTCAGTTTCAGCCGACTGGACCAGACATCACCCGGCCTCGAAACCCAGGGGCGAGCTGAGGCCATTTGGCTCCGCATGGGCCAAAGGGGAAGAGGAGCGCAGGCCGAGATGACCTCGCCGGCCACTATGCCGAGGGACACGGTAGTCTCCGGGCTTTCCAAGTGAAGCAGACTTCGGGGTCATACAGCGGATCCCGAGATGGGCCTAGAACCCCCGTCAGGGCTTTCCCGACTTCAGGATGGGTGTCATCACGTTGCTCCAGCTACCGCTCCGAGAACAATTCATGTAGACATTGGATATGAGCTCGTACCCGACTCACGGTTAAGGTGGAAGCAGCACGTCCCGGACACGTCAAAGTTCTGGAAAAAGATGAAAAAGTTATCTGCTACGAGGTTTCACAAGAGACGAGTGCATCATATATATAGCAAGATCAAAAGCGTGAATGGTAGTTGCAAGAGAATATGATGCATCATTTAGAAACCGTGTGTGTCTATCTACACTTCTACACTTTTTCTAAGAGCGAGACTTCTTCAAATGATCCCGGCTATAAATCGCTTTTTGATCAATCAAAATGTTGCCCGCCATGCATCGCTTGCGATATGAAACGAATCGTTCCCCAAAAATCAAACAATATCCAAAAAAAAACGCCAGGTCATGCAGGTCGCCGACTTTCCCATCCGGCCAACCGCTAATCCCAAAACCACCATTCAATGCGGTTCTTTCCAATTCATCATGTCGTCATGTCCCGTTTGCCTCTCAAGGCCGTGCATCCCAAGCAGCGAGTCACCTAGAACGCATACGCGTTACCCAGTCCCAAGACACCGGCACTACCAATCCCCTCGTCTCGCTGTTCCGTCGACTGTTTCCAGGCACGACGACCATGCCCTTGTCGTTCTCGAGTCTCAGCAACACCTGCGACGGCCTCCGCTCGAGTTTGCTCTGCTTCTTCAACGCAGCGATGCCTAGCAACGCCCCGCGGAGACCAATGTCGAGACGCCGCGGCTCATGAAGACCGAACAGCCCCGCCGTCGGTGACGAGAACTGCCGCTGGTGCGAAAAAGGGCGGCTGAAGGACGTCACGCTCGAATTGAGATGCGAGGACAGCGGGCGCGGGATGGAGAGCTTCCGCATATGGCCGAAGTAGCTGTCACTCGCCTCGTCGGGGAGGAAGAAGGACGCCCTCTGCGACCAGTGCGAGATAGACATTGACGTGTCGTCGTGGACGTCGGCGTCGTGGTCAGGGAGTTCGGGGAACGGCACGGCAGGCTCCGAGGGCTCTGAGTAGTCGGAGTCCTCGGCGCCAGTCATCAATGGTGGAGGAGTGGACGGTTCCCTAACCTCTTCCTCATCGTCCTTATCGCTGAAGGAGGGCACCGAGCCCGAGGTCGGCGTGCTCGGGGCATCCGACGAGACGGATTGGGTCTCTGTCAGGGTTAGGGAGGACGGGACCTGGGGAGTTTGCTTGGAAGGATCAAGGCTCGGTTCGAAGGGCTCCGCGGAGGGCGAGGACGGCTCATCGGCTTCAGGAGTGCAAGGCTCGGATAGTTCGGGAACAGGGGGTGCTTCGGAGGTGGAAGAAGATTTAGCAACTTGAGGAGGAATCTCGGTTGCTTTGGGGAGAGTAGAAGTTTCATCAACTTGAGGAGCAGAGTCCTCGATCACTTCAGGACGAGAAAGAGGCTGGATGGCTTCGGGGACGTGTGGGGCGGAAGTGGTAGGTTCGATCGTGTCAGTGGAAGACGTACAAGAATCGGCTTTGACAGCCGAACCAAGAGTATATGCAGCATCCTTGATGACAGGACCAGACTCGACCGGCCCCAACGCGGGAGTTTGTGATGAGCCCTTTGCCAAGTCGCCGAAAGACGGAGAAGCTAAGTCAAGGAAGTTGGGCGAGGCTGTCGCTGAGTCAAGAATGAGGGGTGAGGGAGCTGCATGCTCAAGGTTGATGGGAGAGTTGAGACCCGTCTCCGTGGCGGTCGCGAAGCTCGAGGGGCTCGACACCACAGCCATGGAGTCCGCGTCATGGAATTCTGCCTCGGAACCCTCCTCATCTTCTTCGACAATGGTTTCGATGGCGTATTCCAGGAACCCCCCCTCGAAGGATCGCGGAGGAGTGGTAGGCCTGGAACGGGTCTCAGCCGGAGTAATGACAATCACTGGCTCTTCCCGCCTCGGCTCCGCGTTTCCATATGCCTTGGCTTCAGCCGCTGGTTCAGCATCAACCGGGACGCAGGAGTACTCCAGCCAACCTTCGAGTACAGGCTCTTTGGCGGCTGGTTCGACTCTTGCATCAGGTGGTGCTGGCGAACGGGCGGGAACCGATTTAGGGCCAGCATCAGACTCCGACGCAGCTTCCCGGACCCGAATGATGGCATCATCAGATCCAGACGAAGGCGAAGCTTCAGAGTCGGTCAGCGACCGCTGCTCGGATCCGGAGTCAGTTGACACCACCGACTGTCGCGAAACGGAGCGACTGCCTTTGCCCACCAGGCTAAACTGCCGCCGTCCGTTGAAACGCTGCATAGTTGGTGTCGGTGGCCCTGCCAAAGAATCCTCGATTGGGTCGCTGTCAGAAGCCTCTGAGCTCGCAATGTTCGGGTTAGCGTCAAAGTGCTGAGGGGTTCCGGAAAGCGTTCTCATAAACGTGGGCGTGAAAAGTAGACTCTCGTGGGGCGATCCAATGTCTCCATCAACGAGGCTCGGGGTAGACGATGACGATGGATATGTAGTCTCGCCGTCCTCGGTCATGGAGAAGGAGACGCTGCTTCGGCCAGAAGAATCGAGCTGGTCTTTGCAGGCGATTGCTTTGGCTGGGGTTTCAGGCTGTTGCGACAGCCCCACGGTGTTACTGACGCTTTCGGGAGTCGTTTCAACCCCACCACCATTCTGAAGCGTTTCACCTTGTAGACCCGAAGGTTCGGACGACTCAGTGAAGCTGCCATCGAATAAAGCCGGCGCGACCCCATTGGGTGTTGGGATCGGGAGCGGGCTGCTAGAAGGTAAAGCTTCCATCTCAGCAGGGTCGTCCGCTGCTGGAACCGGTCTCTCAATGATGCGGATGTTCTGCGGCTCGCGGTCGGACAGGGAGCACGTGTCCTTAATGACCATGGCAATATCGGACTGAAGTCGGCCCTTGAGCTTCGACACAAAGCGTTCCTTCACAGTCTCGGGATCTTCCTCTTCGCGCTGTCCCGTCGCATAGTAGGGCGAACGGGCCACGAGCGTCTTGTCCAAAACCAGATGGCCACGCTTGTGGACCATGAGGGTTATACTCATATCGTTGCCGCCAAGGATATCCGCAACGCCCGTCTGCACTCTGTCCAGAACAGCTTTGACGGTGCGCCGGGAATAGCACGCCGTCGAGTCGAGACAGACAGCAAATGGCTTTTCGGTCTTCCAACCGCGCCCGGACAGCTCGTAGACTGTGAGTCTAAGATCGTCCATCTCGCTCAACTCGTTGTCAGTGTCATCCCGAATTGCTTCAAAGGCATGCTCGAGTTGGTGCAGGAACTGCTCGCAATCGAGGCCGTCCGGATCCTGGAAGAGGAGGAGGTTGCTGTCGAGCTCGCGGCGTAGGTGCCTGTGGTCCAGTCCAAGCTGGTTTCGAATTTGGAATCCAACGTGAACAGCGTTCTGCTCGGAATGGCGGCACTCATCGAGGAAATCGAATCTGTTGCAAGACCGATGCTGCCTGTCAAAAGCCATCTTCCTAGCATCCAAGGCACGTTGCATTGCCGTCGACAAGACCCAAGCCATATCCTCCCCGTGGGACAGCGTCAGTGGAGAGCTCTGCTTGCTCTTGAGCGTGATGGTACGCTGCCATTCCCGTTGCCTGCGCGCCTTGCATCGACTGCGGAAGGACAGGGTGATCTCGTAGCCGGGGACGAACTCCCAGTCTTGCGTGGCCTCAACGAAACGCGACTGAGGGATGTGAAGGAGCGAGACCGGGTTGCTGAGAGGCTTCAGTATTTCCAGGTCGCTCGAGGACCGCTCACGTGCCCTGCCGTGCATCCATCTAAAAGACTTGTCATGAAGCTTCAAGAAAGAACCAATGATACGGTCAGTAGAGCGGGCGATCTCCATGGCGGACGATCTGTCGATGGGATACTTTTGATACGACCTGAAGGTTTTCGTAGCCCAAGGTTCCGAACTCCCTCGGTAGATCTGGTAGATCAACTCGAACCGCAGCGGCTTCCCCTCGCCGATCTGGGGGATGGTCCGCTCGAGGGCGGTTGAGTCTCTGCGGGTGAGCAGCTCATTTGAGCAGTGCGCCAGGCGGCGCACGAGGGCGTGACATAATTGATCCGTCGGCACGAAGCCGTAGGAGGACTGATAGTGTCTCTCATAGGTGAGGTCCAGAGACGGCTGGAACTTGATGCAGACCCTCACAGCCAAGCCGGGTTGTGAGTGTGTCGGGGTGGATTTCGGTTCGTTGTGACCGGTTGCGGTTCGAGGCCGCCCCGGGCTGGAGAGAAGAAACCTCCTCTGGAAGCCCGAGGCGCCGAAATGCGACGTTGAGGGACGGACGAGATCAGGCTCGGCCATGTCCGCCTAGAGTTGTCAAAATGGTGAGAGCAGCGCCAGTGGCTTCTCGGTTAAGTTTGTGAAGTTTGGATCCCAGTTCCCACCAGACTCAAACCAAACCCGTCAGATAGTAGTCCGGGGGAGGGGGGAGGGGGACAACGGGGGGGTTTTAAAAAGCGGTTTTGGCTGGGACGAGACAAAGTAAGTAGGTAGCACTGGCTGCCCTAATGCAGGAAGTCCCCATCAAGCCGTCGTCCATAAACAGGGCCAGTCAAGCGCCCAGAGAGGAAGGGAAAAAAAGAGGCACTACGACCTTGGGTGCTCTAACTAAAGAAAGAGGGACCAAGGAAAGTGACGAAAAGGGGTAGGGTGGAAGGAAGCAAGCAAGCAAGCGCATGTGCTGCAGAAGCAAAGTAGAGCACACCCAACCCGCGCGGGCGGGTCGCGTGAGGACTATGTATGAGATGTTATGGCTACGATTGTGGTGTGGTGCTGACGCGCCGACGCAAGAGGTTGGGCGACCCATGGCATGATTCCGCCCAGTGCATAGCACCTACAGCTTATTACAGGGGACGCCTGGCCAGCAGGAGGAGCCTCTGCGCAGGAAGCTTTTGTCTGCAGGACAACCTCAGATTACTTGTTTGGGGGTTACCAACTAGCTACTTCAGTGCCCTCCGGGTCGGTAGGGGTTGTCGGGTCCGTGTTGTGTGCCGTGGCCAAGGTTGAGAGCGAGACAGGGCTGATCTGGTGGCCGCTGGACTGATTTCGACCATGAGACAGACAGTGGGAGCGGGATGGATGGATGGAAACAACAAAGAATTCTGGGTTGAACGTTGTGTGTAACCACATACCTGCCCATGTACCCGCACTGCTGGTAAAAAGCAACCTGGAAACAACAATTCACTCAGAGGGCCGGATTGCCATGGTGATTTCCCACGGGCGGCTGCATCGTAGCGTCGTAGCGAATGACGGCAAGACAACACAACAAGACAACAACTCTCAAACCCACTCACCCACTCGCTCCGTCCGTCACCTCAGATGCTACGATGAATCGAGCAGCCCGAGTGAAGCCCAACATCGCTCGATGTCAGCCCCGCCGGCGAAGAGGACGAGCAGAGCTAGAAGACGTGTTGGACCGTGATGACTCGTCGCGGCTGCTCCTCTTCGCTGCATGCCGTGCCATGAAATCGCGGCGGCCAAGTCCTGTTTCTGAGGCAGTGAGGCTGGCATGTGCATGACACTCCTTCCTCATCCAACGCATCGAAATGGAGTTTGACGGGATGAACAAGGGGTAAGCGCAAGCGGGTGGGGATTGAGCGGTTTCCGTACCCCCTTCTCGAGACGCGAGATTGTTGCGAGACGGTCGTCGGCGTCAGCGATTCAGCTGGCCGATCGAGGACTCGGACGTTGCCTTGCGTTGCGTTGCGTGCAGGACCCGTAGTTCCCATGAGAGGAAAAGTCAGGCAATCGGAGCAGACGTGACTCGTCAGTCGTCCAACATGTGCGTAGGTGCTGTACACTACTCGGCGGCTGCGCACACATAAGCACACAAGAAAGAAGGCTGGCTGGCTGGATGGATGGGATGAAGCATCGCCGGGGTGGGCTGAACCTGGGCGTCGGGAACTCTCGCTAAGCGCTTGAAGAAACCCGGAACCGTCATCAGATCCTGGCATGTTCTCCATCCACACCAAGCTGCCAGATGCCGAGCCAAGGGTGAAGCGTGGGAAGAGGAGCAGAGCGCGGCACAGATCGGAGAGGGGCGGGCTTGCGGAAGTCCAGCATCTCCCAATCTGGCGCTTGTTGTTTTTCCCCCCGGTCCAAGAATTTCGAGCAAAGGTCTCGGAAAGGCTCCAAAGACGGCCTGGCGCATGACGAAAGGACGAGAGTCGGACCCGGCGCCCGTCGTTGACCGCTGTTGGGCCCCAGCCGCCCCGAGACCAACTTTAGACGTGGGCGAAGACAAAACGGGACAAAATTCTTTTTTCCCCCTTGCTGGACAGCAACGGCATCGCTTGGAATCCACACCCATAACAATCTCGGTACGGCCAATGACGGCGATTGCATGAACCCAAGACCCTCCGCCTTTGCTCACTGTCACCAATCCACGTCGCGTATTACATAAGTAACAGGCTCCCCACATCAAAAGGTTCCCGAAAGGAGACCCCCAGTCCTCCAGAACCTTCAGGGGACGACCGCGGTCCATGTCGCCCAAACGGCCCCAAACCCACTATCCAAACACCATGTCCGATGTCGTGGTCTTGCATCTTGTCCACTTTGATGGAACAACCCACTCCGAGGTGGGACCCGTGGATACTCTTCTCCTGCGACCACTCAAGCAAACCAACGAAGCGAAGAAAAAAATGAGGAAAAAAGCGACCCCCTTGCGAAGGCCTGTGACCTCGTAGGCGCGAATTTTGGCGTCACGGCCGGCCGCCAGCCACGCGCCTTTTCCGCCTCTTTCCGTCCGCCTCTGCCGCCGCTTGACTTCCAAACCTCGTACCGCGCCGACACCGAGGGTCTCTGCCATATCCGGAATGCCCGCTGCCAGAGACATGTGGCTGTCGCGTGTTGTGAATGTCTCGTGCAGCGTTGCGCCATCTTCCCATGATAATTATAGAGTATGAACCAAAACCATTGTAAAAGTCTCAGGGTCTCACCACTTACGGGACCCAAAAACCTTCCGCGTCGCTCCAGACTTCTGTGGAATTCTAGGGCACTCTTCGACCTACTAAATCTCCGGCTAGCGAACACTTGGAAGTCAATTGAGTCTGCCAGGAGACGACAAGTCAACGAGAGAACGTCAACACCCTGCCGATGCACAGCGTAATTCGTCTTGATCTGTTCGCAAACACGGCATCGGAGCCAAAGGGGGGGGCCCGAGCTCTAGTCGATTCCAGATGTTCGTTAGTTCCGGGGTAGGGTGTCCCCGTGGTCGTCGACGCAAGCCACCGGTCGCCAAGTAGCGTTGTCACGGCCCGCAAACGGTTCCCACGCTGTTGAACCTTCGTCGCCTTCAGGTGAGCCGCGGTCGTCATCGATGACAGCCGCAAGCCACCTGCTGTGTGGGTGATCCCTGACTCCCCGACAACTCGGGCCGTGTCGATGCACCCCCCAACTACTCGTCGATGAGGCCCTGATTGGGTTTGTTGGGTACGAGATTGAGATGAGATCGAGGGGTAGGTAGGATCCCCTCGATCGCAGGTCGGTAGTCGGGCTGCAAGTGACAATCGGGGATATCACTGCCAAGTAGTTCTCCAAGTAGAAGCTGTCATATCTGAGACTTCGGATGAGTTTCGATCAACATCAGATGTCTCATACGTCGTACAATAGGTGACCTTTGTGGCAAACTAATCGGCACCTTTGCGATTCCATTGCGTCTTCCATAGAGAGAGTCAAAGCTCAGCCTGCAGAGACTCTTGCCTTGCCTACGTTGCACTGCGCTGGACAACTAATCGGGTATGGTGCGACAAAGTAAGAGAAATCGGTTGACAAGTGCTTCTCAACTTGTCTTTTGCATATTCTTCCAGATACATACGAATCATGTCAGCAGGCCCATGCAGCAATAAGTCAGCAAGCGAAGAACGGGAGAGACGGAAACGTTATGGAATAGTAAAGATAGCTTGGGTGATATTTCTTTTGGCGTTACGGTGAGGCTTCTTTGTACAGCATTCACTATACTCTCATTTGCTCTGATCTCATAGCCGAGTGGATGAGCATGAACACGACCAGGCCCGGCAGGCAGCACATTGCCCTTTTGGGGATCGCGATATGATATCAGCTTACACCTCGTAATGACTCCGAGTCTATGCGAGCCAACTAATGATAGAGACCAGGCGGGTTATAGATGAGCAAGGTTTACGGTGCGAGTAACACCTTATGTGTACAAATGTTCCTCTCTTATCGGTTCGGCTGTGCTGGACATGCTATGGCAACGCTCAGATGTTGTTTTGCTTCGGCCTGTAACTAATGTGATGCCTAGACTGCTTGCAATCAGAATCAAAGCTAGGTGTGAACGGATCCCACGAGCAGTGACCACGATTTTCTCACAAACCTCGACGATAACTGTCTTAAATCACGCACTGTAATATTCTGTCTCGTCGTTCCCTCAGACGTTCTAGATGAGCTTCACTGCAGTTTAAAGCCTTGAGAGTGCACAATGTGTCACTACAGCACGCTGTGGGAAACACGAAATTCTTCGAAAAACGTGCGGATCATGCCCATGGAAGTTGGTAGTATCTCTCTTGGCTGTTGACACAGGTACTTGTTGGCTTGGCTCGAGCGGCGAGTGGGCGGCTCCTCTTATCCAGTTAAGAGATTCAATCAAAAGTGGTGTTTCCTACGCTACTACAAATCCAGATGTCAAAGAAATCCAAGTCAAAGCTTAGAAACTGGGCATGAAATACTCAATTCGCCTCCAAAGGCACATCAAGCTAAGAGACCACCAGTTTTGCATTTCAGAGGGTCCTTACTTGGAAAGGTCGGTAAAGAAAGGGGACCCTATCAACTCTCGCTACCATCGTAGACCTAACTGTATACGATGAGTAATAAGCTACTCCTCAGTGTCTTGGTTTTCTGTGTACTTGTAATGTGATCGTGAGATCGGCTGTGACAATCCATTGTGCTCATTCTACTAACATCGCAATAATATCATAAACCTGTGATCCCAGCTTGTCTGAGTAAACCCCAGTCGTCATGGAGAGGAAACGTCTTGTGCGTGAGATTTACGGAACTCTAATCATGTTCACCGTGAACGTCTTGTTCAAAGGCCAGCCAAGGTGGCCGTTGCAGACCTACGGCACCTTGACACGCAAACGACGAATCCATAATGAACAAACAGAAGACAAACGCAAGCTTCCATCGTCTTCTCACATGGGGGACGCGGGAGAAAAAATTCTCTTTCTTTTAGGTCTCATTCTCCAACAACGGGTAGCCACACCTGAACCCGTCCCCAGGCACCCTCATCTTGTGGCATATAAGGGAAACCAGCAAACCAAGCACTTTGCACCAGGCTCTGAGGGTAAGTCCGGTCTCACTCCTACATTTTCCCCGAATCACCCTTCCAACATAGAACACTCTGCACCTGCAGACCGTTGGCAATGTTTCGCATGCTGGGAGCCGCCGGCCGCAAGGCCAAGGGAGCGCAGGCAGACATCAAGGTGCAGGAGAGCAACGACGGCCACGAGGTTGAGAATGACGTCGAAACCAAGATGAAGAAGGAAGATGCCGATCCTGCGTATAAGAAGAACGATGGCCGCCACGAGATTGACGATTTTCTCGACTACGTTAAGGTCAAGTTGGAGGATCTTGAGCTCGAGGACGAGACAAAGCAGAGTACCCCTCTGGCGAAAACGGAGAACATCAGCCCGAAGATGGAGGAGGTCGCCGCTCCGAAGGAGAATTTTACCCCCAAGAAGAAGAACTACACCTCTCAGACAAAGTCGGAGAAGAAAGCCGAGAATGCAGCGATGTTCTTCTCTCAGTGGGATGAGTACTTTGGCAAGAGCGAACTCGCCGACTGGCAGCGCCTCTGCCGCGACCTTGGTCTCCCTGACGACTTGCCCAGCAAGACCCAATGCCGCAAGGTTAGTACTCTCCGCCCTTACATCGGAACCCTCTATCGTAAGACTGAGCTGACCCCCGTTCCCTCCTGCGATGTGAAGGCCCTAAGCAAGGTTCATGTGAACATCAAGCAGTTCCTCGACGCCATGAATGGAGGTGGAGCGATCAAGCTCTTCCAGAACGTACGCCAGCTCGCGCAGTACACCCGGAAGACAGGCCTCTGGATGCCCAAGAAGAACTTCCCCAAGGGACACCCCCTCGGCCAGCTCCGCCGCGAGATCACCAAGTACTTGGGATGAATGGGAACATGGGCACGACCCACGGGGATACGATGAACGTCTGGCTGGATGCAGAATAATGGAATTAAGATGGCCTCACGCCGGGTAAACCGCAATACACAATTCCTTTTTGATGACTCTAACTCCGTATCTCCCACATTCTAATCTTGCCCGTGTCATTACCAACCGCGAGAAGCTCGCTGCTCCGTCCAAACGCCACGCTCGTAATCCTGCCCAGCGGCGTCTGCGCCGTGGGCCAGTTTCTGTAGACGGTGCAGCTGGGCAGGTGGACGAGACGCAGCGCGTCCTTGGCTTCCCTGCTGCCAAAAGCCAGTAGCTGGCCGTCGGGCGAGAAGGTCAGCACCGTGATGGGCGTGACCAGCTGCTCGAAGCGGCGCGTTGGCTCGGGCTGCTCCTGGACGCTGACCTCGCCCGTCTTGGACGTCTTGATGAGGGTCTCGCGGTCGTAGATGTTGGTGATACCGCTGCTGGATCCAACAGCGACCCAGCGGTCGTCGCCCAGGAGCTCCGGGCCCTGGTGGCCGCCCAGCGCGATGACGATGCCGCCCACGCAGCCCTCGTCGCGCCACACCGCGAGGAACTTCCGCTCGACCATGCTGTACTCGCCGACGGAGCCGTCCCTGCCCAGGATCGAGAGTCCGTCGCCGTTGCTCCACCACGCAAAGTCGGCGATACCGTGCCGGCTGTCCAGCCGCGCGGCGGCGATCCACTGCCTCGACTCGGTGCTGACGATGTTGATAATACCGCCGCCCTTCCTCATCGACGCCACGAGGCCCATGTACCGCCCACAGGGGCTGAGCTTGAAGTGCTCCATGGTCTTGTGCTCGAGCTTGTGGCCCTGGATCTGGCTCGTCTTCTGCACGTGGCCGGACTCAAGGTCCCAGCTGTGGAAGAATTTGCGCCGTCCGGCGAAGAAGATCTGGTCGCCCGCCGGGTACAGGAACTCGGCACGGCGGACGTCGACGCCCTTTGCCTGCACCGAGGTGAGCATCGGGTTCGGCGTCGGGTGGGCCGTCGGGTTGAGGTGGTGCAGGTACAGCACGGAGGAGACGCTGGAGGAGAGGAGGACGGGGTATTTCGGGTGGAAGGACAGGTTGTTGACGGCGGCCTTGTGGGTGTCGGGGATCTCGCGGGTGCGCTGGATGTCGATGACCTCGGGCCTGAGGCGGGTCTTGCCCGTGGCGTCCCTGCCGGCGAGGCGGTGGACGTCGCGGAGGAACTTCTCCAGAGGGCAGCGGACAGCTCCGTGTCGCTGCCCTCGTCGTCGGAGCTGATGGAGGAGTCGGAGGCGGCAGCGGACGAGCGTCTTCTCCTCTTCGCGGGCCGGCCTTCAGGTTCTTGCGCCCATTTCGGCAGGGGGTTCAGGCGGAGGAACTGGGTTCTCAATCTTCTGCTGTACTCGGCGCCGCTAACCACGTCCTCAGCTTCGGTAAGGCGCAACTTTCGTAACCTCGTAGCGGTCGCCAGGGAGACCGTCAATCGCTCGTCGTCGCTGTCTTCCCACGCAGGCGCGCCTTCTGCGGCCGCCGGTTCTTGCTTGCCCGCCTTGCCGGCCTGAGAGCTCTTCGCCGTGGGGACGCCGGTGTCGAGGAAGAAGAGGTCGTGGTCGGCAACGTCCTCTAGTGTGGGATCGTCGGGCTTGGTGAGCTGAAGGTTCTGCTCCTTCTCCAGTCGTTCGATATCGCCGAGCACATCGTTCCGGAAAAGCTGTTCGCGGAAGTCGGCCTTCCCTCCCAAGACCAACTTCTCGAGCTCCTCCTCGTCGGAATCCTTTTCGTCAAAAACGGGCTTCGGTTTGCGCTGGCGCGGGGTCTCCTCCTCGAGATCTGACTCTTCCGAAGAAGTCAGTTCCTCCTCCTCGTCGGAAAACTGCTCGAACGGTTGCTCTTTTGCCATTGTCGCGGGTTGGTGGTTTGACAAGGATTTTCGGTCGTGAGCTCGCACCGGCGGATCAGGGTGGGAGTAGTAGGCGGCTTGCAAAGGACGTCCAGAATTTTTTTACTGGGGCTTTCAGCCTTGCAGACGCTCCCGGCCCATCATTGGTTAAGCTTCTCAGCCACAGCCAAGGTCCAGCCAATGATATCTACTATGCTCCGAGGCTGTTCTGCGGGGCATCTTGACCCCTCCGTGGCTGCACATCGGCCACCATGTCTACTTCATTCTTTCAACGTTCATCGACTGGCGACTTGACGAAAGCCACTTGATACTTGGTTCGTTCATTGGAAATTAGATGCTGTGTATATGACAACATCACTCCGCCTAGCACTCAGGCCGTGCATTTATTACATATCTATGAGGGCAAAGCAGTACTGGTTTTTGCAGAAGCTTTATTCTGTGAAACCACGAACTGATGTGAGACACATATACGCACCCTAGACATCAATGCATCACCTGCGGTGTTCGCGGTTGAATGCCCGAGGGCGCCAGTGCACTCTGATGTGGAAATGAGACAATTATCGACAAGCATCGCTTAACCAAACCTCAAGCGTAAGCAAGTCACGGTGAAAGTCGAGTTTTTGCGTCCATGTACCAGCTCGGACTTTTGGTGGAGTTGGTTTTACTATCCCACGACAACACCAAAACCTGGCTTACTCGATGTACATGTTAGCCCCTTCCATTCTTGACTGTTGACGAGCGAACAAGTTCGGCATACTCCCAAGGTACATCAAGACAGGCAGAAACAAACGCGCCAGAAACCACTTGTCATGCCGATTGAAGTGATTGCTTTCTTCTATTAGAGAACTGGGTCATTGTATTTGCAGTTGATCTAGAGATCATAGCACCTGATGACAATGACACCCTTGGTGATCCCTTTGAGGGGCAAGCGTTTGTGCATCTATCTGCGCCACTCAAGCAACTCGACAGCAGAGTACTTATACGTAGGCGATGCAAAGATTCTCGTGGAACCGAGGCCGAAGCCAGCTGAGACAGTGTACTTCACTGCTGTAACAACCGGCAATATGTGATTATACTTCCTACAAGACCATCTTAGACCGCTCAACTCTTCACGGCGGCCTTCAAGAGCCGGTCAAGTCTTCCCAAGTCAGGGCTCACACTTTCGTGACTCTTCAACGTCAACACCGCCGCTTTCTGCGCAACATCGATCAAATGCTCAACCTTGCCTCCCTGAGACAAGCCTGCAATCATGACACCCAAGAACGTGTCTCCAACGCCGTTGACAGAGACGATGTCTTCCACGGCAACCGTTTCCGCCGGCGGGAACAGACGCATGTACACGCCACCGATTGTGGGGTGGTCAACGTGGGCCCTGGTGAGCAACCACCTCTCTTCGTTCCTATCCTTCAAACGAGGATCGTTCTTGCCCAAGATCGTGGTCAGAAGAACACCCTTGGATCCCAGCTTCGTGACGATGGTAGGGATATAGGGCAGGAGATGAATCATCTGTACAGGGATGCCCGCATCTGTCATCTCCCTAGATGTCAGGTATACAAAGCGCTCCCTAGCGCCATGCATTCCAAACGCATCGATAACCTCGAACCACTCAGGGGTATCGAAGAAGCCATTCTCCTTCGCTGCGCTGTACATAGCCGTCAGTTCGTAGTGGTTCGGCGACGCGATGTCGATGCCCGGGTTTGGGAACACGCCGAGGTGCGGGTGCTCTCGTGGGAACAGGCTGATAGACTTGGCTGTCGAGACGGGCTCGAAGGCGACCTTGCAGGCCTGCTCTCGACCGGCCTGGATCCACGCCCGGATGTCCTTGGGGCTCCATTTGCCGTCGACGACGAGCCAGCGCGGCTTGGCGCCAGCGACGGCCGACTTCCAGTAGTCTGGGAACGAGTGGTTGGTGAATATGCCCATGTCGGCCATGGCCATGACGAGGTTCTTCTCGGCGTCGTTGACGGCGACGTACTGCGCGGTGCGATTCGAAACGTGGCAGTCGGAGGTGAGCTGGCGGATGTAGGTCGTCTCGAGACCCGAGGCTTCGAGGGAGGAGAGTACCGTTGCTCCGGCACTTTGGTTCACTTAGAATGGGTCAAAATAGACGGTAATACGGGTGTTGACTTACACATCGTCTCCGATCAAGCTGCAGAGGCGTACACTAAGGTCTTCGCTCACCCTGTGGGCAGCGAGAGCAACGTTGTGACCGACGCCGCCGATGGACTGGCTAATGCGGGCAGGATTTGACGTATGCATATGAGGGGAAACCTCTTTCTTGTCACCAAGGGGTTGATAGTCACAGCTCAAGTCAACTGCCACGGACCCTGCCACAAGGACATCCGCCTTGCTCGACTTGGGCGCCTCCGCCTTGGTCGCGGGCTTCGCGGTGGCAGCGATGTCATAACCAGAAACAAACGTGTTTGACGAGCTATCTACGCAGTCAGAGTCTACCTTCTGGCTGAGCTATGCGCAAAACGCTCACTTACACGGATTCCGAACCGGCGTCCCCGTTCAGCAGCTTCGAGAGCTCCACCGCAATGCTGGTGGCCCGCGCCACGTTGGACCTCACCAGGGCCTTGTTGGCCAGCGTGCTCCGCTCCTGTGTCAACTTCCTGATCCTGCCAAGCACGTACGGCGTGTTGGCGGCCCCAGTGAACCCCTTCTCCATGGCTTCCGTGACCGCCGTCTCGATGACGGCGTCCATCTCCGCGCGGGGGATGGCGTACTCCTCGGGGATGGGGTTGGCGAAGAGCATGCCGGACTCGATGCCCAGCCTCTCCTGCGCCAGGATCATGGCGGCAGCCTCGCGCTCGGTCTGGACCACCAGGGGACTCTTGGTGCCGCTGTCGCGGGCCCAGAAGGCGGGGAAGTCGACCTGACCTGTGCGGCCGTCGGCGAATGTCGCGACGAAGGCGCCGTGCGTCTCGAGAAACTCGAGCGTGCGTGGGATGTCGAGGAACCCCTTGCACCCGGCGCTCACAACCGCCACACGAGTACGGCCGAGCTCTGTGAGGTCTGCTGAGACGTCCATGGTGTTCTCGCCGCCGCGGTGGACGCCGCCTAGGCCGCCAGTGCCGAAGATTCGGATACCGGCAAGTCTTGAGAGCAGCATGGTCCCGGCGATGGTTGTGCCGCCGTGAACCTTCTTGCCCGTGATGCCCTGGTTCGTCTGTGAGCTTTCTTGTTTCTTGGCTAGTAGTTCAGAATTCAGGGGTGACATGGGTAGCAAACTCAGATGAGATAGCCCAGACATGAATGCCATGAGCATAGACTGCCGCGAGACTAACTTACCAGTCCAACCAGGTGAGCAACGTCCCTTCTCGAAACCTTGCTGGCAGTGCCAGAGTCAACCATCTGCGCAACCTCCGCCTCAGTCAAACCGACGACAGGCTCGCCGTTGAGAATGCCACAGACCGCGGGCACGCCGCCGCCCTGGCGGACGACATCCTCCAGACCGAGGTCATTGCCCAGCGCGCCGTGGGTGTAAATTGTCGACTCGAGAGCAACAACGGGCTTGTTGGTTGCGACGGCGTCTGCGACCTCCTCAGAGACGCGCAGAAGATCCTTCAGTCCAGCAGGGGTCCGATAAGCGCCGGCGCTCATGTAACGACGATCCGCCTGTAGTCGTCCAAACACCGCACCCGCAGGCGCGGCTCGTTTCGAGCTCCGGCAGAGCTGCGCCGGGGAGATTGCGTGTCTCGCCAGACGGCAAGATGAGCGTGGGACAATCATGTTTGGTGAGCGATGACAATCCAGCCGTTGCCTCGTCTTTTGGCGTGAGCGCTTTTGAGGTGTATGCTCCGATGAGGGAGACGGACTGAGCCTGTAATACGTGACCAAGCTGCGGCAAACCCCCCTATCCAATTGAAACGTCGTCGGAAAAGGTCAATGAATTAGCTGCGCTCTAAATGATTGTGTCGTGAGCTTCCCAGATATGTTATCGTGCTGTCTTGTGGATTAATACGACGAAGATAGGAGAGAGCGAAGGCCCACGCCCTGCCATGGACACCCTTACCATGTACGCCCTGCCGTGTACAGTGGCCTGAAAGATAGCACAGTGCCTTGGTTGACTCGGCACTGTCAAGGGCTTAGCTCCGGTTCGGGTTCGCAACACCACGAAAGTGACTCTGGCAACTCAGCCATCACCACACCATATCCATCAAAGGAGTCCCAAAAATATCCCTTTTGTCGTAACAACTCGAGGTAATGTGCAAAAGGTCTCCTCGACGGAGTGATGGAAATGCCATGACAAGCAGATGTCCTCACCACTAGACTATTAGGGATGTGTGGATGTTTGCATCCAGTGATAGTCGATTGAGGTGGACCGGCTAGCTTGAGGAATACAAACGTAGGGACCTAAGCCAAATAGCGCACAGGCCCGTTTCCAACTGTGGCAAGCGCTGTTTCCTCTCTCCACTTTCCTGGTGACTCGATTCACAACAGCATGAATACAGAATGAGAAGCTGTCTGAGGTGACGAGCCAAGGCTTTCTCTGAGATAGAGAACAATACGGTGCACCCGGACCGACAATACTACGACGCGGAAGAGTGCATTTCGAGCGAAGAGTCATTGTATTGAGGATGGAGATCGCCTTAAGAGGGATACCCAAAACAGGTTGGGCACTCTTATTGCGAGCAACCGGCTCAGAGAACCTCAACACAGGATAGGTTTAGACACTTGATATAACTTATTGGCTACGCAGTAAGGAGACTTCAGAATCAAGATAAGTATCTTCCGTTACTTAGCCTTCATATTCAAGCCTTGCGCTCGAGATGTGTAAGCTCGTTCTCGACGTTGCGCCAACTAGTCTGCATAACTCGACCTTTTGTCCACCTCTCAGACCCTCCTTGCATTGGTTCACATTTGAGTAAATATACGTAGGATGTATAGAGGCACCACAAATTCACAGGAAGCAATTTGTTCACAAGAATTACACACCCGAACCCTGTGCTGTTTTCTCAAATCGGAGTTGAAACATATACAGGCATCTTAAGCCCAAGAGGTACCTCGGCAAATAACAAGTCAAAGGACGGACTGTATTCCCTGCAATGCTTTTCTCTTTGTATGTACTGCGTATGCCAGAGATCGTCCGAATTACTACTAAAAGATCCCTAAGGCGGGAGATGCATCTGTCATCCAATCATCACACCACACATGCAACAACACGGTCTGACGAATCCTTCTCGCCAACGTCAACTCGCTTATACACCCTCTGACTCACCACCGGCTCCTCTTTGCACAACAACCTAACAGCTTCCCCCTCTATGTCATGCTCCAAACCCCATCCTTGAACTTCTCAAACAACGCCAAATCGACACCGGCAGCCATGGCCTGGTACCCGGCCGGGTTGAGATGTAGATGATCTCCCGTGTCATACTCGACCTTGAGCTTCTCCGGTGCCGCAGGGTCCCTCACCACCTTATCGAAATCAACAAGCCCATCGAACCGCCCGCTGCTGCGGATCCACTCGTTCACCTTCTGTCTCGTCTTCTCTCTCTCCGGATCGGAGTACGTCTGGCCATCCCCCGTGAACGGCGTGATCGTCGCCCCGAAGACGGCGATGCCGAAGCGGTGCAGCCGCGTAATCATCTGATCGTACGCCGCCACGAGCCTGTCGCCCACGGCCTGCTGAGCCGCCGCCGTGGTGGCCGCCGTGCCAATGTCGTTGACACCGATGAAGACGATGGCGTACTTGACGGCCGACTGCGCGATGACGTCCCTGTCGATGCGCCCCAGACCGTTCGGGCCTAGCCCGTCGGCCAGCACGCGGTTCCCGCCAGCGGCCTCGTTGACGATGGCGATGCTCTGTGTTGACGACTCGTTCTGCATTCGCGCCAGCAGCTGGTCGGGCCAGCGGTCGTTGGCGTTCGTCGTCGAGCCGCGGCCGTCGGAGATGGAGTCGCCCACAATGGCCACGGCCGACGCGCCCTTGGGCACCCAGGCCTCGATGGCGCTGATCAGATACCAGTGATCCGTCCGGGTGGCGTTGGCGCCGAGGTCCTGGTCCGCCACGTGGTTACCGTTGACGAGGAACGATGTTGTCCGGCTGCCCGGGTGCGCGGTGATGCTGTTGGTCGTCTGCCCGTCGGCGAGGTAGATGGTCACAGAGACGATCGACCGCGCCTCAACGGAGAGCTCAATCGGGTCCGAGAAGACGATGGCGCCGTTGGGGACGATGAAGCTGCCGCTGCCGGAGAAGGTGACGACTTGGAGGGAGTCGGCGTCGACGCCGCTGGTACCGGCCGTGTTATTGGCCGTGCGGGCAATGGTGACGGCGGTGATGGGCAGGTCGGACGCGCCAAAGGCGTTGCTGATCTGTAGGCGGAGGGTGGAGGCCGCAAGAGAAACCTTGACAGTTTGGCGAAGGGTTGCGTCGCGGAAGACACGGCCTGTCTCGTTCTGTCATGAGGTCAGTCGCTGCGCAAGGTCTGGATTCGAGACGAGAGACTCACAAAGGGCGCTGGAGGTAAGTTGGCTGGCTCGCAGAGCTGGGGCATGGTTCCCCAGATGGTGACCCATTCCCTCTCATCCCGCGTGGGACATCGCGGGCGAGCCTGTACCAGCGGGGAAAAGAAGAGCAAGGCCGTGAGGGCCGTCTTGAGGGAGAGCATCATGGCGACAAGCTACAGAGAAACGAATGCTGGCTGCAGACCACAGCTCCAATTCCGATGAGGAGAAGGGACTCGCGGGTCTTATAACGGCATGCAGGTACGGACACCATGCTTCCATTACGTCTACTTCCCCTCAATATAATACCCTATTCTATGACCTTGTTGCAACGCTCGCCATGTGGGCAGAAGAGGTCATCCGGCAATACGGAACTGGTGGCATGCTGGGTAATGGGCTCAACCCGGCTGAAGTTCAGGCTAAATTCAATGCATCGTGGAGAAAGCTGGGGCTCTAAGCTTGTAGGTGCGGCGGGAGATGAGTTCATCCCATGCGATGCAACGCCGTCTCCAAGTCCATCCCGCTTTAGGGCGTTCTCCCCCGCATGGAGACGCTTCAATGGAGTGCTGGTGGGGAGAAGATCTGAGTCGGTGCCGACCGAGGGGAGGGGCCAGGGTTGATTAGGTTCGGTCACCGGGTGAAAATGCAACGATGACGACGCGGTGAAACGAACATCAATGATCGGCATTCCAACGGCACATCAACGTGCATGAAAGTATACAAGAGGAGCGGCTAGAAAGAAGTCTTCCTTTTCTTCCAGAAAACGACAGTGTTTCATACATTCGACGACGCCAAGCTAATCCAAAAGCGAGCTGACGAACAACGAGCGACATGAACCAAATCAAACGACCGTAGAATTTTCCACCAATTCATGGCAACATGAAGCTTGATAGGAAGGAATGGTCTAGCTGACGAGTCAAGATTAAGCAAGCCATGGTCGAACCGTCCCTCATTTCACACCACTCTTGTCATTGTGGGAAATCTAGACGCTGGGTTCCAGGTCGGAGGGAAAACGAGCGAAGAAGACAGTCGGTGAGCGTGACAGCCACCGCTAGGGAAGATGGACAGGACGAAACCGGGACATGACCATCACTTCAGTTGATCCAGTTCGTCCTGCATCGCAGGGCCAGCGGCGTAATCGGCCCAGTAACCGGCAAAGGCAATATATGCCTCGGAAGGGTGGTTGACGAGGCCGTATTCGACCTCGAGGTTCTCGGTAGCCTGGCTAACGCGCGAGTGGGAGACGTGGACCTTCATGCTTTCCTTGGACGAAGCGTCCTTGATGTCGAAGCCACCAGGGCATGGCTGACCCCAGATCCACTGGTATGTGGTCAGGGGCCCGAGAGGACACACCCGATCGTGAAGATCCATGTTGTTCTGGGTCAAAGCAGACCCAAGGACTGCAGAGGTTCCAGTGGCCCTCCTCATGATGGTGCTATCGATGACAGTGTCGTCTGAACCGGTGGTATCCGAAGGCGGTCCCGAGGCAGTGATCTCGCTCGAGAATATGAGCTCGAAGCCGCCGTCGTGGCCCGAATCGTCAAGGGCGCCACGGCCTTCAGCGAGAGAGGACGTGGGTTCGTTGGAGATTTTGTACTGGGGACTACGTTGCTGCGAATAGTTGCCGGGCTGGTACTCGGCCGAGGCAACGTGGAAGGGAATATGTGTGTCGTTGCTGGCGCTGGGATGAGACATCTTTGTGTCAAGTGTTTGGTATCCGAAGGAGTATTCAAAGGTATTTTGCATGTAAGAGGTCGGCCGTTGAGTGATGCTGGCTGAGGAAAGCGATGTCAGACCTCGCTCAGGGCACCCAACAACTATTATAGGAACGAGTGTTTCTCACCACAGGTTGAATAAGAAGTGTATCGAAAGGGGCCTTAACAAGGCCTGCTTGGGGTGGATGAAGGGAAGTGATGCAGAGAAGCCGGACGATGGCGATGACCAGCGAGGCAGGGCGTACTCGTTTCTCTCGTTCCAGAGAGATTTGACGAGGCTATTCGTTCCAGAACAGCAGGCTACAAATGGCTTAAGCGTAAGAGGGCAAGAAGAGATGAGAAGTATCTTGGATGATGGCTTTTTGGTGGTGGGTTGAGGAATAGGGGCGAGAAACGTGTGATGGGGATCGGGGGGATTTATACGTAGCTTACGCACTGCGTGAGGTGTGAGGTACGGGACGTTGGTGGTGTCGGCAGTGGTGGTTTGGGGTGTAGCATCGGCGACGATGGCTGCATGGGAAAGCTGGACGGAAAGAGTGCGAGGAAATCACACCTTTCCCATTTCTCTTTTCCTTTCCCCCTTCGTCAAGCACCCAAACTTTCCCGCCCTCTCTTTTTGTCCTCTTCTAACCATCTCATCCGATGCAGGCACACTTTGGCCGTCACCTCTTAGCAGCTACACGGCTGAGCCCAGCTGCGAGCTGCATGTACCGTGGTAGTGCGGCAGGGCAAGATGCTCGACACTGAAGAAGGAGACGGGGGGAGAGAGAGGTTCGTCCAGTCTGGTGTGTGGTGAGATGAGTGGGTGGGTGTGAGTGAAGCTGCACCTGGGGTCCTTGGGGGTGTACGCAGGTGTGGGGTCCAGGCATGGTACTTTTCCAGTGAAGGGAGGGTGGGTAGGAACAGGAACAGCATCTGCAGAGTGGCTTTCCAGAGACAGCAAGCTGCTCATGCCGTCGTCTTTCTTTTCTCAGTCTTGGTATGTCATCTCATATCGACTTCGTTGTTATTTCCAGAAGCTTGGTCCCGGCCCTGCTCCAGTGCCACTGGATAGATGTATCTGCCTTAGGTACTACAGGACCTTGGGTGCGTAGAATTGGCCTCAGAATGTGACTTATCTCCCTCCCACCCCTCGTCCCTTCTAACGACTGCTCGTTGCCCGCCTCATTTTCCCTTTCAGACACATTCGAAGGGTGGAGAACGATAACTTCCGCGCCAATTCTTGCCTTTACGCTTTGACGGCACCAGCTTCGAGGCATCGCCGTGTTCGTTTTCTCCTCTTCCTATTTTTGGGACTGGACGAGCCAATGCTTCCGCGTCGTTGACTGCGTCAGTCCTCGGTGAGACAGGACAGAAAGACGAGCCGAACAGCTGCGTCAACGGATGGTCTGAACTAGTCCTCGGCCGTCCTAGTCTACGCAGGCAATCCAATCGGCCGTTGGGCACACGCCAGCCCTACTCGACAACGGCCGATCGCATCATTCCAGTACCGTGTGCTCGTGCTCCGCCATCCCATCTTCCGAGCTCGCTAGGGCGTGTCAGTTGCTGCTGACATCGCCCACCCAGCACGCAAACTAGCTTGCTTCCGCCACATTCGGACGGTGTCTTGCAGTACACAACCAACCCTGCCGGAGTCTTGGCTGTGGACAAAGGAATTGGCCTAGAGCCGTCCCCGCAAGGCCCATGTCGTCCACACCATCGTCACCTTGCCGAGCTTGCTCACCGAAGGGGTAGGTCGACGTGTGTGTTGTACGGAGACGAGCTGGATATTGTCAAGATGTCGAGACCGATATCGCACTGTCCATACCAACCAAAGACGTTGCACGACAACCCTAATCGGCTCGAGGGACTCACGAATGGGCTTTGGTTCCTGAGAGCCTAAGACATAAGCCAATGTGCGAGACGATCCGCCCAATCATGAAACTACGTCAAATGCAGCTGGACAATTATCAAATCCAATCTCCATATCGCACAAACCTTAATCTCTTGCTGCCTTCACACCCAGATAGGCTTCCTTCGGTCCAATCGCTTGCTCTTGACAATACCAAATTACCGAACCAGATGACAGCAGGAATATAGCTCCAGTCGTCTACGGCTATGTTCGGTATGAATGCGTGGTCAACCCGATGGCATCATTGGCCCAATACCGAATGCCAATCAACAAAAACCTGCCGCTGTTTGTCTTCCATCGAGTGCGCTACTGCTGTCAGTCGATCTGAAACGCACTATTAACCAGCCAGCCAAATTGACCACCATTCCACTGTAAAGCCCGCACGTTCCGTCAGATCGATCCCCTGACTCACCTTTTGACTCGGATGCCATTGATGTGCGGTTCACTTTAGTCTCTGTACAGGGCCCGGTGTCGGGGATGGGCTCCGATCCTTCGAGAGACAGAGACGTGCTGCTTACTCGAGAAGCTCTGTATCCGCCCAGCCATGCCAGCACACGAATCCTCCTTGGCGTCCCAAGTGGACGAACCGCTGGGCGAACAGACCCATTAGACGTCACGGTGCAGAAGACAATCTCAACTCTGAGCACTGGGTGTTCGTTACTTGGGCTTGTATGCTTTGGGGGCCATAATGGCACTGCGACATTGCTTCCTGTGCCATTTCCCCGCAGCTCCGGGTTGATACAGTGCATATGCGCTGCCGGCAACACCGACGACTCAAGCTAGTGGGGTGTGCAAGCTGATGAACCGCTCGGTACCGTCCATATCGGACAAGTATAGGCCACAGAACCATCGGCAGCATCACCAATCGTGAATAGATGAGAGCCTCTGGTAACAGCACGAGCTCAAGGGCGGACTGCTACAGGAAAGATCTTCGATGCATACCTTGTCACCTGACGGCACAGACCCGGTCTGCGGTGAACAGGATCCAATCCCCGAACCACAATTCTCGGGCGAGTCCTGCACGCCGGCTGTTTCTCCATTCCCCAATCCAGGACGGCTGTGGGACGCAGTCCTATCCGTTGCAACAATGGCAAGTGCGTTGCTTCGGAGCCCCGGCCACGCATACTGGAAACTCTAGAAGCGCGCAGCAAGACAACTGAGCAAGGGGGAAGGGCTTCGTTCCCGGCCCTAGAACTCAGAAATGCTTCCGAGCAAATCAACCCCCCTCCTCCGCCCGCGGAACCATTCCCCGTGTCCACGACATGCGAGGAGAACAACGAAGCGCGAATGCCGCGCCCATCGAGGAACAACGCGCCGCACGGGAAGCAAGATCCGTGCATCCACCGATCCCTCGTGACTACTGCGCGAAATATTTCCATTTAGCCATCATGCCTTGGAGCCGTGGTGCCGTTCCGCCCAGCAAGCCAAGAGTTAGGAAGACTCCTAGACTTCTGACGGGGTGCCTTCGCCGCAGCTCTACTTATCCCGGGACACTCCCCCCCCCCCCCCCCCCCTGGCGGAAGACCTCGTGGCCCCCCCTTCAGGCTTCGAGAAGGCTTCGAGAAGGTCTCTAGCGTGAGGATCTCCTGCACTGGCCCCCCTTGCCTACCTACTCGCCCAAGACATGCACACCCTCCTCCGCTTTCTACTCCTCCACCACCTCGTCCACCAGCCCCGTTCTCAGTCGCCCATGCTTTCGTACCTGTGCCTTTTGCAGAGCTGCGCCAGTCCGACGCATCTCTGGTGCCCCGGGGAACCGTGACCCGGCGCCCCGGACGATTGGCAAGGCTTACGGGCGTAAAGGGGGAGGGACAACTACCACTTTGAGGGATAAACACGCAGAAGCAGGCATGCACATGCACATGCACCGAGGGCGCGTGGTAAGGCATTCTGTTCGATAACTTGGATCCACATGCATCCATTGAATACCCCTCCCTCACCCTCGGTCTCCAGGTTTGGCATCAGAGAAAAAGCTCCCGTGAATTTAGGTTGTAGGTCATTCCACTCGTCACTGGACGCGTCTCTCCGTCATACAAGCTATGGACACCCGCATCTCTCTGCATCCTGGCTGAGCTGATCCCTCCCGCATCCTTCTCGAGCCTGTCTTCCAGCCTGCAGCCTGACCGATGGTCTGAATGTGGCAGTCTTCGAGAACATCTTGACCATCATCGGCACCGATGCGTCTTCCCCACGCTTCCACATGGATGCGTAATCATCTTAGGACCCCAAACGCCACGCCGTTTATTGACCGCCATGTCTGTCTGTCCCAGCCCGGTCAGTCATGGCTGACATGGATTTATACACACTGTACATGGGGTACCCCCAAACTATAATGCGCCTTATATGGAGGGCACAGTCGCGTCGAGAATCGACGTAGGATCTGCATGCATCGGGCTGATACCCAAGACTTCAAGGCATGCCCCATTCCCTGTGGCATGTACTTGATCAGCTGCAGTGTGCAGCCTGCTTCCGGTAGGCGCCATCAATATGCGGCTCCCATACTGCTAGCTCTTCGTTCTTTGTTGCTGTTGTCCAAAGACACTGTCGCCGCTGTTGAACCTTTCCTCCGGAGACCACCTGCCTTCAATCTACGGACGGTTTGGTATGACCTGTCTAGCTCATTCTCGACGGCACAACGAATCCGAAGCGCGGCAACGGCAGGCCAAACACTCCGCTCACCCCTTGAGATCCAGTAGTCTAGCGTCTCTCTCGTCGGCGTCTCGAGCAAGCGTACAAAATCACTGGCCGTCACTTCGGGCACTAGCGTCATGGAAGCCCCTGGCACTTGTTCGTCGACGAGGAAGCGACGTATACCTGCCGGGAGAAGACGCAACGTGTCAAGCTGGCGTAAGCGATGCCTGATCTCCAAGCCCACCATACGAGCCAAAAAAGCCGTGATTGACGTCGTGCTGTTGCGCGTCTCCATGAGCGACGGACCGTGCATGTCGCTCTGCAAAAAGGGAATGAGGTAAGGGCGTGCCTGGCTGACAATGAAGTGGTTCACGTTGAAAAGCTCGGCGATTCTGAGGAGTGGTGACTCGCGGTCTGAATACGAAACGTGGGTCCAATGGTGGAAGTCGATTGTATTCGCCGGCGCCCAAGGTACGATGTTTCCGTGTGCATCTTTGCAGAGCACCGTGGTCTCTCGGTGACCGTAGAGGCTGGCTGTGGAGGCATTCGAAGCCACTGCGGCGGTCCATATAAGCTTCGTTGGTGTTAGCCTTCCTCCTACTCCGAGTAAAGAGCACGAAACTTACCACGTTCGGCGCCGTCAGGTAGTTGAGCAGTGTCGGAACACCCCCTTGGTCGGCTGTAGCAACAGTTATGTTCAAAACCCTCTTGCTTCGGTTGTATGCTTCTTCGAATGTTAAGTCGCCGACATTGGCTCTCACGCAGTCCTCCAAAACCTTCACGTCGAGAAAGTAGCCCTCACGAGTGAATCTCTTCAGTCTTCTCAGAAGCGTATTCCACCTCGTCGCGTAGGATTGGTCTTTTTGCAAACCCTTTTCGGCTTTGAACTTGCCCGAAAACGCAGACAGGTCAATGCCTTCTCCCTTGAGCACGTTTGGGAGCTCCTCTTCGGTGTGGATAGCGACCAATGCGGCAATGAGAGCGCCCGTCGCAGTCCCAGTAATGATCCGTGGGAGTAGACCCCGAAGGAACAGCGCTTTCACGACACCGAGATGGCACACTCCAAATATAGCACCGCCCTGAAGAACAAGCGTGCTTCTTCCAAAAGCCTGTCGAGTGTCGTGAATGAAATCCAACTTCATCTGGTTTGTCAACCCAACAGGGGGTCCAAGAGTGTCGGAGCCTGGTGTCGTTGGCAGATGTGTGATATCCTCTACCGCTTCAGCGATCTGGGTAATGTATTCTTCGATCAAGTACTTGGTGCCTGCGAAAGACCGGTTGTAGAGGGTTGGCGCAGTGATATTGCCCAAGTTCCGGATCAGGCCGGAGCGAAGGAGGTTGACTAGTTGGTTAAGGTTGCCATCCTCTCTCGCAGCGATTAAAGAGTTGAGGCGCTCGTTGATTAGGCGGTAGTCGTAGAACTTGGACGTTGGGTTATTCCTCCTGTTGCGGCACGAAGGACGTTAGCATGTGCTTCTAAGACATGGGCACAAACAGCGGTTGCTCACCACAAGTCCAGTCCAAGTAAGTTATCTAGATGCAGGGCTGCCTCTTCCCAGTCCTCGAAGGCTTCGGCATGACGGAGGAGTTCGAGCCATAATTCGACGGGGGTCTTGCGTGTGTACCAGTCGAGGAGTTTCTGTACATGTGCATCGAGGTCAGCCGCAGCTCATCCAGATGGAGCCGTGTCCCGCCGACAGACCAGAGTCTATCAGCGAGCAATGTGCAGAGTCGCAAGATGACACGTACCTGCTGCCAAAAATGCGTCACGTCTACGGCCACTTGCCAGAGCGCAACGACTACTCCCATGGTGGTGCGACGGCAATGGTGGTGAAGACCATGGAGGATCCCAAGCTGGTGGAGAATAGCGATATTGACGAGAATAGTGACGAGTGATATGAGGTGGTCATGGCATTATGACATTATGAGCCGGTGGAGCGAGGCGAGTGTCCTGTCTCTAACTAAGAGGGTGTTTGCATTCCAGTTTCTAGGGATGGCTGAGCGACAGAGAGGGTTAGGTAGATGGATGAAGAGATACAGAGAAAAGACAGTATGTTTGCAGGCCGCGAGTCAGTCGAAAACAAGAAGCGCGCGAGGACGAACGAGCGGGCGAAGGGTTGATGGACGTCAAGGTAGAGATGGAGAGTGATGCGAAAGAGAGAAAGAATCGTGTGCGTGCGTGTGCGTGTTATGTCTTCGATTCTGGCGTGGAAGAACCCACGGACTCGAGTCGTACCGCAGACTATGGAAATAGGAACGGGGTATTTGTTGACTCGATCACCGTGCCGGGCAGCTATCCGTAAATTGGCTCGGCCCAAGGCTAGCGAGCGAGAGAAAGAAGAGTGTGAAATCAACAACTGCAAGAGCAACAGGAGCAGCGGTTTTCGGGATTGCCGCCGGATGGTCTGGAGATTCTGGGGCAGGCTGCAGGTCGGGACCACTTCCCCTCCCCGAACTGCTCCCGCTGCTGCTGCATTTGCCAGGTGCATTGCGGCACTGCCATGGTTCAGGTTGTCCACGAGACTGACCCCACACAACTGTGCTGCTCCCCCGAGCTGGGAAGTTGGGGGGGCAGCTCCCTCAGCTGCTTGGCTGTGCCGTCCCATCCTTGGCGCTAGCTTCGACATGTGACAGTACCCATTGTGGTCCAAAGTCTTCTCACAGAGCCTGTGAGACGACCCCACGCCCTTACTGTCGCTCCTCAAGGTACTCCTCGGCTCAACAAGCATCGAGAGGTACTTTGGCTGAAGCATTGAATCACCTCATATCATGGCAGGCTGATAAGCTCGTTCAATCGGCAAGCTGGAACGACGCGCATTACTACCCATTAGTTGGTCCCAACAAAGTCAAACAGACCTTCAACGGTCAAGGAGTGATGACAAAGAAAACACGACAATCGCAGCACGTGTCCTGCCGTTTGCCGACGCCAGTCCTAGTGCGGCCAAGTCTCGTCGGATATAATGTCACGACACTGTTGCTTGTGAGCTTATCAGTTTTGGCACGCAAGCGAAGTTATAATGCAACCTGCAGCGGCTCGTACTGCTTGCATCTCGATGCTTTTTGTGGCACGGCGTCTGGCGCGCTCGCACTACTTGCGCAAAAGAAAAGTAGGCCTGATATTTTACAGCGGTTGATGATGGCCAGCTCCTGGAGTTGGTGTGTAAATGGGCTAGCCTTAGTGGGTCTCCAACCATATCCTCACTCCGAGTCATCGTCGTCGACAACATGACGACGTCTTCCACGGCCGCTGGGCTCCATCATGTCGTCATCATCTCCATCAGCGTCCTCATCATCCGACCTCCTCTGCCGCTTCTTAGACCGCGGTGCCTCGTCGTCAAGAAGCTCCTCTTCGTCGTCCTGATCTCCCTCGCTGACCTCCTCGTCACTCGCGACAATGAAGTCGTCCTCCATGTCGTAATCATCCTGCCTGCGCGCACCAGAAGGCAGGTCGTCGTCAGAGTCATACTCGGGACGCCTTCTCTTTTGCTTCGGTGCGCCAGGCATGCCCCTCTTCCGTGATCCGCCAGCGCGCCGTCCACCTTCGAGGTCACCAATGGAGAGGCCTCCGCTGCGGCCAAATCCACGGCTGGCATCCATGCGGGCAGTCTGCGTCTCCCGACGTCGTTGCATCTTCATGCGCTCCTTCTCTGCCTGTTCTGCCTGTCTCATGCGCAGCTCGGGATCCTGGATGGTGTTGATGATCATGTCCTTCTCCTGCGGCTTTTGTGATATCGTCGCCATGCGCTCCGCAAGAGCAATAAGAGCGTCGTCGGCAACTTCCTTTCCAGGTCGAACAATATATTGATCGGTGACATGTCCCACGAACATGAGGAAGTTGCTGGAGTACTCGGCGGCAGCGGCGTAGTAGTGTCCGTCTTGGAGCTCGGAGTATGGTTGGTCGGGTCCAGGTGCCAATGCCTTGGTCGTCACTTCAAAGTGCTCATCGCCGACGGTCATCGTCACAGAGCCGTCGCTCCATCTGTGGATCATGGCGTTGCTTTGTAGCTTGTTTCCCTGTCTTCGGACGCGGATGTCGGCCTTGGGCACCTCGGCTTTGGCGTTCTCGATATCTTGCTCAGTAGGCTCGAATGTGTCGGGATCGAAAAGCGTCGGGACGATTCTCATGAACTTGGGGACGCGAAGAGATCGTAACTGGGCATTGTCAGCGCACATCGTGGATGATTCGGGCTGCCGCGGTAACCTACTCTCTGATCCTTCGCCTTGGGGATGCGATGGCGTTGCATCTCAACGGCCTCAATGACTTTAGTCTCGTAGTCTGTTGATGCCGGTGCCTCATCGTCTCTGCCGTAACCCTCGCCGGCATCCTGATCGGATGCGATGTCGCGTTCGCTGCCAGCGCGACTGCGGTCCTCCTGGATCTCGTCCGCTGGCTCGTCGCCGAAGAGGTCCTCCTCATCTTCTTCGGGCAGCTCGACCAAATCTTCGGAATCAGACATGATGGCAACGGGACACCAAGGAACGAATGCAGCGTGTTGGGGTATCGAATCGTTGGTGAACTGTCGGACGTGGTTGGCAGCTTAGCTACTTTGCTTTGAGAAAGGTCAAGAGCGAGGCTTGAACAATCCCTGTCTCAAAGTCTGACCCACTTGCGTCGAATTGAATTGGATGAGGCTGGTGCACCGCCACACCTTCTGCCGTCCGGAGGTAAGAAATACTGGGGAGGAAATTCGACAAAGGACCAAAGCTAAAATGATTTATCTAGTTTGGTAGAAACGAGAAAATACGAATCGATCTTCCAGCTTTGGTGACTTTTCGGTTCAGATTTCTGGGGTTTATTGGTGGTACAAAACACACCGCCAGCGTCCCAACATCCCTTACGCCACACGAGGCTGATAGACAGGACCCTTCTTTCCCTCTAGCGCGAGCCCAATAGCGATGGAGCGATGGACCATTTGAACCCAAGGCTGTGGAGGTGACGGCCCGTGCGCTCGCTTAATGTGACACTTTAAGTCTAGCGCTTCTTATGCCGCTACTCCTCGAGGATGCAGGAGCGAACGTAGTCCGAAGAAGCTCACCTTCAATCGCCCCTTTTCAGGTTAACCCTCTCTCCTTGCTTGATATCCGGCGATTTTTCGATTATCAAACCGACGTCTGGAGTCAGCAGAGCTGAAACCCAAAAGTCCAGCCTCTTCAAGTCCTCCCAGGAGGCGCGCCGGCCGACTCAACCTTATAAACCCCTCCGATCCCCCCTCACCGCGGGTACCTCCTCTACTATGTCGAACCTCTTCTCAGGAATGTGAGTTGCCTTCATTTGTTTCTCTCGCCACTTTTCGTTCTGCGAATTGCTTCTTTTCCTTCTTCCCGCTGTTATTTGCTTGATGAAAAGATCGGGAATCCGATGTTTGTGGTCGCTGCACACAGCAGACAGCTGTGAAGTTGGTCCTTCGGCTAGTGCCGCAGCCAGCCCGTATCTTGGTACATGCACTCCGGCCTGGTCACCGCTGAGACAAGGGGTGCATTATTACATGAGGGCATTGCCAAACATGGATCTTGGAGACATGACCAGATCTTTGAGGGTTCAGTGACACCTCTGGGTCAAGTCCACAGTCGAAACCCCCCTTCGCTGTAGCCAGAAGGAGGTAATCGGTCGGCCACCTAAGCCGTCCACGGCCTTGGTTACCGGACTCTCAAATCCTCGCCATACCCGGAAACGAGCTTCACCTTGAGTTACGCTCATTGTTTCAACCCTGCTCGACGCCATCATCGCGATTTCTCGGTATTGCAGCCGCCTACTGTACCATTGCTTCGGTGTGCCCAGTCAGGAAGGGAAAAGGGCAATGTGGCAACAAAATGAGACTGTCACCACCAACAATCACCTGAAATGAACACACAAGACAACAGCTCCCCATCACGATTTATGGCCTCATCTCAAGCATGAGCCAAGGGACCAGCATCGAGACAAGCCTGACTCCATGCACCCACCGTCGGCAAAGCCAGTGATCTGGCAGCCAAGAGAGCAAACCATACAAGCAGTCGTTCCTACTATTGGGTGCTGAGGTTCCCGCCGAACGTCGAATCATCATTAGGAGGACAACACCTCCACTCCCCAGAGCTGTGATAGAGTCTTTGATTCTTGGTTATGGGTGTTCACGGTAGTCTGATCAGGCTCTCGCCGACTTTCGCAAAGACAATGGCAAGCAAGCGAAGAGTATGCTTGGTCTGTCTGCCTTGTCATCTCCGACATCATCGACCTTGATTTGGGGGGCGCCCATATCGAACCAGCTCTTTCCTTTCAGCATCTTTTATCCAGTTTCTCAGGGACATCACAACATCATCGTTTTCCCCATTCGAGCGCAGCGATACTGGGTTTTCCTCTGGACACTTCTATCTACAGATGCTGCCAAAACCTTTGAATTTTTTCACCATGCACAAATTCGCCCAACCCTTCCCCCCTCAGACACCTTCTGGCCTAGTTGGGTCTCAAACATCCCTAGATTGTCAACACAAGCCCCTGAATCCGCAGGCCATGTCTGGGCTGAGTCAATTTCTCTCAACGTGGACGGAGCAAGCGCTTAGCTCCTAGTACCTCCCGGTAGCTGGCTCAGTGGTCGCTATCACCGTCACACTGGACTGCTTTCTGTGCCGCGAAGTCTTCGTTACGGCCTCCAGGCTTCATCAGCTAATCAGACACCGACGAACAGTAACGCCCGCTTTCGGGGACAAGCCGCCAAACCGCCTGGCTCAAACAAGTCCCCTACGTCTTCTACCGCCGGCCAGCAGCCTACGTCACCGACCGTTTCCCAGGGAAGCCAGTCGTCCACCAACCTCGCTCCCAAAGTGCCACCTCTGCCCAACTCTCCTTCTCTCGCCCACTCTATTGGCATGGACGACCAGGGTAGCTTGACCGACGGAGACAGCATTCTCAACTCCTATCACCTGCCTCGTCCCATGCCTATTTGGCTCAACTCCAACTATGGCAAGCACATTGTCAAGGGCAACTTTATGACCCTGAGCGCGAGACCCAAGACGGTCGAGCAGGGCGAGTGGATCGCTCATCAGGGTAAGTGATGGTTTTGTTCCTGGTGGTATTCTCGCTAACCAGACGAAGTCGTTGAGCATTACAGAAACCTCTGGAACTTTGTTCGTGTTCTTCACGAGAAGGAGGAGGATGGCTCAACTATCTGCAATGCCACCACCTGCCCCAGAATGTCTGCTGGAGCGTAAGTTGCGAACGTGTCCTCCTTGGCTTGATACAAACTTGACACTCGATAGGAACCACTCATTCACGTGGCTCAACAGCCGTCGGGAACCGGTTGAGCTTCCTGCTTTCGAATACATGACTCTTATGCAGAGGTGGATCTCGGGCAAGATTGACGACACCAACATCTTCCCGACCGACCCTTCGGGCGTCTCCTATGCGCACAACCCGGCCATCACCACGACGCCTCTCTCACAGCTCACGAACCCCGGCGAGCCTGACTGGATCGGCAAGCGATCCGGCTTCCCCCAAAACTTTATCGACGTCTGTCAGACTATCTTCCGCCAGATGTTCCGTGTCTACTCTCACCTTTACTGGGCCCATTTTGTCGAGCCCTTCTACCACCTGAATCTCGAGAAGTCCCTCAACAGTTGCTTCAGCCACTTCATCCTGACCGCCACGGCTCTCGACATGCTCAAGCCGCACGAGCTTGAGCCCATGCAACCTCTGATCGACCTCTGGGCCGCCAACGGCACCTTCCCTCCCGAGTCGAAGGCCTACGAGTACGCCAACCTCAGAGCTGGTGAGCGTCTGATGCAGCTGGCTGGTGTTTCCTAAATATGTGCGCAAACATCACAGCACAGCTGGGAAGGGGTCGAAGTGGAACAGACTTTGCTATACGGATTCTGGAGTACTCGTTCTCTTGGGAACTCGAGACCGAACTTTTGATTACGAGATTCGCCGGTCGTTCTGCTCATGCCCTCACTGTTGATGCCCACATGTCCAACGGACCGGAAGAAGCACAGGGGTCAGAACCAAAGTGACAATGACAAAAATAAACCAAAAAACCAAGATACAAACACACCACGCACGCATTGCATTCGCAGCAGCCGAGAAGAGAAGGGGCTGCATGTTGGAGTTTCGGATTTGCTACTACGGCGAGGCAGGCAAAGTCTCAAGAGTCTCAGACACACGCAAATGGGGTGAACATCGATCGTCTCGCATGGAATGCTTTGGGGGAGAAGAAGAGGAAAGGAGGGAGAGAGAAAGCTGATGGTAGACGAAAGATTCCATAGGCAAATCGCAGGTGACAGAAGATAGTGCTTGCCTCAATTTCAAGTGATTTGTGATATGCTAGGCGGCCACTTCGCTGATCTTGTATTCGACCACGACCGGCTTGCCCTCCTCGACGACGAATCGTCCGGACCCGACATAGACCTTGTTCTGAATTTCCTTGAGCGCCTCGTGTCCCGTCTCAAAGTTGGCCTGCGTAACTATATTCCCGTCAGCATCTGCCCATGCATGATCGTGGCTTCATGATTGCAGGGCTGCGGCCAGAAAGGAGAGGAACTCACAGGCATCGCCAAACTCCGTTGTTTTGGCCCCAGGCAACCCCTTCAAGACCGTCCCCGCGGGCCCAGACACGTCGATGGTCCCCGTGTAATCAAACCGGATCGCCGCACCCGTCGCCTTGTCCTTGAGGACGCTCGACACCTCGAGCCGGACGTAATGCCCGTCCGGGTCGGAACGGAGGTAGTCTGCGCCGTGGACGAAGACGGCGTCGACCTTGATTGGGTAATCTGGCTCTGACCGGAGAAGGCCTGTGTTCGGGAGGAAGGCCGCGTGGAATTGGGCGCTGCCGACGGCGACGACGCCGATTTGGGTTGGGGTGTCGAGGTGTATCTGGGGATGAGAGTCAGTTCGGGGAGTTAAGGCCGCTCGGGATACTGTTGTTGAACCTCTCGACGTCTGGGAAAGGGATTTGGAGGTTCGGTAACGGGAGCAAGGGAGGGATTCTTTGAATTGAGATTCGGACACCAAAGAGGGCGCGTACCTGGACCGTGAAGGCCGGGATGAGCTTGGGGAAGTTGGACATTTCGAGCTGGGTTCTTCGGTCTGGATTTCCTGGTTCGATTCGGTGTTTCAGTGCTTTGTCTCGAGGCTTACGAAGATTCGGAGCTTTCAGTGACAGATCGGCACTCTTGCAGGATTTTGTAAATGTCCAGAAACGCAACGAGGCTATCGCGAAGGTCAACCACTCTCAAAGTTGCGTGAATCATAGACTAACTGTCGGGAAGAGTCGAGGCCTTCCCCCTCTCCCAAATATCTCCTCTCCTCCTGTCTGCCGATGACATGATCTGCAGGAATGAGGGGTTAGATTTGCTTCGCCTGCGTACGACCCCCGCACCGGAGTTCGAGCTGCAGCCACATGGAAAGAGACGCACGCGGGAAAGTATTGGGAAAGTCCAGACGCCTAGTTGTCCGAAAGGGGGAAACTGTTGTGAGCTGCAGATGCAGTATTTGTGCTTGTCCCGCATGCAGACCAGTGCATGCGACGGGTTCTTGCAGGGTTTCGGCCTGGACTAACAATTTGGCGATGTCTTTCTGTCGTTTCTTTGGAGACGATGTAGGTCGATACCTGCGATGCCAGCTTGAGGCACTGAACTGAGAATTTCAACTTCCGTCGCCCAAGTGCGATCCAAACGAGTGATATAGTTTCGGAAAAGGTCTTGAACCTGGCAAGTCTCAGCATGTGTATCAAGCTCAAGTAGTCTCGAGAATTTCTACGTTATAGTTCGAGCTTCTCCATATCGCCCTAGAAGTTGCATAGTCATAGTTCTTGTTGTCAACTGTCGACGTTGCGCAAAGTCATGGCGAACATTCGGCTTTGATTGAGCTGAGCGTAGGATCCAATGACAATCCCAAGTCCGATTCTAACGGCACAGGGATGCATCGCAATCTCTGTCCTCTTCGAAGTCGATATGTCTCGCATGTTTCTTCCCTCTCTCTTACAGCTCGAAGGGTCGGCGAGACTCTGCTCCATACAGACCGTTGACGGCCAGGGATAGTGAGCCGGGAATCACATTTTCATAATACGTCAATACCCGCTGAGCGATCAAAGAGAAATGGACGATACAAAAGATTTGAAGCGACGATCAAAATGTTGAGAGGTACATGGGGACTTCCACGGGGCCTGGAACCGTAGTTGAAAACGCCATCACGTTGGAAACCAAAGAGACGTCGAAATCTCAAGTCGAAAACACTATACTAAATATCAGGAGGTTCAGAAAAAAGAGGCGTCGGTCCATGGATATCATGACCCATCGTGCAGTCGCTGTACATGCACCGCGTTTTCATCAATACCTTAGAAAGAGTGTGGTCTCTTACTGCCATTTTTTAAGATCGCTCCATGTGTACGAGATGGCACGATAGAAGGGGAAGTTGCTCTGTTGATGGAGGAGCTTTACAGAAATGGCCCTCGAAACGCAATCACATTCGGAGTTCTTGGCCTGACAGAGTAGACGAAACTCCGCCCAAGTAGCTCAATCGCCTATAAGCAAGTATAACATGAACATGATTACGGTAGCAAATAACAGCTTTGAGTGGTTCGATCTCACGCTTGGAACGAACCCTAACCTCAACACATTGCATAATTGCAATCCATTCAGTTTTGGATGAGATGTGAAGTTCGGTCATTTTGCCTGTGCTGCCGCGCTTTAGGTGCCAGAGCTTCGCCCAAGTCATGCAAGGTGAGATATACATATCGAAAGTCTGGGATGATGTTCGAGACGCCTTGTTCCAGCCCAGCCCAGAACAAGCTCGCAACCCAGCAGACATGTCTATGTCGAGATCCGAGTGTTAACAGGGTTAGACAGCTAGCTTTTGACGAAGACATGTCGTGATGGCTTGGTTGCCTAGATGGCATCCACTAGTACTGAGAAGCAAACACGGTAACATGAACCTTGTGTTTAGACGTAGAAATGAACTCTTCATACAGTCCTCGAAGAAGTATTCAAAATACCCAAACATGAACTCAGGTTGGCCTAGCCCGCGATACTCTCTTTACTAAGTAGCCCGAGGCTAAAGTAATTAGAGATCTAGTGACTAGGCAACATGAAAGATTATAGATTGTTGTCGTCTTGTATCCTTAAAGGCATAAATGTTGGAATAACATCTCGGAGATCCCTCGTCGGACTGGATGATATCCTAGGAGTAGAGCCCCTCAGCCTGTGGCCATCAACGACTGATGCCTTTGGCATAATGTTTCACAGTATTCTAGCTGGTTGACAAGTACTTCTGACTAGCCGTTTCAATCAAAAGAAGATAGGATTAAGGTTTGAGTGAAATGTTGTTTCAGTGCGTTATTTAGCGTCAGTAGCCACAGCTTCAGTAACAACAGTAGAAGCGCTCTCGACTTGGAGAAAGCAGAGCAATACAGTCAACTACACGACCTCTGCTGGCCTTCTAGAATACCGGATGAATGAGACTAGGTGCATGGTTGTCAGGTCCCAGACCCCTAGAACCAGGATACCATCAAGACTGACACCTCAAACTATAAGTCCAACAAGTCGACTTTGGCTCCATTCAAAACGGTCCTCCTCACTGGTAAAGAATCGCACAAGTGGGAGAGTAATAATCCATATTTGGCGTACAAACAATAGCACCCTCATCCCTTTAGAACCCAGAGACTGGTGGCAAAAGTCAAAGTCGCATGACATCCTTCCGAGTGAGAGAGAGAGTCTGACTATATCCAGAGTCTCAAAGACGAGAACGTCGGGCATTGCTAATCGAAAACTATAAAGATAGGCGATATCAAGAAGTCACCAGTCATACAAAGTCCATTTTCTTAAACTCGAAACTCATTCGATATGTCGGATAGTCAGGCCCGCGTCCATCAAGACCGACAGGCAAACCAAAACAACTCGGCAAGGAAACTTTGGAGATTACCGAGATCCTTCCGCAACGACACCCATGATCCGAGAACAAGAAACCTAGAAGCCTGTGTCCCGCATCCTGACAGATCGACACCCCCCCGCATCGAGATCCGAAATCATGCAACCGTCGTCAATGCGGCTTTGGCGTTCGGGCGGACGTGGGATTGACTCTCCCGCGGGAACTCTCGCCACACAGACGCAGACACGGACACAACCAACACAGCTGACTCTGGGAGTGAAAGTGTATATCAGACTTTTCCGAGAGACATACCTCGCGAACACGGCATCGTTGGGGGTTTTCTTTGGCATAAAGGCGTTCGAGAGTTGGTAGCCCGCACAGCTGTTGTAGAGTGACACCATGAGTCACCAAAGTTCACATACGATGACTCAACTTCGTGGGGAAGAAGAACAGATTAGCAAGTAAGGTCAGAGGGATGGTTCACTTCTGACCATGTTCCTCATCTCTGAGACGGCTCAATGGCCAGAGTGAGTTCTTTGTTCTTCTACGGGCTCTCAACCAAGAAGCACTCTGTTCTTGAATCACAGGACCATGCAGTGGCTATCCTTGCGAACTTCCGCTCCCAGCTAAGAGTCGAGGAATGAAAGAGGCACAAGTCAGAGCAGAGCTACAAGCCAGAGCTGGAGGCTTCCATTGAAAACGGCCAAAGCTCCCGGTCAAACGTAGACAATCGACTCTTCCGTCGACAAGCACCCCATGAGAACCTGATACAATGACCACGAGCTCGCCATGTGCCCCTGAGGACCCAAAACAGCATCTAGATTTCCGACCATGACGAGCAAACCCCATCGTCACGAAACAGCAGACAAGCTGGACGCACGGGTAGCGCGCCGATCCGGTCCCTCCGAACTCTTCTCCCACTCCCGTGGACCAAGCAGTTCTCC